CCCCAAAACCCTTTTTTTTTTTTGGGGGAAAAAAAAAAAGGTTTAAGAAAAGGGCCCCCTTTCCCAAAAAAAATATGTTTTTCCCTTGAACCTTTGGCCCCAGTTTTTGGGTTTTTAAAAAAATTGGAAATTAAAAACCCCCCCCCCCCCCCCCCCCCCCCCCATTCTACCCCTTGTACTTTATTTTGAACACAATAATTTACCTTTTTAGCAGTGGGATCATAAAACTCAAGGGCCGTCAGACCGGCTCTGGCCATATTGAGATACATAATATAAAGCACATCTTCCGCTTTTTGACCTTCAAGGTTAAAGATCTTGAGAATATCCGCATGAGGACCAAGCACCATAGCAATACACTCGGCACGACACTCTTCATAGCTTGACGCAATACTTTTGAATACTGAGTTGAATGTTTGACCGGACTTGTACCAAGATTGGACCGGTTGATTGGTAAGAGGATCAATAGTTCCTTTATCAAAGTTTAGTTTTCCTTCTGCATCTTCTTCGAGTAATTTTCCTGTTCCGTGACCCATCTCATGAGTACCAACTTGTAACTCAAACGATGGATTACGATAGGTTGTGTATAGATCAAGATCCTCATTGCGAATAAAAGGGAATTTTTCACCAGGAGACTGAGCTGAAATGACATTCCCCAGTGAAACGTTTTTAGATCCAAGAAGCTGAGTGATGTTTGTATAGTTTGGAATATTAATGCCGGCCGGAACACCTGCTGTGGCAAATGATAGAACTTCAAGCGAAGTAAAATCTGGTTTGTTGATCGTCTCACGTTCAAATGCAGGGGGCCAGGGTAAGCGAGACACAAACAGTGGGGCTTGGCTTACAAGATTGTTGAACTTCTTGGTCTGTTCTTCGTTAACCATAGCCACAAACCCTTCCCATTCTGCACGTACGCCCTGAGGATCGCGGTATGTTTCGATAAAACCGAGATTTGTCTCTACTCTTGGGTTGATATCCTTGAGCCATTCTCTCTGTGACTCCATGTGCGCGTCGATTGAGCCCAAGTTAAAGGATTCGTAATAAGCTTCCAGCATCTTCTTCTGATGAGCATTGGCAGCAAAGTGAATCGCGCCCTTGACCATATCGGCAGCTTTTTTCATGCAGGGTTGGAAATCATTGTAAAATATCTCAAGAGTGATGCCATTTTCCAAGGTTTCAGGCTGAGGAATATCGTCTGGTGCTTGCGAAGATGCGATATGGAGCTGGTATCCCTCTGCTGTCTTGAATAATCTGCACGAATATCATATATTTCACACATATCACAAAAAAAAACCATAAAATGAGTCAGATAAACAGATGCTGAGTCATATGACAATCAATTGAAGAGAATTCGTCAGTCCAGAAAAATCCCTGGGTTTGGGAAGGACAGATAAGCCTAGAACAAAAAGCCGGTCTATAGCCCAGATGCAAGACCAGACTTCTCAGCCAATAGTCGAGCATACACAGATATTTTCTCCAGTACATCACATATGATATTCCAACTACAAGTATCCCTGGTTTTTTTTTCTTTAATTACCTTGTGTTTAGAGGACTAATATTGATCTTCTCTAGATATTCTTGTACAATCTTGATATCTTCTTTGGTGGTATTCTTGGAGTAGTATCCAGAGATATGACCGTCATCAGGATATCCAATCAAATTCTTTGCGACTGGCTCAACATTGTACATCTCTCCCCGCTTCTTGGTAAACAGAACATGGGCTTCGTGAGACTCGCTAGCCTCTACAATCTTCTCAAAGTCATCGGCCGACAAACGAGGGATGAACTTTTCATCACCAAAAGACTTGTAGTTACTGAGATTACCAAGGAATTGCGCGGAATATTCCAGGAGCTGGTCAAAGGCTTCTTGAGATACACCACTGTATTTTCGAAAATATATACAGAAACGCAGGAAAATTAGTTTTTTTTGTACAAATGTCTGAATTCAATATACCTCTTTTTGGCCAAGGCTTCAATATCAACAAGCTCTTCACGTTCGTTAGTGAACAAACTGAGGATGAGATCATAGATTTCTGGTGCTCCTGGATTAGTTTGTGCAATGACGATGCGGGTACCATGGAATGAGGCGCGCGACATAAAGTGGGCATATGTCTTTTCCTTGTCAGTCAAGGCCTCAAAGAACGGTTTGGCTTCAAGACGAGATATAGGAGTCTTTGGATCAGCAAGATAGCGGGTAGACATTGTTCTGATAAGAGGGTTGCGTATTTTTCTTAGAGAAGACGAAGAAAGGCGTGAAAGTACGTTCATGGGTAAAGATATAGAATACAAAAAAAAATTAGATTCGTTCCCAACTAAGTTGTACTGGAAGATGGCAGTTTCATACACAGAAATTGTAGCCACAAAAAAGTGATCGAGTCCCCAAAGTAGGACTTGTGACAATTTACCTATTATTTTTTGTACGAATTTAGTCGTAAGCGGGCAGTGATTATTCCGTGTACCAGGAAACGAATGTATTTGTGAGGAGATGAAATTGTGTAATGACTAGCAAGTTCTATTGGAAGCCTTAACTAAAATGTCCTTTTCTACTTGATTAAGAGAACGGGGGTATTTCTGGAAAAATATTGGTTTGAATGATTATAGCAAGGGGGGACAGTACATGAATATAGCTCTTTCTCTCTAGGTGGGTATGTTTGGTCATGGGTAGTATCGTTAACAAAAAAAACATTTATCCAACTGAATCTTATAGTGTTTAGATAACATATATTTTTCTTTCTCAGAATGTCAATTTTATAGCTTTATAGCCCGCTTGCCCTTGTTCCTGAACCCAGTGTTGTGACACTTGTCGTTTGTAGACTAAAATTCCTATTACAGGAAATACATTAATTCTTTGTCAATCTCAATCTATCCTTCCAAGACCCAATCCGCTATGTAAGAAAAGTCCTTAAATTTCTGCTGCTCTTCAGGCAAAACTCTAGTGCTTAAAGGAGTAAGAATTGGAATTTCCCTCGTAAAATCATCGTCAAAATTAGATGTATCCGCTCTTCCTCGCACGGACGGCAGGAAAGGCGGTGTTACTTTTTTAGCCAGCATGTCTTCCCAGTTAACACCCTCAAAAAATGGGTGGGCCTTTACTTCTTGTCCATCGCCCTTTCCACTACCCAATCTTTTTGCGGAAGTTCTTTGCAATAACTAATATAGAAACGAAGATATATTAGTTTGTATTATTTAGTTCATTTTAATAATTTACCTTTTGACAAATAGAAACCGAATTTCTAGACATATTGATTGGATAGAGAATCTCATCTTCTAGAACGGCATCAAATATTTCATCTTCATCTTCACCTTTGAATGGGGACTATACATATACATATATATATATATATATTGAATTTAAAATTAGAGCCTCTCTAAAAGGACATATCAAGGTACCTGTCCCAGCAGCATCTCGTACAACAGGACACCCAATGTCCACCAGTCAACTGCTCGCCCATAGGGCAGGTCAAGAATGATCTCCGGTGCCATAAATTCTGGGGTACCACAAAAAGTCTTTGTGGTCGAATCAGCCCACATGTTCTCTTTGCACAGGCCATAGTCAACTAATTTGATATGTCCATCCAAGCACAGCATAATATTATCCAGTTTCAAATCTCGATATATAATACCGTGCTTGTGCAAAAATTCTAGCGCCAGCAATACTTCGCACGCATAGAATCTTCAAAACAGTCATGAAAAAGAAAAATAAGAAGTAGAATAAGAGTTAACCCAACCAAAGAAGATGTTTTATAAGATCTGCTCTTCTTACTTGGCTCTTTTCTCGGAAAACTTCTCGCGTTGAATTTGCATCATCAAGTCACCACCACTAATGTACTCCATAACAAAATAAACTCGAGTCTCAGTCTGGAATGTCGAGTGTAGATTGGCCAGGAATGGGTGTCGTCCCTGGTTGGCGGTTTGAAATACACTCTTTTCAGATTTTGTACTAAACATGTAAATCAATAAAAGATATCTGAATTTATAATATATACCTTGCCACTTCTTCATTGTCAAGAACAAATCTCTTTTTAAGCACCTTTATAGCGTATAGTTCACTTGTATATTTCTCTTCTGCCAACATAACCTAACGTTTCTTCCGAGGTTAGAAGCTTTCTTATTCATTTTAATAAACTTAGCTTACCTTTCCAAAGTTTCCTTTTCCCAAAACAGCCAGAAAGTTGAAATCCCCCAAACTAACTTTTTTGTTAGTATGAACCGGTGTTTTCTATAATGTTGATATGAGATATTATAATTCTAGTCAGTATAAAAAAATTACCTTGACAAACATAAGCTGGGAAGTTCTTCCGGGATTTGACGCATTGGGTCTTGTAATAGTTGAGGATCGGACAGCTTCTGGTATGGATTGAAATGATAATATCCCTTTGGAATAACCCAAGGATTGAGTATTTTTACCGGTACTTGTGGATGTCGTGGGAGTAGATGAAGAGGAAAGTGGGGGAGGGGGAAGACCCAATCCCGAGTTGAAAGAATGTCTATTGTTACTGGTAGTTGTTGCACTACTACTACTGCTGCTGGTACTTCCACTACCATTGGTGTGATAAGCATTACTTGCTTTGCTGTAGGTCTGTTGTCCTTCGATTGCAGATTGTGTTTTACTGTTAGGGTGCGGTGTCCGACGCTGATTAACAACCTTCATCTCGCTCAGCATCTTATTAGCCTTTTTCATGGGTAATCCACAAAAGGCAGGAACAAGAGGGGCGCATTTCTTGTGACAAGTAACGCCACATTCTGTTTAAAATCATTGTTTTAAATAAAATTAAATGATGGGACTAAAATCTATCGATACAACATAATCACACTTACCTTCACATCGTTTTGCACCTCTAAAACCGATGGGTAACAAGAAACCGCAGTGACAGCACCAATTAGCTTTGATAATAGCGAGAGAGTCAAAGCGATGGGGTATATGGTGTCTCAGCTCTTCCGAGCCCTGATCCCGTTTAGTCTTTAAAAACATAAATGAATACAAATTACTTCATATTAACCATATTATATTACCGTTTTCAAAGCTTGGCGACTACATTTGGTGACAATCTGAGAGTAACATTTTGTGTGGCAGGCTAGCCCGCAATCTAGATAGCTAGATTGCTCAGCAAAACTATTTCACTTTTTTTTCCTTTTGTAGACAATCTTTTTTTTTTACCTTCACATTGGAAAACAAGCTTAGCCATGAAATCGTTACATAAGGCACATTTCATAATATGGTAATATCTTCTTGCTACAAATAAATGGCCATTCATCTCATGCACCTCGCCCTTCCTTTCTCGCACTGCCCCTGCACGCTCTAATTTATCCCTTGGTCGTAAAGCCGTGTTTTCACGCACTATATACGAAGACTGGGTTAATTCATTTTTGGATTAGCATTCATACACCACCTATATTGAGTTACCAAACTGGATATCTAAAAGTAAACGACCGATTGGTTCCACATCAAACCAAGCAGAGATGTTTTTGGAGTAATCGTTCGGGGAGTCCTTTGTACAATGTTGTACTGCGCTTTGAGACTCCTGGGATTGCTGTGGCTGTTGAGACTCTTGCTGCTGCTGTGCAATATCTGCAGATACCCACTGCAGGTCTTGCTCCTGTGCCAATTTTTGCTTACGTAAATGTTCCGCAATATCAGATATTTTGAGCCATAATAAACCTATAGGAAGTGTACGATCTCCCGATTTATCATAGATTACTAATTCAATCTCTGTGGCCTTGTCGACATGCAATTCAAATGATTCTGACCAGCGGCTGTTGCGAGAAAGTTTGGTGTGGGCTTGAGCAGCACCGTCTACTTTGATTTCAACTGCTGTATGAGCTATTTTGAACATCCTAGTGGGTGCATGGGTCAATTCGCGCGCCTCGATGACCTTGAGTTGGAGAGTACCAGTGATCGGGCGGCGTGTTCCAGGAACCGCACGAATCGGGGAAAGATCTTAATTAAGAGCATTTGTTTGTTACCTTGTTTCAGCATGTCAAACTTAGACTTACCAACATCATCCTCGTCCCCTAAATAAAGGTTCTTGTATTTACGAACTGCATTGGATAAAAGTCCCATCTTTTCATGACTCTCATTTTGTTTTTCAAGAATTTCTGACTTGCGTTTACGGTCGGTGGCAGAATCGAGGGTCAAGGCGAGATTGCGTATACCGTCCTGAACCTTTTTTTCTACATCAACTTTATACTCTAGTTCGTGTAATTTCAGGCACACTTTGGCCCGATTAATCGGTGTCTCTGCTTGTAATAAATCTGTTGTTGTTGTTGTTGTCTTTTTAGCAGTAGAAATGAATTTTTCTTTTTTTTATTTATACAAAATTTAAAATGAAGCTTACCTATATTTGTATATTTCTTTTTATCATGTTCTTCATTTTTCATTGCTAAAGTATCTTCATCTAAGTCATTGATATCAAGCTTATTCATTTCTTCGGATACAACCGTATTTAATGCAATGGAGGAAGTATCACTATCTGTATCATCTTTCTGGCTGTCGACCCCCTCAGAGTGAATTGATCGATTAGAAAAATTATGCGTAAGAGAGCTAGTAGGAATGGATCCGCCTGACGCGCGTTTGGATAGCATGGCTTGAATCTGGCTTTGGGCTGGTCGGCTGAAGCTCCGATGTTTAATGCGTCGTAGCTCAGCAGAAAAGTAGCTGATGTAACGCTCGGACTCCTTGATCTGGGTGTCGCATTGCTTTTGTGCATTGTGATCCTCTAGCATTCCTCTTAGTTGGATCGCTTTGTCTCTCATGTGAGTGTTTTGTTCAATCTTGGAATTCAGCTCATTCATCTTGTTTTTTAGATCCTGTATAATACCAAAAAAAAATGAAGCAAAGAGAGAGAAAATAATATAATATAAAGTATAAAAGAAAATATAATTTATCATTTTGTTGCTCATGATACATAAAGAGGTTTTTTACTGAGCTTTTATATCACCACTACTCATTTTTCTCCTTTCTCGTTTTTTTTGTACAAGCAAAAGTTCAAGTGGCCTGAGACAAGGTAGTGTTCCCATGGTTTTTATTTTATTCATTTGTTACCTCCATAATAGACATAGATCTTCTGGAAAAAGAAGGTTTATGTAAGGATGTATATATAGATGCTTATGTATTTAAGTATACTATTGAGTAAAAGAGAGAGATAGAGAGAGAGAAGAGGGGAGAAAGCAATGTATAGTGCAGTATTCAAGCAGGAATCGTTTGCGGTGATTAAATATTAAGGGAATGCCATAGTGAGAGAGCTTACGACACAGGAATCTGCATTTGCAGGATGACAGGCGACACACAAGACCTAATTAAGCAGTCACATGATGATTGTTTTTGTTGTTGGGCCCTAGCGTTGACTTTACTTTCTCTTTTAACGTTTCCAGGACAGCATCATGAGCACGCCATTCCGCCAGGGCCTGAGTAATTATCTAATGGAAGACAAGATACTTGGCTTGTCTCAGATAACTGATGCAACTCTGTGCCATAGACAAGGTGTACTTGCCCAACATTATCTTTAAGATGGTCAAGACACCCAACTTGCAGTCGAACCAAGTCGCTTTCCGTGTACCTCCCAGTTGCAACAAATTCGACATTCATTCCTATCTTACCAACATCTACAATGTGACTGTTCAGGAAGTCCGTACCATGAACTACGGCACTGTACACAAAAAAGGACGCAATGGCAAGATTGGTGTATCGGAGACTGCCTACAAAAAAGCAATTGTTACCATTAGTGAACCTTTTAGCTTCCCTAAGGATCCTGAATGGTGTGCTCTTGAGAGAGAGCAGAACAAGGTTGGATCCAAGATGGCTGGTCGCAAGACCAAGGGATGGCGCTTCAGAGGAACAGAAGAAGAGCGTGCCAAGTTAAAGGAAGTCAACGAAAAAGTGCAGGCACGCATGGAGGCTGACCAAAAGAAGAAATAAACGCAATAAACACAAAAAAAAAGACAGAAGATGGGATTATGTTTATTTTGTTTGCTTTTTTTTTGCATGTGTATATAATTATTATCATTTTCCTTTGAAACATGAAACTCTAGATATATGGTTTCAAATATATATAAAAGATAAACCAACCAAAAGAGATTTCTAACGAACAGTGGCAATTGATAATATATATATATATTAAATGAACAGACTTATAATATAAAGCAAAATGAGGATCCAAGCTGCGGTACTTTTATTGATTAGGAGTTTTACCAGTTCTCGATACTTGACATTTTAATGTAGCAATACTTTAATGGCGATCTTGGGGAACGGAAGGAAATGTGCGCCGCACAATTTAGTGTGACTACTAGTCTTATACCCAGCTAAAAACCATCTTGAACAGCTCCTCGTCTTTATCATTTATAAGCACATCCATAATCGACTATAGCGGGCTATCGACAGACTGAAATGAATCTCACAAATACAATGGTATATGCTTGTTGAAACTTTCGGGGTCATATCCTAAAATTGATGTTACAAATCGCTTTGTTAAATTACCTATTCTTTACTTTTTACAATTCTTCTTTCCTTTCTCCTTATCAAAACAATTATACTATAGTTTTTACAAACCAACGAACAAACTTTCGGTATAGTTTTTCTATCATTATATCTTATCTTCAATTAACGTATCTGTAGTTGGTTTTTATTATTTTATAAAGTTTATTTCCGTAACAAGACCATGCAAATATCTCTGAGTTTATTAAGTGAATATTATTTTTTTTTAAAAAAAAGCGTACATTTTCGTGAGTACTAATTACTTTTATAGAAAAAATGAATCAATTGAAAAGATCATAGCGGATTGTTTCCCATTCACTTGTGATGCCGTTGAATTTAATTGATCAGACATAATTAACGACATTAATTTACTTTTGCCATTCAATTGCCGAGTATCTCCACGGTAAAGATAGAAAAAAAAAGAACAAGAAAACAATTATCTCTCCAATTATTTTCACCATTCATTTATATGCACTAAATTATTAATACACATTATTTCTATCGATTGTAAGTTACATAAGTTGGAGTAAACACTGGATTTAATGGGATAATTTAGTAACAAATACAGTAAAATGAATTATACCTGGCACACTTTTAAGAGTTATGAGATATTATGAACGGACATTCTTTTCCAATAAACAGTACAAAAAGGTATTCTTAAGCTAGTATATGACATTTTAAGCATTTTGGAATTATTTTATATATATAGTATTCACTCTACTTTTTATTTAAATATAAAATACTTTGGAAGAAAATCCCAAAAATGCGCCTTATAAATGTGCTTCACTGTATCAACTTATATCTACCATTTCTCAGCCGTAGTTTATTTAAAGCTGTCGAATACTTAGTGAAATAAGAGTACCTGCCCAGGACCTGGTCTCTTACTCTAATCCACAAGGGCAAAATTGTGTGCTTTGAAATTCATTCAACATGTTCCTTTAGTAGCCCCAAACTTTGACGAAGGAATAGAACATGATGATTAGTGACAATTACACTTTGTCAATAGCAAGTTATGCAAAAGAATATAAAGAATTGTTGTTATTAAATTGTGGCGCAACCTTGTGGGATAATATACTATTTATTGGCTTTCTTACGCGTACCTTGCCTTTCTCTTTCTTTTGCATACATATTACCAGAAAATAGTCCAAGGTTTGTCATTGAAAAAAGCCAGAACCAGTATGAAAGCACCAACTGAAGTTACCAAATAGTTGCACCAGAAGCAAAGTCTGAAGAATTTCTTCTTCTCAAGAAAGTCAAGAAAGGTAAAATGGAATAAAAAAAATAATGTTACATTTCTGTTTACCATTTAATCCAAAGATATAGTGCCGTGCCGTGTTGTCCCATGCAAAGATAATAGCGGAATCAGCATAACTTATGGTCCAGGAGAATCAAAGACGTATGGAAATCTTTAGATTTTTTTCTTTTAATTGGTTATGTTCGCAAGTCTGTTGGAGATGCCAAATACCAAGGCAAAAGTATCCAAAGGATGGTGGATAACTTGTATAATATATGAAAATTTTTACCAATGCTATGTGTCGTATTCATCTGAAGCCCGTAGCAAAATACAATCAAGGAATACGAAAGGCACCGGTGAGATCTTAAAGAAATCTGCTTAGTCGATTATGACCATCTTTAAAAGAAATTCAAATTTTTCAGGAAAAATAAAAATATCCCCCTTTTAAAGTCTTTAACATTTGAATGTAAAAATAAAATAATAATGTTCGATGCTTTTTTTTTACAGCACATAAATTGTATAAATTCCGTACATAAATCGAATAAAAATAGTTGTATAAAAGCAGTACTCTTATTAAACATGAGCACCAACTTCACTACCCCTATTGAAAAGATATATTCTCTTAAGACAATCCTTTTATTCCATGAAAATTAGAGTGTCTTTCGACCTATAAAAACTATGCCCTTTCTAACAATTTTACATGTAAGATTAAGGACAGAAAATTTGCCATCTTTCATCCTGCCTGTTCAAAAACCGATGTCTGCTGTAGCAAGCGTAAAATAGATGACGCTAAAAGAAAAAAAAAGATGCCCAATTTTTTTCCTTGCGGAATTTCATTATTTTTTGAAATCCTCTTACAACAATAATCGAACATATTTCCCTTTGCCTGGAAGTGGTGCCAATTAAAATTGTCCAATCCCTCTTTTCAACCCAAAAACTTTAGCTTCTTCTCATCAAGAAAGAATATTTCTTCTTACTATTGAGGATGGCACAATTTCAGAAACAATATTGGAAAACCTGGCCAAGTCTTGTGACACTCAGAAGGGAACAAATGATAAAGTGGCAGTAGTTAGAAAGATGTAGGTTAGCGATATAAGTAATTTCAAGTACAGTGCTACTGAGCTCATTAAAGAAATATTTTTCTGTAGATTTAATTAGAGAGAAAAACTAAATCGTATTCTTTTTTATCGATAATGTAATGATAAATAGGGCTCCTTGTTTTCCCGAGGTGTTTATTGTGAATTCTACGTACAAAACAAACTGCATAAAGACGACATTGATTTGTGTAGAGGGTGCCAGAAACCTCTGTGGAGAAAAGTTATGTCTGGCTTTAATAGCCGCTGAAAGCAAATGCGTTGGAGAATATTGAAAATGACCTTATCTTTGTTGTAGACTTGTCTACAGCATTAATGAATGCACTTGGGTCTGAGTTTTCCTAAAAAAAGAAGAAGTTTCTTTGTGGCTAAAGTATGATAAAAAATATCACAAATATTATTAATAAGGCAATGAAGCCAGGGAAATAAATAAATACTCAAATAATCTTGATAAACAGCAGAATCTTTGAAGACAAACGCGATATTTTTTTTATGAGAAGCCCAAGCTCTTTAAATTGCTGTCTTCTCCCAAAGATTCTCAAAGCAAAGATCAAGTGGAAGAAGAACATGAGATTTTCATAATTTTTTTTTTAGAAGAGGACTCTAGAGAGATATTTTGAGAATAAGTGGATGGCAGAATATATCGTGAACCTTGCCTCCGTGAGTTAATTCACTATGAATCCAGAATAGTTTTAATAACCATAAATGCTGAGCTTCTGGAAGACCTAATCTATGGAGAAGCATACCACTGTAAAGTAAAGTTTTTTTAGTTTAATTGTTATCCCAATTCACCAAGAGATTATGCATTGTCGCGGTTAGACATTCCTGAACAGTGCATTATGCCCTCTTTCTTTGAATGAACATAACAATTAATCGGAATTTACCATTCGCCTGTATTATGTAAATGTTAAAGAGCCTATTCCATAAATGAGGTCTAAAGAAAAACTTGAGAAACTGTTTAAAAAATTCAAAGAGAATCAGATATAAAGTCTCATGAGCTTGAGATAAATGCACTATACTTTGATGCTATCTGTAGAGGGGGTATTGTCGACTATTATTCCATAGGTTGGAATTATTGGGGTCAATTTCCAAAAAAAAAAGCTTGGCCACTTAATATCTACTACTACCATAAGTCTTTTTCTTTTCTTTTGATACTATTGACGTTACAAATCTATACCTTATCTACCTTCTTACCATTACTTTAATATACGTTATACTTATTTATTTATTTTTCTTTAAATGGTTAACAAATACAGTTACACTTAGTATGTCTGTATGTTTAATGTTATATGTTATATGTAAAGGTCAGACGCAGATATTACAAGTCGTTTACCAATTGGATAGCTATATAATTTGCTTTTATTCCTTGAAATACAAAGTTTGTGTATTGACAAGCAATCTGATAAAGATATACACCCAATCACAGGCATATATTTTGATATATTTCTATCTTATTTTGAGTGTTAGAGCCTAGATACATTGCATAATTATCGGTTATTATTATTGTGTGTGTATATGGATATAAATAAATAAGAAATTACTTGGGCATAATCTTGTTTCAGCTCAATTTTGATACATTCAAGAAACCCTTAATTCGATCATTGAGTTTTACTTGTAGCCTATTATCTCACCACACCCAGATTTACCCACAGAGTCTTAAGAGCTAAAATAAATATTGGATATATTATTCTTATAAATGTAAACAAACAAACTAAAAATCCAAATCCAAATCCAAATAACCATATAGATAATACCACTTTACTATTAATGTACCTGTAATCTATGGAAAATATTAACCCGGGGAATTATTAAGGTTAAAAGCCAATTTCTCATGAGTATCAAGGATTTTGATCAACTGCCATCTGATTCACGAGAGTTATAATCATCGATCTCAAAAACAAAAGACAAAAGCTTGCGTGGAAATGGCCTGTTTAGTATAGTATCCCTCAAGTCTTTAAAATATAAGTGTACCGATCTAATCAAGGTTTACTGATTTGTAGACCTTTTTTTATATATACAAAAAAAAAGAAATGTTAAGGAAGATAGGCAGCGTATTTGTGCCGATCATTTACCTCATTGATTACATTATGGCGTTCTACCCACCCCCTTTTCTTTTATTTAAGGAATACATACGTATCACCTACTACGGCTATTCTAAAACATGGAGAACTTGATAAAACAAATAAACAAATAACCAAACATGAATAAAATGTATTGATAAATAAAAGTGGGTTTGGGCAGTTAAGTCCCTGAAACTGCTTACGTTCCTCTCTTTTTCTTTCTTTCTATTTTTCTTCACTTTATCTTACAGCACTTCTTCATCTTAATATGGTGTCAAAGGCTACCAAAAACTGTGCATGGGTTGTTGTGCTTACAAGCACAAACAAATATGTCAAAGGAGTTATTGTGATAGCAAATGCACTCAGACAGCTCAAGAGCAGTTATCCGCTTCTTGTTCTTCACACACCTGCCGTGACAGACCAAGCCTTGGACCAACTAAAGGAAGCTGGGTGTCACCTTAAATCTATTGAGCCCATCAAGCCACCTGGAAAGACTAGCTACTTTACAGAACGTTTTACGGAAACATGGACAAAGTTGGCTGTATGGGAACAAGAAGAGTACGACCGCCTGGTGCTTATGGATGCTGACATGCTGCCACTTCAAAACATGGATGAATTGATGGAAATACCGATGCCAGAAGGTTGGATTATGGCCTGCCACGCCTGTACATGTAACCCTCAAAAGATAAAGGCATATCCAGACAGCTGGTAATATATATACATATATATAATCACATCTCATCTCATCCCTTTTTAAATGTAATAAAATAGGACTCCTGCCAATTGTCCATATACTGGTTGTACAAAATCTACACCGGAACCGGCTAGTACGGCACAGTCCTATTTCAACAGTGGTCTGATCGTTCTTCAACCAAGTCAGGCCAAGTTTGATGAGATCCTCCACCAACTGATGACTGTGGAAGATTTGACTGTATATCTGTTCCCGGACCAGGACTTTTTAAACCAGGTTTTTGACCAAAAGTGGGTGAAGCTGCCTTATATCTATAACGCACTCAAAACATTGGCTGGCACACACGAGGCAATGTGGGACCAAACAAAGGTTAAGAACGTGCACTATATCTTATCAAAGCCATGGGATGCCAATAGGGAAACTCCACAGGAGGGTGAGGATGTATATTATCCACTTTATAGATTATGGTGGAATACCTACGATAGCATTCAAGCGAATTAATAGGGTCACAAGCTTATAATATACCAAAAAAAATTACACATCATGTTATGCAAGTTTACAAAGTGCTACGATTTTTTCTTTCATTTTTGGTCAATTCACGATGGCCCGGGAATCATAAAAAGATATGAACAAAATAGCTGCATTACATAAATGAATTAAACAATAATAGTAGTGATGAGGATTAGGACAGTAATACTACTCTTAATAAAATGGTTCAATTTATTTAATTATTTTAAATAAAAGTAACTATGCCTGCTAATCCATGCCCTTTAATTTGACATGGTCGCTTTTTTTCTTTGGAACTGTTTTTAGTAATGTTGTCTGACTACCCCATAAGTAAAAAGCATTCCCTCGCGTGCCGAGTTTAAATTCTCTATTTACAAAAGCCACACAGCCTTATAATTTAAAGCTCCAGGCGACATAAAAAAAAAGTAGACCCCCCCCCCCCATACACACATAATTTAAACTCGGCGCGAGAGGGAATAAGTGGATACTTATTTCATCTCTCTTGCTTTCTTGTGTTTTCTTTCACCTTAGATGCTATTAATTAATTTTGCATAGCGAGTTACTTATTTTTCGTATTAAAAGTCTCTGTAGCCATTCGTTCCATTTGGCTTATTCATTTGCAGGTAGACTTCTCAAAGTTTAAGAAAAGATGGTATGTATACTATTTCTGTTAAATTGATGAACTATTCATGTTAAGTCTACTTCTCTTTTGGATATAAGCATGAGGAAACTTAATAATAGTATTGCTTTGAAATTATTCTGTATTTCACTAATGTCTTCATAACCAGGTGCTTTTCTAGTCTTTACCTTCATATTGCTTATATGGCAATTTTCTAAAGTGTCTATTTCTTTGTACGTTTCTATTATCATTTTCTAATAAAAAGCATTGGTTTTAAACAAGACATCAAAGCGTTATATAATAAAAATAAATAACACGCTCTCATGAACCAGAGTTAATTGCCTAACTTTCTTAAGTTTTCCTCACTGATTATTGTTGTTGTTGGCACTTCAACCGAGCCTATACAATTCTTTTATGTAAAAATTTGCTATGTGGGATCGAAGCTCGTCAAATTTTCAACTTGGTGGCTATAAAATGAGTATTAAAAAGTTGGCTACATATGCAATTTTTTTTCAAAAGTGAAGAAGATACATGTTATTTGAATAATGAACACACCAATTCTTTTGAAGGTGTCAAAGTTTCTGTAGAGAAACTTTCGGCTAATCCAATGAAGCATTGAAACTAGCCCATACCCTACCTTAATGTAATCCTGTGTCTCCTTTGAGTCGTTTGAGTGGTGAAAAATACCCATAGTTTTAACAAGGGCAATTTCTATCTTGTGTTTGTTATTGATAATAATGCCATCAGCATTGTAGTAGAAATTATTATCTTTGTACCCCAACTTCAACACGTCGCAAATGGCCTGCAAGCGAACTTCTCCGGGCTGAAATCTTGTTGCTTCAATTATTTTTGACAAACGATTGATTATCACCCATATAATTCGATGATTATAGATTGTTCCAATCTTGTAAACATAATTGTTATCGATAAACAATCCAGAAATACTATAAGAAAGTAAGCTATAAGGATGCGATAAGTTCCAATTATTAATTCAAATATTCACAATGATTGAACCACGGCATGAAAGGATTTCATGAAAGGCTTATTTGACTTGAAAACTGAAGAGTATCTCGAATTTTAGGGGGGCGACCTTCTCTGATGAGACACAATATTTCCTGATGGGAGACGACATTTTGATTCTACCGGACCGCAAATTGTGAGCTTTTTATCAGCACGGAATAACTCTATCTGGCCCATAAGGATCCATTATCATTTTAATAATTAATACCAGCCAGAATATCAAATATTTATAAATATTTTCTTTTGTGTTTTCCAAAAAAGAGTGGACGAGAATTACTTGCCAGTTGATTCTGTCAAATTATGGAAATACAAGGAGGTGAAAAAAGAGAAAGACATTAGACGTTTAAGAAGGCTTATAGATAGTAAAATAGCAAGGAAGATTTCGCCACGCTTTAATGACAACAACTCCTCGTGATCTTCTGCATAACTGCCTATTGATCTAGTGTATTTGTTTTTCGTATGGAACAGTATTTTAATATTAAGTTACCCAAAGACAGGCTGTGGCTATTAAAAGAATGAGAGTTAGGTGCCTAGGGAGAGATCGATAAGCACAAAGTGTAGGGAAAAAGTAGTAAAGCTAATAAATACAATGAATATATTGTGTTTTTTTAGGACACGCCATTTTGCCCTGAAAGATTATAGAAAGAAATCGGGCCCCGGACATATAGCCACAATTTATTAATCTTGTTATATAGAAATGTCATGCCCCACCAGGAAACGTCGTCTATGTAAGACTGTTGGATAATTTTCGAGATAATCAAAAAGCATGGCTACAAGTGAATTTACTCGCCACCTTGGTCCCCAGAACTCAACCCAATAGGACAGTTTTGGTTCATTTTTAAGAGTAGTGTAAAGAGAGTTTATATTCAAAAAAATATTATTCCTCAAATAATTGCAGATGCTAGCAGTCAAGTTGCCTAGTAGTCTTTTAAAGGATTTGCGCGCTATTCCACTAGATATTTTGATGACTGCCTTTGAGACTATCCTGTTTAATAAAACAATTATATATGGCTACATATATTTTTTTTAAGAAAAGGCGCGACACTGTTTTCTTGAATTGTACGACACTGTTTTTTTTTGATATTATTTTGACAAAAGGTGTATATATATTGATATAAACATAAATAAATAAATAAATAAATAAATAAAAACTCAAAACTCAAAACTCAAAACTCAAAACTCAAAAATGAAAACAGAAAAATAAAAATATGCTTGGAATGTTTGATCTCAAAAAATCAAAATAAAGATTGACCGAGATTCAAGCAGTAAAAGCAAATAGAATAAAGGGTATAAAGGGCATATAATCAAACAGATAATTAAAAGGGCATTGTAGGTAAAGTAACAAGTACAACCGGCAATTCTTCAAAGGAACCAACACCTAGCCAGTCAACCCCTCAGATGACTATCCTACCTTGAGACTTGCAATATATATTATTTAAAGAAAAATTGGGGGTGAGGACTGACTAATTTTAATTTTTTAATTTTTTAATTTTTTTTTATATTAAAGAGGTAAGGAAGGGTGACGACAAGAAGAGCAACGATCCTTGTGTTCCTGTGTGTGGGGGGGGGGGGGGGAGGATTCATAGTTGTTATTGTTGTGTCCGGTCCGAGTTGCAGATATACCCGGCTTGCCTACATCACACTGGCTCGAACGGGAAATAGTGTATTTCTATTCAGTGCCAGACTTAACTTCTGCTAAAGGTTCAAACCATGGATCTATTCCCAGTGAATTCTGGAAATGTGGCTCCTCCACCATCACAATCTACAACAGTCGGATCATACCAACTCAATTATACATCACACCATGCCGCTGCTTCTCCCATTCTAGGAGCCGGTGGGCTGCGGAGAAAACGGAAAGAAGTGCCTCGACCTGTACACAATGTACGTCTGACATGACTTGACCGTCATTACTGATTGCAATTGTATTCTCAACAACATTTTCTTTTGTTTTGGATTTGGATTTGTTTTTCGACTTTGGATTTTTGTAGTTGAAGCTTGAACGAATCCTTGGACTTACAACCGCCTCCTCGAATATCCTTGCAACAGCAGAATCTCAAGATTTAATAGCTTATGCGGCAGGAGCTGTTGTAGTGCTCTACAACCACAAACGGAATAAACAGGTAGCTTTTCTATACCCTCCAACCGTTGCAGCATCTCCAGTTACGGCAGCTGGAGGGGCTTCAGGAGCGGCAGGTTTACGTCCTGGGGCCGCACACCCACTCGCAGCCATGAGTCCTCTTCTGGCACCACTTAGTTCTAGTCAAGCCGAATTTGCTGCACCGGGAACCGCAAGGGAAACAGACGACAAAAAGAACACGCCGGCCAGCCAAAGAGCCAAACCAATCAGCTGTTTGGCCTTCTCTCCCGATGGCAATTATTTGGCTGCTGGCGAGGTAACACACATCAATACACAAATATACAAAATGATCTCTTTTATTATTATTATGAATATAGAGCTAGAAATAGAAATAGGTATACAGATTGTTGTCTAAAGAGCATAATTAATACCATGTCAATAGATGGGCCACCAACCTCGTATTCTCATCTGGGATGTGAAAGAAAGAGTGCTTCTCCACGAGTGTCGGGGGCATAAATTCGGAGTCTTTTCCCTAGCATTCTCACCGAACATGCGTTACTTGGTGTCCATCGGATTTCAGGTGCAAACAACTGGCATGGCATAAAGTCATGTGTCTAGCACAAAAGCAAGCTCATGCCTGGTATGTTGGACTCTTTATATATATATAGCATGACGGCTACATCTACGTCTGGAACTGGCGCAAGGGAACAAAGCTAGCCGGCAACAAGATCACCAGCAAGGTCAATGCTCTCTCATTTGCTAAAGATGGTACCTACTTTGTAACCGCCGGATTGCGGCACGTCAAATTCTGGTATTTGGATGCGCGCGGACGTATTCCGAAAAGAGTGAGTCAAATCAAGACATATACATATATACATTGAGAAGTTACAAGAAATCAATCCTAACACAACTCCAATAAAACAAAGGGCAACCTTTCTTCTCGGGAAACACAGGTTCTCGATGGAAGATCAGGGATCCTTGGATCCCTTAGAGAAAGTAATTTTGTAGATGTGGCCTGTGATCGTGCGACAATTGGCAATGTATATTTTCTTACAGATAATGGCATCCTATGCATGTTCAAAGAAGGCCGAGTAATTGATAAATGGGTCGACCTCCAGGCAAGTCAAGACAGAAGAAATTAAAAGTCGACTTATAGGTCAGATTGAATTAAAGTAATATGCATATATTAGGTTAAAGGGGCATACTCGCTTTCAGTATCATCCACCTATGTGATTTGTGCCTGCGCGAACGGTATAATAAGGTAAGTTTATCTTACACACACGCACACACACACACACACACACATATATATATATATATATGCACAAATATCTCTCTTGGTATACTGTGAACTGATGTAAACGTACAGATTATTTGAGCCAGAGACTCTCAAGTATTGTGGAATGATACCAAAACCACATCCTTTGGGAATCGATATTAGTTCAATAACATCTCCCGAAAGTTTGCCTGTGGCTGATGCCAGTACATGCTACCCAGATATCATTGCAGTTGCTTATGATGAGTCTACCAAAAAAGTGACTGCAGTCTATTCAGATAGATCTCTTTATGTGTGGGATATCAAAGATTTAATGAAAGTCGGCAAATACCGAAGTTTTATAGCACATAGCGATTGTGTATGGGGAGTTGAAGTAAGTTTATCTGTAATATCTTTTTCTTCTTCCTCTTATTTTTCTTCTTTCTGTAGACATGCCCTCCTCATGAAGAAGGGGCGCCTAATTCGCATATACCACCCCATTCATTTGTTACTCACTCTGCTGATGGCACCATTCGATTCTGGAGCCTTGATCACGTTAATATTGGGCTTGGGCCCTCCTCATCAGCCTCCTCTATTTCTCATTTATCTAATAGCACATCGGTTTCGCCGACCCACGGAAATTTGCCTTGGTCTGGCCAACTTTCACCTAGCAATAGTACCGTCCATGGATCATCAAACCGTCGAAATATATATTCGCGAGAATTGGTCAAGATGCTTTATGTTGATACAGATGCCGCAGAATTTTCCAAACTCAAAAAGGACGTCGGTGAGTTGGGCTGGGGGGACAACAACAAATATGCATAATGCACTGTAGTGTAGTGTACTGTAGTGTAATGTAATGTAGTGTAATACACATAATTAAGCTTAATGATGTCCTATGTTGGTTAGATCTGGCAGACGATCAACTCCCTGATTTCGGTATCAGGGCACTCAAAATAAGTAGCGATGGAAAACTAATGGCAACTGGCGATCGCAATGGTAATTTACGAGTCCACAATATGCAAACCTGGGAGCAAATCGCATTCCAAGAAGCCCACGACTCCGAAATCCTTTCAATAGATTTCTCAAACCCTTTGAAAGATGGTAAGGAAGGAATGAAGCACTTTTTAAATTCCCACACCTTTATATATTACATATCTAAAAATAATGTGAGCTTAAACACACACACATTACTGATCACATCACATTACATCATATGTATTTCTTATATTTTATTCACTAGATATGCCATGCTTGGTGGCTACAGGAAGTCGTGATAGACTACTACATATCTTTGACGTCAAACGCAACTTTCAGTTGGTCCAGAGTTTAGATGATCATTCTTCTTCCATTACAGCAGTAAAGTTTACAAAAGATGCGGATAAACTGATCAGCTGTGGAGCGGACAAAGGCGTCATTTTCCGCAAGCGTGTCACTGATATTCCTGTACCAAACGGGTGCTTCTATGCAACGTATCACAACTACTCTGGCCGTAGCACAGTGTTTGACATGGCCATGGATGTGACAGCTCGGTATGTAGCAACTGTCACTGGCGAGCGTCGACTCTATGTCTTTAGTATCGAGTCCGGTAAACCATTTTGTATCTGTAAGCCAGAGACAGCCGAAGAATTGGCCAATAGCTCGTTTGCTGAAAACTCTGGGGGAAGTTTGATCAACATCGATCTCGATCCATTTTCGGGTACTTACGCGGTCACCAGTGGCTCTGACCGTTGTCTCCGCCTGTTTGATTTAACCAATAGCATATGTATCGACAAGATCTGTGCACATGCTGAACTCGTCACTTCTGTCAAATTTCTCCGCACATCTACGGACTCACTTCGGATGATCAGTACTTGTTCCGATGGCACCATATTTGTGTGGAAGGTCAGCGATGAGATTGTGGCTCGGATGAAGGCAAGGGCTAGTGAAAGAGACACAAAACTTAAGCAGGCAACTGCCATGGGAGAATACACCACACGCGCACTAGGAAGAGGAGGGCCAGAAGACGTTCTCCCAGACGAGAAGCGGGCATTGTTGCTGGGTGGAGCTGCAAAGTCTCGCCTACGACGCGTGTCTACAGCGACTATACTCAGACCAACTGCCAGTCTTTCTCAGATGATTCGACAAGGCGAACGAAGAACTTTTTCAAGTATATCACCTGCCGAGCAGAAGTACGAAGATATATACAAGAAAGCGGCAGCATCAGGAGGAAGAAGAAACAGGATCGACACTTCAAATTCTGTCATACCTTCTCGCTTTGAAAGTCCATTGGCAAACTCATTTACTGTCAATGAGTCGACTACAACCAATAGTCCACCAACAAGCACACCACCCATAGCCGCTCATAGACATCACCGACCTTCTTCTACCGATAACCATCATGCTAAAGATGTATCGAAAAATCCTACAACACCGCCCAGAACACCTACAAACACAGCGGGTGAAAGAAAGGTACCGGAAATTCAAGGCAAGCTAGGAAGGCTATACAATGGCATTCCAACCTCTGGAAGGGAACGTCTTGTAAGTCAGGTCTCACATTATCCACCTCCACCGAGCCCAAGAGTCATTCCAGCTTACGGGCAATCGCGCCACCCTCAGCCACGTATGAATCAGGTTCTCAGACGCCAAGTGTCTCGCGATGCATTGAATAGAAAAGACGGCCAGCCCATTATAACATCACTAACCAATATATCACCTGCGAAAGACTCGCCTCGCCTAAGACCCCGGGCAAGCGAAACGATGCTCAACAAACGTGCGAGTGGAGGATTAGGGCTTTACTCTGGAAAAAGAGAGCCCGAGTCCGTGACCGAGCCACCAGGAAACATACTCCGGACACCCACTCCTCCCAAACAACGCAGAAGTAGCGGTGGTGATTTACCTCGCCAACGATCGGTAGAGCCTCCTGTACCAAAGAGAGAGATTCCAAATAATGTAGACGAACAAGACAACGGAGATGAGGAATGTGACTCAGAAATCATTCGGCACCAAGGCCAAGGCCAAGGTCAAGGCCAAGATGATAATGATGGGAATGATGGTGATGAAGAAGACGACGACGAGGATAACGAAGAAGAAGAAACAATTTATATCCCACCTACGACAGAAGAAGACATTATTGGTAATCCGTTTGAGGTATCTGTACACGATCTTCATGAAGATCCCAACGGCCTCGAAAGTAATGAAACCAACTTTGGAGAAGACGGACGGAAGTCTCCCACATCTGACAACGAGACAGCCCAGACAAACTCAGCTCCTGAAGAAGACGAGGGGTCGAGTGAGGATAATGTTGACGACCTTCTTTCAAGAGATATCGCTTCACGAGAACCAAACCGGATGAGCACTTCTTTAAGCAGAACGACATCAATGTCCATGTCAGCCCGCAGAAGTATCAACCTTGACCACCTTGCCAACGAAATAAACGCCTCTCGTCTGGTAGATGGTGTGTCAACCTTGTCACAACAATCCCGACTAGACCTGGCATCACTCAAGGATACTCCTGCCTTGAGAGAGCTTCAGAAAAAACTGGAAAATGCAACCAAGCGCCTGAGTATCACTGCACGCTATCTTTCTTCAGTTGGTCAACGTAAGGACAGTCAGAGAAACTCGACAGACAGTACCTTGAGCACTGTGAGCACCATGAGTGACACAACCACATGTTGTACTCCCTCAGAATCTGGCGAAGACTCCAGTACCGAGACAAAAGAAGATGTTACTATAGCGGAATTACCTACTCCTGGTGTGTCTAATAAGATCCCCGTCAAGGCAGTAGCCTCAGATTCAAATATAGTCAATCCAGATGATTCTATGGCAAATAAGCACAAATTTATTCAACCTACCAAGGAGAAATCCGAAGAAATTATCTTGGCCAAGTTTACAGTAGAGGAGCCTTCGCAGGGGAACCAAACTATAGAGAATGTTATTTCGATAACATACATTACAAAGGAAGAGCCGGACGCAGTAAACTCAACACATGATACACCTGCTCCACTCCAAAGTGATGTGGCGGATTCTGTTATGGTACCTCCAAAACCGAAAAAGAATCTTTCTACAGTTGTTGAAGAAAAAGCACCTGTGCTTACCAAACCAGCAGTAGAAGAGTCTGTCTCTACAAAACCAGCTGTAGAAGAATTTGTTTTTACAAAGCCAGTTGTAGAAGAACTTGCCATATCCAAGTCCGATGTAAAAGAAAGAGATATTTCTAAACTGACATTAGAGGAATCTGTATCTGACAAATCTGGGTCAACCAAGGTCTCTAAAACTTGTGACAATGATCAAAGATATGCTTTGCCTGAGCAAATAGCGGAAGCGGTTGTGGCATCCTCGGTTGATACACAGCCAGTTTTGTCAGTCGAGACAGAACCGAAAGATACCTTTTCCAAAGAATTAAAAGCAGACGTGTTTTTCTCAGCTCAGTCCACTCCGGACGAACCTGTTCGTGATGAATATATGTTTGCCAAGACTACACTTGATGAACCTATCGAACCCAAGCATGAAGTTGAGGATAAAGCTTCTAGTGGAATTGTGACAGAACAAGTTGATCAAACTCCGTCGAAAGCGAACGATACTTTAAGTGTTGGGCCTGATTTAGAAGAAGCTGTACTACCCGTATTCGATTCAGAAAAACCTGTTTTGGACAAGCATAAAGTAGAAGACGTCGTTTTGGATAAGCTTTGTGTGGAAGACGCTGCTACGCCTAAACCAATAGTAGAGGGAGTAAATAGCTTGGTGGATGCTAGTGAAGAAGAGATATCAGAATCGGATGTCCAGCTAAATGAAACAGTTGTTCACTCAAAGTCAGAAGACAACTCCCAATCTATATCCGAAGAAGTATTGACTACAGTCACCAAAGATCAAGAAGAGGAGATAATACAGGAGCACATCAAGATGAAACAAGATACAGAGCTGGATGAGCATGTTATTACCCGGCAGGCCGATGATCACATGGAGTATTTATCACAATTAAAGGATACAAAAGCTCAGAATGTCGGTACTGTGTCTTCAAAGTCTCCTCTTGAGGTCACAATCCCCACTAATAATATCCAAGATACCCTTATGTCAACATCTGCTCCTGCTACTGTATCAGAACCATCCTCACCTGTGCCACCAATGACTCCTAATGAAGATCATAATAACGAATCCATCCTGTCCGATCTTGAAGGAGCAGAGATCTTACTGGACAGCGTATTAGATGCCTTTGTTTCTCTCTCCAAGCATGCTGATCAGAATCGAGCCTTTTTGACTATTCTTGAGGGCAAGCTAGGTGAAATGAACAGCAAGATTTCACAGACAATAGATAATAAATCGGCCAACATACCCACTTCGACCTCATCTCCAACATCCCCAAGTACTCCTGTCGCGAATGAGATCGTACTCACAAACAACCTCGAAGAGCCAGCCACACTTCATCTACTCGAAAAATACTCTACCCTCTTACTGAAAATGGTGGAGAGCAAGATGTCAGCAGCATAGTTGAAATTCTATTATGGCCACTTACTTATCCACCCACGCACACCTTTTATTTTCTCTCATTTATTTGTTTGTTTGTTTGTTTGTTTGTATTCACTTTGCTATTTTCTTTTCCTCTATCTCTTTCATTATTTGCTGTCATTTTTTTTTTATCTTATCTTATTTTAATATTCAATGGGATGATACCGTAAATACCCCAACGCACACATACATCTTTATTTATATATATATATATAATATAATAGTAATAATAATAAATAAAGCACTTCCAAAATGCGATTAATATTAAGCGCATATAAAACATCATGCATTTTATTAAGTTTTATTTCGTGAAAAAAAATTAAAGTAAAATTTTAAGTAAAAGACCCTATCTGTGTGTGTGTATAAGTTATGTATTTGATTGGCTTATCAGATGCTGAGATTCAACAGCAAGCCAAAGCACGATTGTACTTTTTTTGTGAGTTTGTTCGAGTTTCATTACTTTGTAACATCATGACTCGCCTCATCAGCTTTACGTATATTGTATGGGTTGCAAGGTAGGGTTCCAAACTAAATCTAGAAACTTGCTGATCGACAGCTAATCTGGTTTTGGTCAAAGTTTATTTTTTGCCATTGCACAGGCAGCCAAGGTGAATGGTGTAATTAGCACAAATGGCATCTTGCCAGGTAAGAAAAGAGAAAGAAAGAAAGAAGAGGTATATTGAAACTTTAGTTTTATTGACTATTATTACTTTGATTTTTCCTCTATCCAGATGTCAGCCTCCTCTCTCCATCAACACGTGTTACACTTAATGGAGCAGCTTATACTACTTTGATCAAAAAGAATGGAGAGTTTGAATTGTTAGTACACATTCTATAACAACAACGAAGAAAAAAACTACATCAAACTCATCCATTTTTTATAGCCTTGACATCGTACCTGGATCATACCTCTTGGAAATTCGATCGATCGACTACATCTTCCCAAAGGTATAATTAAAGCGAACCAACAAACAAAGTTCTGAACTCATGACAAGTATTGATGGATATTTATAGTTGCGTGTGGACGTAACAGAAGACGGAGACGTGGTTGGTGCTTATACAGGAAGCGGGCACAACTGGGCTTCGACTGGACTACATATTGATCATCCTTTCGAATTAAGAGCCAAACTTGAAGCTGAATACTTTGTTGTAAGCTACAAGTGATTATAACAGCAGACGATTATACTGACTACTGTGGTGTAGAAAAAGCAAGGGTTTAATTTACTGGGTATGTTCAAGAACCCAATGTTCTTGATGCTTGGATTCAGTGGTATTGCTATGTTTATTCTACCCATGATGATGAAGAACCTCGGTAAGGGTATATAGAATTTTAAAATGATGTAAAAAAGAAAGAAAGAACTTATTGCTAAACTATTATGCTTTTGAAGATCCTGAGGCTATGAAAGAGATCAATGCTTCTCAATCCGAGGCACAGAAGATGTTGACTGAGATGCCCAGTATTTCAAAGATGTTTAATAGCTCTTAATATATAGGCATGTATGTTTTGGTCTGGGGGTTATCTACCACCGTCTTTTAGAGTTGTAACCGAAACCTTGTTTGACTATAGCCTTTTTTATAACAAATAATAAAAAAATAAAACAAAATTTCTCATCTCGTCCGTGCGGGAGGGTGTGTATCTTCTCACGGCGGAGTATGACATAATCGCCGTCTTTCTGGGGTATATTTTAACGTCGATTAACCCAGGCACTTTAAGTTTCTTTACCATATAGCATTATTTTTTATTTATGGCTTCTTTGACACGTTTTACTCGGGCAGTTGTACCCAACCTCCGTGTACCAAGATCGACCTATATCAAGTCAGCCTCGACATATGGTCTCAGTAGTCCTCGGTTCTTTTCAGCTGTTGCGCCAAAGATTAATACCCCCGAAGTGACACTGTCTCATACAGATAGTGATGCCATCCATGTCAACTGGCATGACATTCAGACCAGTCAGGCCGACCCTCACACTGCTAAAAGCGCCTACAGCTACCTTTGGCTGAGAGATAACTGTCTGTGCGAACAATGTGTCCATCCTTCCAGTCGCCAAAAGCTGCATTCCTCGGCTGACATTCCGCTTGACATTGCACCCACATCAGTGCGCATTGAAAATGGTGAAGCAGAGATTGTCTGGAACAAACCTTTGCGCCACCAATCAGATAATGTCCATGTAAGCCGTTATCCCGTCTCGTTCCTGAACACATATCGTTCCGACAAGACAAGCGAGGCTTTCAGATTCAACCAAATTAAACCAACTACGTGGTCCCGAGATGAATATGACCTTAAGTGGGTATCTTACGATGACTATATGAACACCGACGCAGGTCTTCATGAGGTCGTTCAGCGCCTCTACAATCGAGGCCTTGTTTTTCTTAAGGATGTTCCAATCAAAGACAGTGGTGCCACTGATGTGGCCGAGCGCATTGGTCCTATCCAGGAAACCTTTTATGGCCGTGACTTTGATGTGAAGAATATTGCAAAGTCGATCAATATTGCATACACTAGCCTTTATTTGGGATTCCACATGGATTTAATGCAAGTTTAATACATATATATTTAAGGTTTTTGCTTTGCATATTTGGGCTAACATCATTAAGCTTATAGGTACCTTGATAGCCCACCTGGAATTCAGCTCTTACACAGTCTTCAGAACACAGTAACTGGTGGTGCGAGCATCTTTGTAGATTCTTACCGCGCTGCCGAGCTTCTTAAAGAAAGCTACCCTGAAGACTATGAAATTTTGCAAAAGACACCTGTTGCCTTTCATTATTTGAACAATGGACACCACATGTATTATCGCCGCCCCACTCTTGTCACAGGTGAAGATCAAAGTGGACCAGCATGGGATATGCATGTCAACTATGCCCCACAATTCCAAGGACCCATGGACCACCTTTCCCCTGCCGAAGCAAAGAAATTTTATAGAGCCTACCAGCGTTTTGCCGACTTTGTAGAAGACGAGAAACTTAGATTTCAGTTGACTTTACAGCCTGGGCAACTTGGTAAGTTATTAAATTCCTCTTTTTTTTTGAAGGAGGTAATCAACTTCTATACTAACCAAATGCCTGAAAAAAAAGTTATGTTTGCCAATCGACGTGTGCTTCATGGTCGAACTTCGTTTGATCCTGCCAGCGGTGACCGTCATCTCAAGGGTACTTATCTGAACCTTGATTCTCTTAAAGACAAGTTGCGTGTCTTGTCTGCTGAATATGGTTTCAATACTGGTGTTTAAAAAATGTATACAATATTTCCTTATTTTTTCGACTCTTCTTGACCTTCTCTCTTCTTTTTCAAAAAATAAAATATAAAAAGAAAGAAAGAGAAATAGAGTGGGAAGCATAGCGTGCATGTATATTTTTTAAGAAAAGAAGAAAAATAAATAAATAAAAAGTAATTATAATAAAATATGAGATGTGTGGATGTCTTTTCTCTCTTGCTTTCCCTATGCCAACGGCTTTTGGAATTTCGCTTGAGCAAATATACGATCAACGTTGAGTTCTAGGCGCCTATTGGTCGTTTCTCTATAGATGTACTCGTTCTTTAATGTCTTGAACCCTTCAGCTTCAAATCGAGACTGGAGATCTTCGAGAGAGAAGAAATAACTCATGGTGCCTATATTAGAAAGTATGTGATTAGTTGTGTATAAGCCTTTGGTATTAAGTACATTTACTTACCATCCTGGCGTACATAAAGGTTGCTCTCGAGTTTCTTATCAGATGCTGCACTAAACTTGAGTTGTGCTTCATCATATAGACCATAATCACGGAACAGAACTGCTCCTCCAGGCTTCAAAACTTTGAAGATGTTTTGGATGGCAAAGGCGAACTTCTCGGGAGGGATTGCCGAGAAGACGAAGATGGCGGACACCTATATCAAACACACACACACACACAAATGTATATTAAATATATATTCCTTGTTTCACATATTTATCTCGATACTTTACTAGATCCAAGCTTTCTGCAGGTATATTATCAGTAAGTGAATCTTGAGTCAAGTCGCACACAAATGCTTTGCAGCGAGATTCATCATAATGTTCGTTGTCTTTAACCATGTCAACAGCTCGTTTCGAAAAGTCACATGCGTAGATAAAGAGGCCAGGGTTCTCGATAAGAGCCGGGAATACAAAGTTGCCAACACCACATCCAACCTCTAGGCAAACCTTTTGCATGCAAATCAATAGATAATTCTGAATAATTGATAAAAAGATGTTTCCTACCTTTGATTGACCTTCTTGGTAAGCAAGGTCCTCAAACTCACGGTTGGTCCAGTGACGATCTATGCGAACAACAAAATAGGTATTATAGACTAATATTATCTAAATTATACATGTATATATATATATAAGTACCCTTGAAGAACTTGGTTGTGTTGCGTCTATAGAACATGTCCCAGTTCTTGGCTGCCTCTTTTTTGTATTTATTGATCCAAAACGCAGGGACTTCTTTTGTGTCATTTCCGATCAATTCCTGGGCACGCTTAACATGGCTTTCAAGTCGTTCATCGTCCATTTTCAGGCGAGCGGCATCTCGATTACGCTTGGGAACATCAGTAACGTCTTGCATGTCAATGATCAAAGAAAAAGAGGGCAGTCACTTGAAAGAACAAACTTGCTTGAACTTGTTAAATTGGCAGAATTTGGAATCCAGGACAGCGGAACAGTCCCCTAGAAACTACAATTTTTTTTTATATTTGTCAAAAAAAAAAGATACCGATGGTTTAAAAGCAATAGATTACAACCTATCCAAGTTCTTCAATTCACAAATTCAATATACCAACTTTTGTATTTTACTATATAGAAAGTTGGTTGATTACCAGTACTTTTAAAAGAGTAGATCTATTGAATATCCTGTGTGATATTTATGGCTTGTTACTGTTGTTTCAATTTCAACTACTTATATATAAACGGAAAGATCACTTTTTTTGCAGAATAACCAGAAATTAATATTAAAAGGAAAAGGTTTCAGCGTAAAAGTAATTGGTTTTTTTTTCTTTTAAGAAAAATAGAATATTTTGTGGTACAGTATATGAATCACCACGCTCATTTTCTATAGCTGTTATTGCTTCTGATGTATTTGGTATGGACAGACTAAAAGTTCAAAAAAAAAAGGTAAAAAAAAGGCAAAGATGTAAGCCGTATTATTGGCTGATCTTCTTCCACTGCCATCAGGATTAAGACGGAGAGCATCTTTTTGATGGAAACGATGTGCTGTAGAGGGCAAGATGTAGAAATACTTGCGATAAAATATTCTTAATGACAGAGACGGGATTATAAGCACAATTTTATCTAATATGTACTCGAACTAATTTCGAACTTTTTTTTCTTAAAAAAAAAGTGCGGTCAGTCATAAATTAGTCTGATTGGCCAAATTCAAGATGAACTAGTTTTACCCTTTTTTGCATTTTTTACCCTTTTGGTCTGTCCACACCAAACGTTTTATAACTTTTTGTATGTGAACTATTGCGTAACTGATTGTATCTTGGAGCTCTACATTATGCGCCTACATTGTGCGCCTAAATTCTGTGAATACTCTTAACCTAATGTTTTAATTCTTGATCGGCTTTCTTTTTGCTGTGTGTATTCTGTCAAAAATAAAATAATTTAACTTTTCTATATGTCAGTTATTTATAAATTTGCATAGCAATCAGTTTGGTTTTTTTTTTTATTTAATTTTTGATCCTTTCGAATTACGCTTTTTTTTTGGATAATATTTGCCAAAATTCTATCAAACTTCTTGTTCATATTTTGCAAATGGGTTTTCTTTAAATTTATTTTTCAGTAAAAGTTCTTGCCGTCCGTTACAAGGAATAAAAGGTCGCTAAACCAGGTGATTCGTTAGTTTCCTAGCTTTTGTTTTAAATCAGTGAGAGAAGGAGAGATAAAGCTTGTAAATTTACAGAAAAAAAAAGATAGGTGTTTCAATTAAGCGACGTGGACAAAAAAAGATGCATTATATCGAGACAGTCACTTGGTTTCCTTTTTGAACCAGTTCTTTCACTATGGACTTTCTAAAGAGTGCCATCGCAGAAGAGATCTCAAAGAAGCGCAAGGTGATCGACTCTGCTTCTTCAAATGGCCGTGCAGAAAAGAAGAAGTACCTTAGCCGAGCAGAGTTAGAACGTATACGTGAAGAAGAGTATCATCGTGAAGAAAATGAACGCATAGCCAAAGAAAAAGAAGTAAATCTAAATCTAAATTAGAATTCATAACATCTGATCCTCTAATGCTAACATTTTATACTTTATTAGAAAAAGGACATTCAAAAAGAAAAAGAGGTAGATATATAAATAGTTAATTGAATATTGAAATGATAATGATATAGTGAATCTAACCAAATGAATAGGATCAAGTCATTAGAGAACAAGAAAAGCAGCAGGCAGCAGCCAAAGAAAGCAAGGAAAGCAAAGAAGAGGTATGTGATATATACGATGGTCTGAAACAACTCCCTTTTTTTTAAACGGTCAGCTTTCAGCATGTAGAAATTGAAACCTTTAATATCTCTCGACAAGAAGTAGTCCGTCGTCTACGTGCCAAGGGTCAGCCTATTCGACTGTTCGCAGAAACTGACAAACAATGCAGAATCCGTTTGCGTGCTCTGGAGCTTATGGAGGAGCGATCAGAGGTAAAATATTAACTGAACAAGCATTTAGTTATTTATTTATACATTTATGTATTTTCGAGAAGAGTTAAGCTGTTGTTGTTGTTGTTTGTTTTTTTTTGCTTAACTAACGCTGGTTTGTAGGATCAAGGACAACGAAATGACTTTATGCGACAGTTGGGAGAGATGGAAGAGGGCATGAAGTTGGATGTACTGAGACAAAAGGACGGTATTGTAGATGATAAAAGTCTCAAGAAGCCCAAGAAGCCAGATCTTGTGGTAGAACCAATTACCCTAGGATTACTTCAAGCAGATCGTGATAGACTTAATATGCAGATTTATGCTTATTTGGCGGTAAGAGCCGTACCTTATTTATTTAATATGTATTATAAAAGTGCAGTGTTTTAAATATTTCTGCTATAGTACACTCAACAAGAATGGGCAGACTTTATGGAGCAGCGACCAGAAGAAGAAAAGCGTAGTACCCAGGGCAAGAGAGCTGCTGTTCTTCAGAAACAAACAGCTGAATATATCAAACCCCTTTTGAAACAATTGAAAAAGAGAGTAAGTCAAAGAAGAAGAAGAAAAAAACTCGTTCTCGACTGACACCTTTTTTTCTATATGTATATTCTTTCAGTCCCTGGAGCCTGACATTTTGGCCCGTGTTGCAGAAATTACCCACCACATGCAGAATCGTCGATACCGTGATGCGCAGGATTCTTACCTCCAGTTGTCTATCGGCAATGCTCCATGGCCTATTGGTGTTACCATGGTTGGGTAAATTGCTTGAACACTTAAAATATATCACAAAAAAAAAGACAAATTTACTTATCAAACTATACTACTAGTATTCACGAACGTTCTGCTCGTGAAAAGATTTTCTCCTCTCAGGTCGCCCATGTGCTTAACGATGAAACTTCCCGAAAGTGGATTCAGTCTGTCAAGCGATTGATGACATTTGCCCAGAGCAAATACCCTCCCGACACCCTCAGCCAAATTTCATAATAATAAAAAACAGACAATTGAATAATTGAACATACATAAAAAAAATAAGAAAAAAATTAAAAACAAGAAACCAGCTTCTTTATTGTTCCGCCCAGCGACCCTTTAGAATGAAGAAAAAAGCCAATATATGTTATGATATTGTTTGGCTTATAGATTATATTTTGGCTTGAAGATCCATGAATTGCCGAGGATGCCATGTCCCTGAGCTGCTGCCAGACGATAATACTTAGCAGCCTGAAAGAGATCCTTTTTCACACCATGGCCATTATAATAGCAATGTGCAACATCATTCTAGGATGTTTCGTTAGTATTACAAAAGGGGGTATTTAGGGGTGTTTTCTTCTACCTGTCCATCAGCATCTCCTAATTCAGCAGCAATTTTAAAGTAATAAAAGGCGGTTTCTCTATTCTTCGGAACTCCCCAGCCTTGTTGGAACGATACACCCAATTCATATATAGCCATAATAAGTTCTCCTTTGGAGGCCAATGCGTTGTTATTCATCCCATGCAACTGGAGTAATTCATCGACAGCATGCTCGGCAGCTTTTTGAAGATAATGAAAAGCAAGCGAGCCGTTTAGTTGACAGCCCTAAATTACACAATAAGGAAGGGGGGGTTTACCGAGGCCAATTGTTAATTGACGGTACACATTTTGTTATCGTTGTTGTTGTTGTTGTTTTTGTTTACATTACCCATCCATGGCGCAGAGAGATGCCATAGAGAAACATGCCGATAGGAGAACCTTGTTTGGCTGCCAGGCGAAAGAAATGGGTAGCTTTCTCCAATTGGCCAAGTTCATGGCACTCGATACCCTTTTGGACATGTGTGTCAACCTGACGATCAATTCCAAGTTGTTTCTTATTGGCTTGGCCATTGTATCCTTGTCTTTCTCTTTCCCGGGTGATTCCGTTAATTGCGGCAGCGGCAGCGGCAGCTTCTCTTAGAGTAGCATTGGAGCCTTTGAGCTTCGGAGTTGTATGTTAAGAAAAGGGATGTGTGACAATGATGAATTTCAATTCATTTCATTTCATTTCATTCCTTATTTATTTATATTTATATTTATTTTTGAATGTCCATACCTGCAAAGAACGGACAACTTCTTCATCACAGTCATTGGACTGCAATCTAATGAACGATTGTCAGATCAATCTTGATCCAGTTTTATAATTTAGTTTAATTTACGTGACTGATGAGGTACTCGCATGGCGACCTGTTACTGAAATAGATTGACAAACATGGTTATTTGGTGGTGGTTCCTGATGTTTGTGGAATAACAAGTGTAGACGCTTGAGCATAATAAGGACAGAAAAATGTGCGTAGAGAGAGAAAGAAAATGAGAGAGAGAAAGAGAGAAAGAGGTATTTGTGACAAGATAGCGAGTGTTGTGTTTGGTAATAGAAGACCCTCAGGGGGTCCTGAATCTTGCTTGCATATAAGGAGGACGAAATGAGACTAAACAAGGGATATAAAAAAAACCAGAGGACAGGATAACTTGTTTATTATGAAGATGTATGTGTGTATGTATGCCTTTATACAAATCATTCAGGTCTTTGATTTGGGAAGCTGCCGAGAACAACTACATCAAGGCAGAATTGATCAAGGTCCTTAACGGCCTTTTGAACATCTTCATTCTGCTGATGACCCGAGCATTCAACAAAGAACACATAATGCCATGGGTGCAAGCCGCTAGGGCGAGAATCGATCTTGAAAAGATTCAGGCTATAGTCCTTGAAAACCTTAAGGCCATCGCATAACGCACCAGGCTGACGATGATCCACAGTGAATTTGATGAGAGTATGGTCATCCTTTGTAGCGTTGTCACTAGAGGTGCCGATAATCAAGAAACGTGTGGTGTTTGCTGTACAATAGACACAATATTCATTTGTATTAATAGACTGTTGGATATTGTAATCTGTTCAAATGTCCCTTTCTTCATCTTCTTCCTCTTTTTCCTCTTCTTTCTTCTTTCTTCTTTCTTCTTCTTACCTGCGCCGTCCTCAATATCGCGTGCAGTGACCTCCAAACCATACAGCTCGGCGCATATCTCACTGCAGACAGCGGCAGCACCTGTTTCCAAGGCAGCCTGTTGAGCAGCCTCTGCTGTTGACTTCACCGATATCCGCTTTGCATTTGGCACATTTGCCGCCAACCACATTTGGGTTTGTCCCAATCCCTAAAAGAAGAAGAATGGTCCCTGTGAGTCCAATGAAGCCAAAGTCCGTGACCTCTATTCTAATTCTGATTCTAATTCTTTTGCTTTTATTTCATTCTTTACCTGAGGATGACTATAGACCTTTGTGATCTTGTCTAAAGGTGAATTGGACAAAAGACATTGGTGAACCTGTATATATATATATAAAAAAAGAAAGAAAGAAACGATTAAAACCATATGCTTGTGTCCCATTGAATCTTATAAGTATACTTACGGTCAAATAAGTCTCTGCTCTCACTCGTGTCTTGGTCTTAACAAAACGGTCCAGGGTCTCAACCACGGAACCAAAATTGGAGTTTTCGAAAGGGACAATACCATATGTGGTCTGACCCTTCTCGACAGCATCAACAACATCTTTTTTTTAATATACAGAATATTGTTAATATATATATATGTGTGTGTGTGTATGTATAATTTCTATTCTATTAATAAATTTTACCAGAAATCTGCTTTTGAGGTACATAAACTACGCTGTCCCCCAAGCGTTGATATGCTGCCTGATGAGAGAAAGTTCCTGGAGGACCAAGGTAAGCCATAGAAACATCTTTTTGAAGTGAGATTGAGGCAGACATGACCTATGTATTTTATAGCTTAATTTCATGGCTTTAAATACTTGAGAATCTAATCTTACCTCTCTGAAAATTGCATGGAGAGAATCGTCTTTCAATGGACCATGATTCAATCTTGTCAACTGGTTGAGGGTTTTTTTTGGTATTAATATGTTATTCCTCTTTAAGTATTTTTTTAGTGTTACCTTTGCGTAGACTTCCTTTTCTCGTCCTGGCATGTAGACATGCAGATCTGTTGTTGGTAGACTAAAAAATAAAGCAATAAAGTAATGAAGTAATGAAGGAATGTCATTAGCATTGCAAATAATAAAGGTTTGGAAACAAGTGTCCATTTTTATTTGGTATTGTACCCTTCTGTGTTATCCAATTGACGTTTTGCTGCTCCAATATCAAGTGAAACGCGTGCACGTTCATTGAGAATATTGACAAGAGTCGTATCGAGAGTATCGATTTTCTTTCTAAGCGAAGGCAGATCTGACATTTTAGAAAAACAAGACGATTAATTTCTGGTAAAAAAAAAATTGAACGAATGTGCTCTCTTACACTGCTGAACTCCAAAACAAGGTTGAGTCATAAGTATCTGCCAATAAACATGATCCTTGGATTAGCTTGCAGCTCTAGAAGAAGTTAGAAAGAGAAAAAATAAGATACTTGAAAGCTGATCACTTTCATAGAAACCCAATTATTGTGATGTTATCAACTTGACCAAAATATAAAATAAAGGTTACCGACAGTTGTACCTGGAAAATCCGGTCGATCTTTAGAAGTAATGAAATTTCTAAAATATATATATATAGATACATATTGTATGATTGGACAAATTAGCCGTAATATCTTATAAAATATAGTTACTCTAAATAAAGGTTTAACTTATACTGTGGGTTTAGGAGTGATATTGTGGATCGACAGGTTCTGGAATGTTGATTAGTGTGTGTGTGTATCTTTTGATCCTAAGACGCGGGTGCTTAAGTGTAACATAAGCTATTATGCTTATATTCTTATGGGTGATGCTCAATGTTAGTGGGCTGCTAAACGCACCAAAGTTTTAGATAAGGTGTGTGTGTGTGTATGTATGTAGAAAGACTAAATCTAAAAAAGATTCGATTAAACTTGGAGTGGATATTGAAAAAGGATATGTACCGTTTCAAGACAAGCACGAATGCAACACTTGGCCTCTCTTGGGCGTTACTCGTGTCGTGTTCTTCCTGACGTTCTCTGTCTTCCAAGCAATAGAATTAAGATTCCGCGAATTTCTATTGCTTCTTACTGTGCAAGCTCATCTGTCGTTGTCATTCTTTTGATCAAGCTTTTCCCTCTGATAGCCACCCCCTTTCTTGTTGTTGTATTAATTATTATCTATAAAAACCATTGTTTCTTGGTCGTTTTCCTTTTCGCTTTCTTTCTTCTTCTTTTTCTTGGATATGCAACATGAACTAAGGTCTTACGGGAGGTCAATACCATCAATACTTTTCTTGCTATTAGTAATGATGTCTAGACTTGCAGTTGCTCAACCTATCCTACAAACTACAAAGGCTTCTTATGATGGCAAATCATCTTTAACCATTACTCAAAAGGTCCAGGAGTCGGCTGGTATCCAGCCTGGATTGTATTTGGGTGACAAGTGAGTTTGTTGCTTCTTGGCTTTCTTTGGTCCAATCTATATTTATGCTTTTATTATTATTATATTTAATTACAGGTGGTTTTCAGAAGCAATGGATCAGCCACCCCACCACTCCGTTCCATCACTTCCGTACGAGTATCCCCAGAAATCATTCATTTCATTCGTCTTACATAAAGCAACAAGCCCTTCTCTACAGAAACGTTCAATTGGACCACCTTTCTCTTCGGCCTCACATAATACACCAGCGTTTAACGTTATACATGTGATAGCAGGTGTTCTAGGTGGACTGGGGGCAACACTTGTTGGAGTTACCATGTTCTTGATGTGCCGCAAGAAGCGCAAGAAGAGGGATAATTCTCTCGATATTGAATCTAAGCCTGTCACGCCAGCACCATCCATTCCTTCCAATAATTTAAAAGGAACCAGTTCCTCGTCTTCTGCCTCAACCTGTCCCACTGATCGTTTTGATCAATTTGCAATCGACTTTTGTTATGAAGAACGCCAACAGGCCAGTACCCACAATTCAATATCTTCGTGCACAACTTTACCAGCCGAGATTGATCTTTCTGATGATCCCGTCAGTCCGTCGATGCAGCAACATCGTCTCCAGTACCTTATTCTTCAGCAGCAGTTAAAATCCCAGGCAGCTTCAAGTTCTCGTCCTAACGCCACCAAACCACCACCGCCATATCACCCATGATCATTTCCGAGTCAATATGTGCTACTTATTAACACACATTATTGGAATATCCTTCAATATCCTTATTCACTTGTATATAGCCACCTACATCTCCCTATTACAGCCCCCTCTTTCACGCACAGACAAAAAAAAAAGACATGTGTGCGTGTGTAGAAAGTGCGTCATTTATATTTCTTTGTATTGAATAGAAATGCTGGAATATCCCAACAATTCACACAAATGCGCTTTTGCTCTTTGGCTCCATATTTCGTTCATCTTTTAAAGTTTATTTGTATATTCATGTAACCACAAATGGATATCTTGAGTCGATATTTATATATACATATTGGTGTGTGTGAGTGTATGATAGAGAGAGAGAGAGAGAGAGAAAGAGAGCATATTTGGTTATTTTATAATTAATCAAAAACACACACATATATATATATACTTTAGAGGAAAGAAAGATCTCCAAAATCCCGGCCTTCCATTCAGGAATAAAAACCACAAATAAATAAATAGAAATCGTGTTTTTACTCTTTTTTATTTTTATTTTTATTTTTATTTTTATTTTTATATTTCTTACCATTCACTGAAAAAAAATAAGATCGGCACAATCCCGTAAAAAGTATACCCGCGTTATTCAGCCATCTTTGTCATGCTTAATAGCCAATTGTATGTCAGCAAACATTGAGATCAACGCAACTCTGTATATAAGGTGTCTCACAAAGGTGTTCAATAGCGTAATAAGCAGAAAATGGATCTCACATATGTAACCTAATATTGACCCTACCTTTCTTACCCTGAAAAGTTTGTAATATACTTGATCTCTTCATACAACACAATCTGTGTGCTTAATTTGCTTTGGTTTATAAAGCAGAAAAGAAAATGAATTCAATATAGCCGATTGAAATTTACAGTCCTCCTAGAGCATATGGAATAAGTATTACTTAATACTATATTATACCTAGAATATTAACTTCACAAGAACCAGGTTATCAAAACGAGCTCTTTTTCTGTTAACAATCAAACAACTTCACTACAGCATCAAAGCTAAATTACCAGTGCAAAGAACACGCAAAAAAAAGGCGTCACATGTATGCATGTGAAAAAAGGATTGCCCTTATTCAGGACTTCATCGATCGAACACCGATGCAATATTATCCAATAATCGATGATTATCGAGAATTTTTCATACTCAAAAAGTGTGGAGTAAAAAAAACCCCCTTTTATAACATTAGTCAAGTTCAAAAGAGAGATACGTTTCTTCTTCTTCTTCTTCATCAATTCTCTTCTCTTTTGAATTGTGATAGTCATGCTCAGAACCGCAACTCTCATCTCTGCTGCCACCCTGAAGAAGGCTAGCCCTCTGGCTGCCGTGCGCGCCTATTCCTCTGCTGGCTCTCCTGGAATCATGAACTTTGGTCTCAGCGAAGAACAAAAGTCTATTCAGGAGCTTGCCCGCAAGTTCACCGTTGATGAAATTATCCCTGTTGCCGCTGAACACGATGTTACAGGAAAATATCCTCTTGGTGAGTATATTTAAAATAAAGAAGCATGTATGGCTTGGATTTCTAAAATAATAATAATTATTATAATTGATCTTTCTACTAGACATCATCAAGAAGGCATGGGAGCTCGGTTTGGTCAACACCCACGTTGAGTCTAAATATGGCGGCATGGAGCTTGGTGTTATGGACAGTGCTATTATTTCTGAGGAGCTTGCTTATGGCTGCAGTGGTAAGTGAATCCCGGACTTTGGTATAAATTATCAGCCAGCTCACGACGCGCGTAGGTATCCAGACTGCCATCGAGGCCAACAACTTGGCAGAGGCACCCCTTGTGGTAGCTGGTAACGACTTTCAGAAGAAGAAATATCTCGGTCGCATGACAGAAGCTCCTTTGATGGCTTCATATGGTGTTACTGAACCCGGCGCTGGCTCCGACGTGGCTGGTTTGCGTACTACTGCTGTAAAGAAGGGTGACTCTTGGGTTCTTAACGGCCAAAAGATGTGGATTACCAACTCTGGCTATGCCAACTGGTTCTTCGTTCTCGCACGTACTGATGCTGATGCTGCCACCGGTAAGGCCTTCACTGGTTTCATTGTCGATGCCGATACTCCCGGAATCCAGGTCGGACGCAAGGAGATCAACATGGGTCAGCGTGCCTCAGATACTCGTGGTGTTACTTTTGAAGACGTCGTCGTCCCTCAGGAGAACGTTTTGGGTAGCCCTGGACAGGGTTTCAAGATTGCCATGGGTGCCTTTGACATTACACGTCCCTTGGTTGCTGCTGGTGCCGTTGGTCTCGCCCGTCGTGCTATGGAAGAAGCTACTCGTTACTCCCTTGAACGTAAGACCATGGGCAAGCCTATCTTCAACCACCAGGCAGTTTCATTTATGCTGGCAGACATGGCGTAAGTGGCTTTTTGTAGATATATAATTATGGTTTATTGATATTTGTGTGGGCCTGTATAGTATTGGTGTTGAAAGCGCAAGAATGATGGTTTACCGCTCTGCGTGCATGCGTGACAATGGCGAGAGAAACACATGGCACGCCAGTATCGCCAAGGGTAATTAAAGCGTTTTTTTTTTTTTTTTTTTTTTAAAAAATGACTATTTTTGTTTTATTCATTTTAACTAAACTGCGCTTATGTACAGCTCTTGCCAGTGAGGTTGCCAACAAGTGTGCCGCCGACGCTGTCCAGATCTTTGGTGGCAACGGTTTCAACACTGAATATCCCGTTGAAAAGCTGATGCGTGATGCTAAGATCTTCCAGATTTACGAGGGAACTTCCCAGATTCAGAGACTTGTTATTTCCAGAGGTCTTGCTGATATGGCCAAGTCTGGTGCAAGTGCCCTAGGTGGCTTCTAAGTAATATTACTTATTTACGGCATTACTCAATTATCCGTTTATTCAGCCAAAAAGAGATAATAGAATTCTCTGACATTTATATACATATTTTATTGATATGCCTCCTATTCCCTTTTTTTTATATATTTTATTTTGTAAATGTTTTGTTTCTCTTTGTAAATGAAACCCCTTGATATTTCATCGCAAAATATGATAATTGTTGTCTGCATCAACATCCTCAAATTGAATGACTGGACCTTTGTAGCCTTTCTAAAATACATTACCCGCTCAGTGTCTGATATTTTTATTTTTTATTTTTTATTTTTTATTTTCAAATCTTTTTGACTCTCAATTCTTACCTTTTGAGCTACAACCGAATACCAAGACATATAGGTCTTGTGAGTTTCATTTTCTTTACGCATATCCTCTACGGCTGTATCTAATTCTTTTTCGGTAATTAACTTTTGCCGGATCCATTTTTGCCTTGATCCCTGTACTGTCTTCTCCCAATACTCGGCAAGCAAACTACCGACTGCATCACCAAATTTTCCAACGGGTGTGTGTGTATGCTCTATTCTCATTTCCATTAATTGACTTATGGAAGCAATTCGATTTGGTAACGGGTTTTGTTGACTCGGCGAGGGGGTTGTAGGTGATCCAGGTGGGGAATATGATCTAGAAGATGTGTTGACCACTAGACCTTTATTTGAGTACATATTTTCTTATTTTCTTATTTATATATTTATTTATTGAAAGGTATTTATTATCAAGCTTCTTACATTTCATAATAGTTTTCATACCAGGCCCAGCATCAATGAGATCCGCATAGGCTTCTGTACATTCAAGATATGCACCCTTCTTCATCACTCTAACCAACTCATTTAAGATCTTGTCCCAATACTCATCTGGAACAAAATCTGTCATTGATCGGATAAACACAAAGTCAAATTGATTGTCTTGATAAGGAAGCGGCAATTCTGTAATGTCGATTCTTTGATATACTATGTTCTTTGACCTTGATCTACTCGAAAAAGAAAATACATTGTCAACAATCATATGGTTGTTGTTACTGCTATTTTTTTTTAGCTATCCTCACTTTGACGGCAATGCACTCTTGTCAGCATCGATGCCTGTGAAATAAGATAATTTATACTTTGTTGCCATATCCTAAGGAGTATCGTGGTCGTACTTGGTTAGTTAACACGAGTGATCCACAATACTTCTCCTGATATGCTTAATATGTAGTTCTTTACCGATGTCCAGAAACCTGATCCACATCTTCAAAGAAAATGTCAGAAAAAGAAAGTATAAAAAAAGTTTATATTTATGTGTATTCGTTTTACCCTATATCCAATACTTCACACCCTCCAGCCTGTAACTGACGCTGAAGTGGGGCTTTAAAATCCCTGATAATCATGATTTTGTTTTCTCGATGAGTAATGTTCAACCTGGAACTAAATCAGCTTGATGATTGCACTTTTACCCTTTAAATGCCAGCTTTAAGGCATTGTGTCTTACACCATCCCGCTCAATGTCTTCAATAGAATTGGGTGCGGGTCTGTAGCTCTTTGTGTCTTTTGTACTCGAAAGAAGCTTAGAAATGAAGTAACTGGTGCGACTCGTCGAAGGAGCAACTGGCTTAAGTGCTTTTGAAACCATAGTAGAGTTTTTTTTTAAAAAAAAAAGGGAAGAGAGAAAATTTACAGGCACGGAAACTAAATACAGATATATTTATATTTATATTGATAATGGTATAAATGACGAGTATAGAAAAAGAGAGGTTTATAGGAGTCAACAGGAGTGCCAAAGAAGCTTCCATCTCTACTGCTATACTATATATTTTATAGAATATTTCCTTTTTAAAAAACCTGGTGACGTACGACATACAATGTTGTAGTCTGTGGCAAAGTTTTGGAGTTAGTTTTTCAGGTCACCTTGAATCCTTGTAGAACGATGGCACAGTGAAACATAAGACAAATTAAGCTATTTGTAATGATGTTGCTATAGCAACAGAGTGTCTTGGTCTCATACTAGTCAACACTAAAAGCTAAATACTAAGCCAAGCAAAGACATTTTGCAGGAATCCCAAGTACGATAGCTTGAGAAGCTTATATACTTAACATTTTGTATAACTCTTACATTTTTATATATTTATAAAGAACGTCCAACTGAGAATATTTATCCTACAAATACAACACCACAATTGAGATCAAATACCGCATTCGTTTGATACTATGTATTTACAGGACATCAACTAGTATTGTAGAATTTAAGTTGGTTTGAATATGAAAAATGAATTAACTATAAAACCATCAAGTAAACTTTAAAACAAGCTATGATATGTATAATTATTCAATATTAACTTGATCAAAGCAAAAGTAAAAGACTGTAAAGTAGAAGTAAAGTATAGTTTTTATTGTGAAATAATGGTATTTATTCAACAAAACCAAATAATTAAAAGAGGTTTTTATATATCTATGTACATGTATAATAATTCGTATTTAAAAAAAGCTATTTACAAATTCTTAAGATCAATCTTTCCAACTGGCTGTTTACCAGTCAAACCACCTAATCCCATATCAGGTTGCTCGGCAATATGGCTTGCAGTACCACCAGTATTAAGAGGATGTGGTGCGGAAGCCTTGCCTCTTTGGCCATCAGGAGTGTTTTCTTCACCATGTTCGGCACCATTGGTAGAGTTGGAAACAGGAGGAGAGTTGTGATGGTTGTTGACTTCATGACCAGCAGTGGCACCAGCAGCACCAAGAACAGCACCTTCAGCACCATGCTTCAATCCAGAATGGTCACGGTTATCCTGAAGACCACGGTCAGTAGAATGGGGATGCTCGCTATCCAGAACGCCTCTGTGATGATCGCCATTGTGATGACCCATGTGCTTGTTAGCTTCATACTCACCAGTGCCCAAAGCAGCGCCTTCAGCTCCATGCTTCAATCCAGAATGATCGCGGTTATCATGAAGGCCTCGGTCAGTAGAATGGGGATGCTCGCTGTCAAGAACGCCTCGGTGATGATCGCCATTGTGATGACCCATGTGCTTGTTAGCCTCATAAGCACCAGCACCTAAGGCAGCACCTTCGGCTCCATGCTTCAATCCGGAATGATCATTGTGATGGCTGTAAGTTTCAGGATCATTGTTGTGATGGCTGGCCTGTTCACGGACACGCTGGAAACCTTCAACATTGGAATTGCTAGGGAGACGATCTTGGCGGCCAGTGTATCTGAGACCAGAGTTTTCATAATCAGGATTGCCTTCAAAAGAGCCACGGTGACCATTTTCAAGATGCTTGTTGGCTTCATACGCACCAGCACCAAGAGCTGCACCTTCAGCACCATGTCGCAGACCAGAGTGAGGATCATTGGAAGCATTGTTGTGGTGGTCAAAAGGAGTGTTCTTGTAACCAGTACCATCAATTGGAGCACCATCGGGGACACGGCCAGCGCCAGAGTGAATACCATTGTTCTGATTGTGCATGTGCTTGTTGGCCTCATGAGAAGCGAGACCACCAAGGCCAGCACCTTCAGCACCATGTCGCAGATCAGAGTGAGGATCATTGGAAGCAGTGTTGTGGTGGTCAAAAGGAGTGTTCTTATAACCAGTACCATCAATTGGAGCACCATCGGGGACACGGCCAGCGCCAGAGTGAATACCATTGTTTTGGTTGTTCATGTGCTTGTTGGCTTCATAAGCACCAGCACCAAGAGCTGCACCTTCAGCACCATGTCGCAGACCAGAGTGAGGATCATTGGAAGCATTGTTGTGGTGGTCAAAAGGAGTGTTCTTGTAACCAGTACCATCAATAGGAGCACCATCGGGGACACGACCAGCGCCAGAGTGAATACCATTGTTCTGATTGTTCAAGTGCTTGTTGGCCTCATGAGAAGCGAGACCACCAAGGCCAGCACCTTCAGCACCATGTCGCAGACCAGAGTGAGGATCATTGGAAGCAGTGTTGTGGTGGTCAAAAGGAGTGTTCTTATAACCAGTACCATCAATTGGAGCACCATCGGGGACACGGCCAGCGCCAGAGTGAATACCATTGTTTTGGTTGTTCAAGTGCTTGTTGGCTTCATACGCACCAGCACCAAGAGCTGCACCTTCAGCACCATGTCGCAGACCAGAGTGGGGATCATTGGAAGCAGTGTTGTGGTGGTCAAAAGGAGTGTTCTTGTAACCAGTACCATCAATTGGAGCACCATCGGGGACACGGCCAGTGCCAGAGTGAATACCATTGTTTTGGTTGTTCATGTGCTTGTTGGCTTCATAAGCACCAGCACCAAGAGCTGTACCTTCAGCACCATGTCGCAGACCAGAGTGGGGATCATTGGAAGCAGTGTTGTTGTGGTCAAAAGGAGTGTTCTTGTAGCCAGTACCATCAATAGGAGCACCATCGGGGACACGACCAGCGCCAGAGTGAATACCATTGTTCTGATTGTGCATGTGCTTGTTGGCCTCATGAGAAGCGAGACCACCAAGGCCAGCACCTTCAGCACCGTTTCGCAGACCAGAGTGAGGATCATTGGAAGCATTGTTGTGGTGGTCAAAAGGAGTGTTCTTGTAACCAGTACCATCAATAGGAGCACCATCGGGGACACGACCAGCGCCAGAGTGAATACCATTGTTTTGGTTGTTCATGTGCTTGTTGGCCTCATGCGAAGCGAGACCACCGAGACCAGCACCTTCAGCACCATGTCGCAGACCAGAGTGGGGATCATTGGAAGCAGTGTTGTGGTGGTCAAAAGGAGTGTTCTTATAACCAGTACCATCAATTGGAGCACCATCGGGGACACGACCAGCGCCAGAGTGAATACCATTGTTTTGGTTGTGCATGTGCTTGTTGGCCTCATATGCACCGACACCAAGAGCAGCACCTTCAGCACCGTGTCGCAGACCAGAGTGGCTGTTTTGATTGTGATCTGATAAGGTTGCGTTATTAAGATTGGAGTTGGTGTTTGTGTCGAGACCAGTGCTATGGTGATTGCCTTGGCTAAGATAGGCTTCATCGTTACTCTCGAGAATACCGGCACCTAATGGATGTGGGCCACCGATAGAGTTACGCTTTCCGCTGCCAAGAGGATTGTTGTTGGTTGATGAAGAGTTTTGAAGAAGATCGCGGACAGCTTGTCGTGTTGAGTGGCGGATATTGGTAGCTTGTGCCTGATATCCTTCGCCCTGGGTAGGTGGGGACTGACGAGGGCTACGTGATCTGCCGGTCCAAGTAGGGTTGTGTTTGATCCAATCAGAAGCGTATTGTTCTGAACGACTGAAGAGAGTAGACTCATCTAAAAGTGCTCCTGAGTCCTTAAGAGAGAGATATGCCTTGTAAGCGCATGCTCTTGAGAGAGCATTGGTGTCTTGAGGGTAGGTTTTGTTGTTTCCGAAGAAGCTTTCGTGGTCTTGAGAGAAGTGGGACATATTTAAAAGATATAGTATAGTAAAGTAAAATAAGGTAGATAATGAAGAATCAAAATTTCTGAATTCTGTCAGTTGTATTTATACCTTATTGTCTTATAGTTGTCTTATAGGATAGATTCTGTAAGTTGAACCTTTTTGGAGTAAATGGACTTTATAAAGTGAGCGTAGAATGATATCATGATTTAGAGCATTACGTTTGTCAAAAAAGGTACGACTTATCCAAAGCTATGACGATCGGCTTTAACATTTCACAGCCCGATCACGAAAGAAGTTAAAGGAATGAAAGGACGGGTTTGGGTTGATTTAAATCCAATTTTTTTTCTTTTTGAATATAATAACCATGTATGGATTAAATTACATTATATACACTACATATATTGCTTTACTCTACTCTACTTTAATGCATTTTGCCAGTAAAGGAATCAAGAAGGATAGGTGATGTATTAAGCCATAGTGAACAAAAATTGCTCTTCTGCTCTGTCCCCTTAACATTTGTATCAGGCTATGATCTTGTCCTGTTCCTTTAAACTGGCTTTACTGGTGTTTTACAATTGAGTAGTCGCGGGCAATAAATTGTTTTACTTTACTTTACTTTTCTTTTCTTTTTCTTTTTTTTTCTTCTTCTCTTCACCACAAGTCTCCGCAAGCCCCTTCTTCTTCAAAGCCAATTTGTGGATCCTTTAAAATATATATATATACAAGACAACGCTGGTTTTTAATATTCCAAAGTCTTGGTTTATGATTGGCTCTAAAAACACACCTGTTTGAGTCCATGCTCGATCAGTGGACTATAGTCCTTGATAGATCCAGCTGCAAGACGATCAGTAAGATCCTTAATTGACCTATCTTCCGTTGGGCATTGGCTATCTTGGGCTAAGATATCACGATTTGGCATGGCCTCCAAGGATCGCATATGAGCAACAAAACTATTGTTATAGCTATCAATTGATTTCTTGAGCTCTGTGTATGCCTCATCGTATAGTGCCTGTAAACGGTCATCGTCATTTTTGTGGTATGTTGATTGATCTGTCGTTTGACGGAGAATAGACTGAGGGCAACAGAGCCTTTTTTTCAATCGGATCTAATAGGTTAGAGCCACCATAATGACGGTAAGTATATTCACAAGCATAATAGTTTTGCTTTTTTTTCTCCCTCTTATATCATTGAGTTAACTATCAACAATATACTTGCTTCGGTTACGTTTTCGGGCATAGGAGTAGCTGCAAATGGGACTAAAGAATTACGCTGTGTGTGACGATGAGGAGAATAAACACATGATGAATGGCCAACTTGATCACGATGACGATGCTTTAAGAGAGGTGCCATTAGGAAAGAAAAGAAGAAAAAGTCAACAAGAAAAATAAAGGAAAATAAAATAACACAAAAGAAGAAAAGAGAGAAGAAAAGAGGTGGTAGTAGTTCCAATAAATAGCCTTTTGACTTCTGTATGTCTTATTTAATATGTCAATATAAATATGCACAATATTTATTTAGTACTTCCGCATTACATTTCCTATTCTTAATATATAGAAAGAGAGATCTTGTTTCCAGTTAGATGTGACGTGAGCACAGACATCTTTATCAAGAATATGTCCTGTAACTGTCATTTTAGATCAAAGAAACTTTGTATTAATTGGTTTTCCCACCCTCAAACAAACCCAAACTAGCGTGTCATTCGATCTATTAAGATCATATGAACCATACATATTTCTGTCGGATACGTTCTCATTGAATCATACCGCTCTCATTAAGTTTTATTAATTCTATTACTATTACTTCTTTATAATTATAATTAACACTAATGTACAATACAATACAATACAATACATATAATACAAGTTACTTATACAACACTCTTAAGCTCTTTGTTTTCCTTTGCCTTTGCCTTTGTCTTTGCCTTTATCATTCTTTGGCTCCTCGATTTCTTCTACCTTTTCATCATTAGCATCATCATCATCCTTGACCTGTTCAAACTTCTCGCGCACTTTAGAGTAATGTGCCAATTCTGTAGCCGAAACACTCGGAATTAATTCCTCCAGAGCCTTCACAAAGTCCACTTCCTCAACCTGGACAACAATGTCCTCAGGTGTTGCAAGGTGAGACAGGTAGTATTGAGCTGTCACAACATCAGGAAGTCCCTTCCGTTTTTCTTTGTTAAGCTCTTTCACCTTGTCCTCGATTGTATCTGCCACACGGGTCATGGCCTTCAGCATGGCATCTGAACACAAGGCGTAAAAGTCGGCACCTGTGTAATGGAAAGGACATTTTTCAGCGACCCGCGCAAGATCAAGATCTGGATGTAAACGAAACCTTTTTTTTTAAGAAAAAAAAATTAATACACAGTCTTTGTTTTTGAAATCGTTAACATAAAATAAAATGACAATTACTTTCTGGAAAGGGCCTGGATAATACGGAGCTGCGATTCATGGGTTTCACTGACACCAAGATAAAGCAACTTGTCAAAACGACCGGGTCGCAAAAGGGCCGGGTCCAACAAATCAGGTCTGTTGGTGGCGCCAATGACAAACACATCTCCTACACCGGCTTCTTCTCCACCTTCACTCATGCCATCCAGTTCGGCTAGCATCTGACTCACAATACGATCCATCACACCACCAGAATCGCCCTTTTCTCCACGCTTAGGGGCAACCGAATCCAGCTCGTCAAAAAAGATAACACACGGCTTGGCATCTCGTGCCCGCTGGAATACTCGGCGCACATTGGCCTCAGACTCACCAATATACATATTAAGTAGTTCAGGACCCTTGACTGAAAAGAAATTGAGTGAACACGAGGTAGCAATTGCCTTGGCCAATAGAGTCTTTCCCGTTCCAGGAGGGCCATAAAGTAGAATTCCGCTCCGTTTCTTGAGACCTGAACCAAACAGCTCGGGGTGTTCAAGAGGTAACTGGATAGTATCCAGAATGTCATCCTTAACATTGGCAAGACCTCCGACATCATCCCAGGTAACATTAGGAATCTATCAAATTGTTTAGTTGACTTTAGTTATTTGGGCAATTCATTATAACTTGTATATAAATATTCTTTCTACACATTTTGGATCACTTGCCTTGGGTGCTCCGATGGAATCAGAGTAACTGGCCCGTGCTTCGTTGAGTGCACCATCAAAATCTGCAGCTGTCAATGCAACACCTGCTGCCTTGATATCTTGCGTCCTTGCGCCGTTTCTCTCCGCGCCATATCTTTATCATCATCATTATTATTTAAGAAAAAAAAACCCCCCCAAAGCCGGTCAACATTCCCTAAAAAATTAACCGAGACTTGTATGTATGACTTACACTGATTTGTGAATGCGCTGAAGAGCCAATACACCAGTGCGTGCCACTAAATCAACTAGGTCTTTACTGACAAGAGCGGCTGTTTGAGTTGCCAAACTTTTTAGCGATACATCTGGTGCAAGAGGACAGCTACTTGTAAGATTTTTGAGGATTGATAGTCGTGTTTTTTCATCAGGAGCCTAGTATATATATATATACAAAGCAGATTAGATTAGATTAGATTATATGAAAGTAGATAAATTCCAATTGATCTGATATTTTATATATATAGTCTGTAATATGGTTATGTTACCTCCACAGAAACTTCATGTCTAAAACAAGCCAATATACTAGTTGGCAATGCATCAATATCACTTGTAGTAGCTACGACCATAACAGGATATCCTGAACTGGTGTAGGCTGAATTGACAGATTTAATACACTCTTGTAAGACCGTTGCCAATAAAGGTTCTATTATACAATATGTTAGTTAATACAGAGTCCCTCTCCTTGCACATACTCAATAATATTGTTATATTTTTTTTACCTTGCCCGGTTTCTACTACTGCTGTTTTACGTGCAAGTGCCTCGATACCTCTTACAAGCACAATACAAGGAGCCAGCGCAGAAGCCTTTTCAAACTTTGCTCGCATGTGAGCCTCAGTCTTTGCATCTGTTTCTGATACGACATCATATGTTGCGAATTCAAACAGGTGCACACCTAGTGCCTCGGCAACCTGTTTTACCATGGTAGCTTTGCCTCCACCGCGTGGACCTAGTAATAATACGTTACAGGATAGTTCAAAATCTCTGCCTAGAGGATGAAGTGACGAAGAAACGAGTTCATGCAGATTACAATATGCACTAGTAGATGAACGCTCAAGTGGTAACTGCGACAGGAAATCATAATAGCGCGAGAGATGGCCTGCTGGAATACGAGACTGCTCAACACCTGTCTGGATCATCTTTGTCTGACTAGGGATTATCTTGCGTCCGTGACCATAATAAGATGGATGGACACCGTTAGATTCTGTAGGTTCTTCAAGACTGGTTACTTTGAAGTAAGCTAGTGTTGTGGGTTTACGAACAAAAGCATCCGCTTGTTCATCCTCTTCCTTTGGTCTCAGCCTAGCATTCTCTTCATCTAAAGGAATGGCAAGTATATCGCCTTTACATACGATCCTTTCGCGTACTTCAAACCACTGTTTGAGAGCCTCTAAGAAAGCTGTCTGAAGAGATTTGTCCATAGATGAAGGAGATGCGATTCTAGCTATAGTAACTGCACTAGCCATAGGCGGGTTAGGGTTAACTGTGAGACGGGTAATGGTCACTACGTGATCCTCCATAGAAGAAGGGGGTAGAGGTAGCCCAAGATTAAAATAAAGTATGGGCGATAGAAACAAAACGTCAAGATCACTATGATCCGAAACACAAAAAAATGGGTTTATGAGTATTTTTTAATTATACAGTAAGCTCAAGCCAACCACCCATATAATAATAATGATAATAAAAAGAACAAAGGACATCAACACAAACACACACACACACACACACATATATATATATATATATATACCTTTTTGCTTGTTCCTGATTGTTGTCAATACCATAAATGCGACAAAGTCGGGACTTGCTGCTGTCGTTGGCTGCAACTAGTACCCAGTCACCGCTAAATACTCCACAACGACCAAGATCCTTGATGTTAACAAACACTCTACTTTCAGTGTCTTCTGTTATTGGAGGTATAGGAAACAGGCGTGACTCAGGCCAGGTGGCAGGTAATATCTGCACCCTAAATTCCTGAGGAACTGCCAGCTCTGGCGAATTATGTATATCAAGCAAATTGAGTGTTGACATTGCCAAGACATGTTCTTCTGTCTTTTGGGTTTCTGGTTCCTGAGACGCAAGATCCACAACAAATATATCTGTAGTCTCTGTGGTACGCATATATCCTTGCTGAACAGGATTTGACATGAGGATCTTGAAGTTATAATCTCCAAAGTTATAGATACCACCAGATCGAATCAACAGATTTGGTTGACTAAACAATGCACCTAATCCCTGTTGATCTATAAGATCCAAATGTTTGGGTCAGTGTATCGTTCAGATGTACTTTCTCCTTTTTTTTAAAAAAAAAAGAAAAATAATCATAATCAAAAGCTTGCCTTGCTGTGCAAAGGTATAGGAAGGAGTATCCAGGGCTGCAACAATCAACTCGTCAAGTTCAATCAACTGTACAGATTCGATGCTTATAGACCACTCGTCTTCTTCTTCTAGACGACAGCCTTGGCCATATACTGATTTGAGTAGTTGTATGCCAGCATAGACAGTATTGATATCCTCTTCTTCTGAGAGGGTGGCTAGGGCCAGGAACGATGGTTGAGAAAAGGATGGTATTTCTGTGGGTGCTTGGGTGCTCAGGGACGGAACGGAAATAGAGACCGGAGAGACTATATAATTTATATTACACACAAAATCAAGTTGAGTCAGCAGGAATGGAGAATGAGAAAAAAAAGTGTGTGTGTTGGTCTTTACCATTACTGTTGGAATCTCCACGCAGAGCCTTCCACAAGTCTTTTGAAACAGATACTGTTTGTGTGTTTGTCGAGTCAGAGGGTCTTAAGGTCGCTACAAGGGTAGGCATCGAGTACAAGAAAAAGCAAAAAAAAAAAAGGGTAAAAAGGTGCAAAAGGAAAGAGAGAGGAAAAGAGAAATAGAGATGGTTATTTGCGGGGAAAGTTATATTGACCCATCTCCGCTTCAAACAAGCCAAAAAAAAAGAGTGAAGATTTGAAAGCTACTTTTACTTTCTTATGACACGCCAAAGATCAGTTATACAATATATGAGTGATAAACAGAAGAGGAACTTCGCTTCTATCTGTTTAGTTTTCTCTTGCATTGTTTCTATAATATAGCTTTTAGGGTTCAATTATTAGCCAATGAGAGCCACTATAGAGAAATATTCTTGAATCTTTCTTTTAAAATCGCTTTTGCTTTTGCTCTTGCTTTTTGTGCTTGCCACTCTCAAGAACCAGTCAAAGGACACCATTTTTATTTATATATAATCTAATAAAAAGGTTAAGCCGAAAACTTATTGGCATTTTTTATGACTCCCCTGTTTTTAATATACACTCTTTCCGGAAATTATTGGTGCAAAAATAAAAATCAATTTGGTGCACAAACAAAAATAAATTTGGTGCAAAAATAAAAAATTATTGGTGCAAAAATAAAAAATTATTTGGTGCAAAAATGGAATGCACCAAATGCACCAAAAAAGATGAATTAAGGTGCTCTTCAGCGATCTCGGTATAATTATTTTGGTTATAAGAAAAAAACGGGAAACTACAAATAAAGTAGAGAGACTGCTTTTTATAGTAATCATGCTATACAGCCATAGATTTTGTTCCAAAATTTGATGCTAATTGTATGATTTGATTGGTGAAAAACTTTGGGAAACTACTTGGTAAAATTATATTGAAAAAACGCTGATATAATTAGGAATGATAGGACTAATTGCAGCCTGCTAAAATAGCTATTCATTTTTGGTGGCTTTCTTTAATAAATATCTTTATATATCTTTTATCTTTGTTCTTGTAATATTTGCATAGAAGTTTCTTTTTTTAAGAAGTCGATAATATTGAGCATAATTTTATCTTTACTAAAGTTAATTTCAGATAGTAAGCAAAGATATTGTTGTTTATTTTGAATATTTTAAAAGTAAAAAGGAGTGAAAAGAGTAGAGCATAAAAAATGAAATTTTTAGAAGACGTTTTAGTAAAACCGTAGTTTAAAGTTACTTTTATTATTTTAGCGTCGCTTTGAGTTATACCGAGTAGTTTCCCCTGCAAATTCGCGCGTAAAACTACTTGGAATTAACAATTTTCGGAAAGTAATTCATAATTTTTTGGTGTATAATTACTATATTTAGATAAAACTTTTCTTTATCACATAATTTTGAATTATACCGAGACCGCTGAAGAGCACCTTTAAGCAGAGAAATGGTAAAAAATTGCACCAAATTTTATCTTTATTTTTGCACTAAATAATTTTTTATTTTTGCACCAATAATTTCCGGAAAGAGTGTATATGATATATATTCAGGGTTATATTTGATCTGTTGTACTTTGAAACACAAAGTTTATATTCACGTGGTATTTGTGTCTTTTCTGATGAAATGGTCTTTTGCTAGCAATTTATATATATTTGTCCGCTACTTTTAGATATTAAGACCTTTGCCTACACACACTAATGATGATAATAATAATATTATAAAGCCACAAAGACTTTTCGGCCAAATGAATGAGAGAGAGAAATCTATAAAGCCATATAAATATCGTTTGTGGGTAAATGACTTATTCTTGTATATTTAATACAAAATATCTTGTCAAGTACAGGTGTTTCAATTACCTAGTTTGAAGAACTTTCGTCTTAACAGGTCGAACATTATCTAGCCAACAGCGATTAAATGAAATTATACAAGACCAAAGAATAATCATAGTCCTATTTTATCACGCTAAGGAAGCTAGAATCTACAAATATTATTAAAATTATGAATCATGAAACCTGAATCTTACAAACTTAAACTCGATTCAAGTAATGTGGTGCATCGTACACTAGGTATTATATCAAATAAATAAGCTTTGTATAATGAATCCTCATTTTGGAGAAAAAGCCTTTCTACTTTGAATAAATGCTCATCTTGAATTTGTACAAGGTAAAAATGAATGGCTACTAATAATATTATATCTAAATAGATTCCTTTTAAAAGAGATGTCTGTGTAGGGTTAATGATATTTGAAAAGCAAATAAATTATACATCTAGTTAGATATTGGCTTTATTAACAAATCAGTCTCAGCTCTAACTCAAAGCTGTTGTACCTACAGGAGAATATTATCATTTGATTGATAAATAGAAGCACCATGCGTACCGTATGTAGCGGCAGTCTACTGTTAGCCCAATTTATCAAATAGGAATACCACTTTTTTTTATTTATTTATTGTTCATTGCTGGAAGAAGACATTAAAATTCTCACAATACATTCCTACATATAATAATAATTTACAATAGGATAAAGTTGACTTTAAAGAGGTAAAACCTCCTCCCTCCCAAGAAAAGCCAAAATAATAATCGACACTTATATTGCAAGAATTGCTGTAATTTTCAAAAGAAAGGTTCACTTTCGCCTCCAAACAAACTCGCCATTTAAAGAGTATCGTATATTTTGAATACTTTTATAACAAACAAAAATTGGACTTTAAAAGCATACTAAAAACGAATATGAACGAAATGCTTGTATTTTCAATATCCATTCAAGAGGAATTGATATTAGAATACCAGTATTTGACTTTGAGTAATTTTACGGAGGTCGAGAATTCAAGTTTTTCATTGTTTTGTTTTGTTTTTATTTATTTTTAGAGATAATGATAGTAGTAGATAAAGACTGCGGAATAATATTAAATAGCTTATTTCTCTATATCAACACACACATATGTATATGTATTATATTGGAGATATCGATAGTAATTTTAAATATCAAAGAAGATACCAGTTTCTAATATTTTCTGTCTATATATCTATTTATACTTTTATTACTTGCTTGTACGTGGTATTCTTTATAGAATAAACTGAAAGAAGTCAAAATATATGCTATGAACAAAGAAGTATAAAGAAAAAAAAATATGTGTTTTCCAATTATCCAATTTATCCCCTCTCCTTCCCCTTTTTTTATAATTTTAAGATTTTCATATATATAGTTTTTTTTTCATATAATAATAGGTGTGTAAAATATACAGATATAGAACCGACGGGCTTTTATTATTGTTGTGGTCGTTTCGCACTCGCTCTTTTTGACATTTTTTTTTCTTTCTCAATCTCTCTCTCTTGATTTAAGCCATTTCTCTATATCTCATATGAATTACCTGGTCATGGACAGATGTACTGAAACAGCAGCCCACGATTTGGCAGAAGTACGAAAGTTGATTGAAGGAATGAATGCACTTGTCAACAGTCAAGCACTCCAACAACAACACCAGCAACAACAGGCTCAGCAGCAACAACAACAACAACAACAACAGCAGCAGCAGCAGCAGCAGCAACAGCAGCAACAACAACAACAACAACAGCAGCAGCAACAAGCTCAACAACAGCAACAGCAGCAAGCTCAACAGCAGCAAGAGCAATCTATTCAATCTACCTCTAATCAACAACAACAGGATCAAGAACAACAAGATCCCGGATTCTCTTCCCTTTCACTCGATACAAATCCTATAACAAATGACTTGATGTCAGCCTCTCCTGCTCTCGATGCATTATACAAGTGAGAGCTTTATACATCTCTAATCTAGATTCGCTCATTTCCCTTTTATTAAACAATTAGTATACCCACGATGGCTATTCCCACGGCAGGCATTATTGTGGAAGTCAACCATTTGCTGTTCAATCGCACGTCTTATTTTCAGCTAGCACGTAAGAAGAAGGAACATCATCACTTGGGATGGAATGTAATGTGAATTGCGGATTGGGTTTGGTTAGCCGATGCCACGATTGAACCTCTGATCGCCTGGTTGCGTCTCTCGTTCACCGATCACTCTATATCCGGAATGGTCTTACAATACAAAGGTTTCGATGGACTATGGAAATGCCTTTTGAACCGTAAGTCTAAAGAAAAGAAGAAGAAAAACATCAATTTTTATATGTATTCATAATAATAATCATAATACATTGCTTATCAGGTGATGACTCGTTGAAACGTATTTTGAAGCAAAGCCTAAAGGCGAACAGCATGCTTCAGATGAGAGTCCCTCGTGAACAAGACCTCTTGAGCGTAGGTTTTGAATTCTTTTAACCTTTAAGCAACTAATGTATGTGTGTATCTCATGGACTGTATTGATTGTAGTCGGGCTATACCGATAGACGCCTCTTGGCCCTTACAAAACCTAGCGTCTAAAAAAAAGAAAGAAAGAAAAAGAAAAGAAGAAAAACTTCGATTAAGACGACTAGACGACGACTATAGTAAAAAAAAGATAAACCGAACTTCATTCTTCCTCACCTTTCATCACTTACAAGATAATCTCCCCCCTCCCCTACCTTTTTTAAAGCCTTTTCTTCTTCCTTTTTCTTCTTCCTTTCCTATATTTTCTCTTTCTTCTTCTCCTTCTTTCTTTTCTTTATATATATATACACGTATATAAACTCATTCATATATATTTAGCATCATTCAACTGATCCAATTAATTACTTTTATTATTCTTTATATTTTGCAACTAATTTTTTGGTGTGCATTGAAGCCAACAATGACCTTTTTTTTAAAAGTCAGTGTTTATATAGATATATCGAAAAGCACGTCCTGTAATGATATTGGGCTTACATTTGCGTTGTAGCTATCTCTCCCTCTCTCTTACCAAAAAAAACATTTAAATAAATAAATACCTCTCTCTCTCTCTCTCTCTCTCTCTCTCTCTCTTTATATCTCTTTCTTCTCCAATTTTCTATATTTGTTAAAGGAGTATCATGAACAGACCTAAGCCTTACTCATCATCACCTGCTGTCGATCCTTTACTGTCAAATGACAATACAACAGAACAAGTTTCAACCCAACCCATGAGCTGGGACCAACTTCGGAAAGAAGCACGACAACTAGAGAATGAAATTGAGCTAAAGTTAGCATCTCTAGCCAAAGCAGGTGCTAATGTCAGTGCACAAGGGTCCTATCCAGTAGACAACAGCAAGATGAGCCAAGAACTGGAAATCGAAGCCTTGCTGACCAAAGTAAAGAAAAAGAAAATCTGACGATGAGATGAATTGATTGATAAACTTACAATTGTCGTAGCTTCAAAGCGTAATCTCGGCCATGACTGAATTTATTGAGAGACCAAGTGCAACACCCACAACACCATCGATGATCCACTTGCTCGATCGTCACAGAGATATTTTGTATGACACAACCAAAGAGTTTCGAAAAGTCAAAGTGTGATTCACCTTAATATAGAATAATAAATATATAGATATATAGATATATATAATCTTACCTTTTTTCTTATATAAAAAAAACTGGGTTGTTCTCTAGTCACAACTCAAGGCAGCAAGAGACAAGGCTGATCTCATGAACCAAGTTCGAGATGAAATACGGTAACGTGTACAAACAGGCCTGTTTAATTACATGTGTATTGGGGCTAATGTATCGGTAATTCAGATCTGCCAATGCTGGCAACACCGACAATGCTGATTATTATCTCACTGAACGTAATCGAGTCGAAAGCTCGCACAGGATGACGGATACTATTATCGAGTAAGCTTAAAGTAATTCTCTCTTCTTTCTCTTCCTATTAAATGTGTGTGTATAAATGTATCTAGACAAGCATATGCAACACGTCAAGACATATCACGCCAGGGACGTACTATACACCAAGTTAATACTCGTGTGGGCGGTATCATAGGTAAGGATAAGTTGTAGAGAGCTGAATGGGCTGGATTGGATTAGATAACTAAACATTGGATCACAAGGACGACTTCCTGGAATCAACAATATCATCAGTCGTATCAACACTAGACGAAAGAGGGATACCCTTATTATGGCTGGTGTTATATCTTCCTGTATTATTCTTATTACCCTCTATTGGTTACACATCTAGCCTATCAAGTTATTTGAGATCTAATGATTCACAACTACCCAGATTCATAGCATAGACCAAAGTATCGTTTACACAACAACAAGACTATAAAATAAATACATTTGCAAGCTTATACAAATAATAAGATATATATGATACTTGTCAATAATCGTTTCATGCCTTTTATATATATATGTGTGTGTATGTGTGATTGTATTATTGAGAGAAAATTGAATTGATGTACCAATAGATCTACAAAGAGGTTTAGAAAATACAAGAATATTTAATATTAAAAGTAGTATATAAATTGTTATAAAGAAATAATATATTCTATATAGACTGTGGCAATTAAGAAAACTATTGTTCAAATTTCAATTTTCAAAAGAATTGATTAGATATTCATGGTAGTATTCTTTGGCTATAAACTAAGTATATATAGCACTACTATATCTCTTCTACTTACTTGTCAATAATTGTTAATTAAATAGGGAGCTTTATTTGGAAGGATAATATACTCTAAGCCTGTGTCAAATGTCCTACTGCCAAATACGTTACAAACGCAACTTTTGACATACAAACACTCTATAAATCAATGTTTTTTTTTTATTTTATTTCATTTTTTGTAAAAGACGTGTTTATATAGAATTTGAAAGAAGTAGAATAATATATATATATAAAGTCTATTAAATACCATTTATATATATATATATATATAATCATACCCATTAGTTTCACTTGTACACAGTGCAGGGGATCGGTCCCTCGCTTTTGATAAGAATACTACAATGACATAAAGATAAATAGCCGTAGATATTTGGGGGTTTATATGAGAGCTGATCTATCTGTAAATCAACTTAGAGTGGTGCTGTGTATCTTCTTTTTTGGAATCTTAATAAGAGTATAGTATAGAAAGTCAAGAAAGCTGATTTGTGTGTGTATTATATATTCACAAGAGGAAGATATATCAAAAGCAGTTTAATGAAGTGTCCAGTAGTACCAATATACAAAATATTTTCACAACAATTACTTTTATTCCTCAAAAAGCAAAGCTAATCTTTTTTAGTATAAAATGGTTTTAGTTTGATCATGTAACAGTATGATCACTATTAATATAAATAAAGAGACACATATCTCAAAACAAGGCGTTGTATTGCTGTCAAGGCTGTTTGTTGTGTGGAGGGGTTCAAAGCCCTTTAAATACATCACGATTACTGTAGCTACTATGCACCATTAGTCAATTTATGGTTAAATTACACTACATAGGTAGGCTAGGTGATGAATTATTGCATATTTTGGTATTTAAAGATACCTGTATCTATACTTGATTAGATCTTAAACAAGCTGCAATAAAGAACTCCCTGGCGGAGAGTAAATTTATATATATACATATTTTTGTTGGAAAGCATATGCACCTCATTCAGTGATTTCACTTTCTCACAAAATCAAAAAAGAAAAAACACACACACAAAAAAATACAAGAAAAAAAATACAAAACTTTTACGTTGAACTCCATTTTTCAACCTATCTTTTACCCTGTACCCTCCCCTTGTGCTTTTTAAATAAAGCATCACTTCACTTATGGCGACACCTCCCAGTGTTTCTCGTCCTTCTAAACTTCTCGATGCAACGCAACAAAAAAAGCGTCTTCCACCACTTGTCATCGCGCCCTCAAAAAGCACATCCTATCAAGCCCGGCGTCGTCCAAGTATGGCACCCACTCCAACACGCACACCGAGCATGACAACCAGCAGACGACGCAATCCCGCTGGTGTACATCACAAACCACCCTCTGATATCAAGCTCCTGCCAAGACTGGAAGAAGAGAATGCCAACCTCCCATTCCAGGTGTGTTACTTATTATCCAAAATATATGGGAAGATTTCTTCCCTTTCTTTCCTTTTCTTTGCATTTTATATATGTATATATACTAATATCATCAATAGGACTCAGTTGAGTTTATCTTGGCTCAAATCGAACGACAGAACGCAATGTTAGATGAAGACCCGAAATCAGTTTGCATCCAATCCAATGAACTCAAAGCTCATCTGTCAACCCTTCAAAACCTAACTACTACAACAACCCTAGATACCGAGAAAGATGATATTGACTGGGAATTCTGGTCTTTTATGACTGAAGATTTTGGAGGGGTGGCGTTGAAGCTGCCTCACTTAGTGTCAGCCAAACTCAGAGCGGGGATCCCCGACAAAGTGCGGGGCGTGATCTGGCAGGCTATGAGCCAGTCGGCGTCCCTGAACCTCGAGACAATGTATGGCCAGCTCCTTGCAGAGAACTCTCCGTATGAACGAATTATCCAAAGAGATCTTGCACGTACCTTCCCTCACGTCGAAATGTTTAAGCAAGAGGGCGGAGACGGCCAACAAGCTCTGGAAAGAATTCTCAAGGCATATAGTCTGTATGACTCTATGGTCGGTTACTGTCAAGGACTTGCATTTCTTGTCGGACCTCTTTTGATGAATGTAAGTTTTCTGATTTATATAACTTTATTTTCTATATAAAATATATTATTACCATTCCCACTATATCTCCTTATTACAGTTATAATAAAGCAAAAGAAACTATTGCTTCTTGTAAATGGATTTGACTTGATCTGATCTGATTTTTTTTCTGATTTTTTTTATTGACTATTATATTCTATTTTATATTATATAATATAAATGTTATTTATGGTTTTCTTTAAAAAAAAATTAAAATATATATATACACTTTTAGATGCAAGAGCAACAATCATTTTGCGTATTTGTCAGGCAAGTATATTTGGGTCAGTAATCAATAACCCCCAAAAAAAACTAATCTTACCATGAACAGACTCATGGAAACGTATGAAATGAGATCTATGTTCACACTCAACATGGAAGGTCTTCAACTACGACTATACCAGTTCTCCAGTCTGCTGGCTCAGATCTTGCCAGAACTGTCTGATCATTTAGCTTTTCACACCGTCAATGCTCCAATGTACGCTTCCCAGTGGTTTCTCACACTGTTTGCCTATGCATTCCCAATCGACCTAGTATTCAGAATATATGATATTGTATTCGCAGAAGGTGCTGCAGAAACAATTATGCGCGTTGCCATTGCCATGATGAAACGCTCTGAAGATACCCTCATGGAAATGACCGAATTCGAAGATATCCTTGACTACGTTACCACTAAATTATACAATATCTACAATGATGACCCCGGTATGGTTATTACCGACGCCATTGCTCTCAGTGGCCTTATCACACGCGAAAAAATCGACCATTTAGCCGAACTATACGTCCGTGAACAAGAAGAAGAAAAGAAACAGACAGAACAAGTACTAGCAGTCCGCTTCAATTTCTGGTCAAAGCAGCCTGCCTCCCCTACTCCAAAAGCCAAAAAGCGAGAATCTTCAGGATGGCTCAACAAACGCACTTCATCGTCCTCCTCTGGTGGAGACGAAGAAGAAAAACTCAAACCCACTGTACCTCACCAAGATATAGCCAAACTTCATCAGCAGACCGAAGATCTCTTGTTGGCTCTCTCTCAACTTCAAACTGACCATCTCCAAGTCAAACAAGAGCTTATGCAAGTTCGTATGGACAAAATGGACATTGAAGCCGAACGAGACAGTTTACTCACAACAGTCCAAGAAATGCCTCGCCATGCACCTGTGGCTCCTAAACGTAGCCAGCATGGACTTCAAAAAGACTTGAATGCAGCACGACATGAAAACGTCGAAATTCAACAGGCATTGATTTTGGTTCGCCAAGATAAGGCTGAATTGATTGAACAAGTGGAAGAATTGCGTCATGAGAATGAAATGGCCAAGGATGCTCAGACACAATTGATTGAAAAGTTGATGGACTATCAGCAAAAACTAGATGCTCTTGAAGATGTTCAGGAAATTAACGAACGATTGAAACAACGTCTTGAAGATGCTAATAAGGTTGCCCAAGAGCTACAAAGCGAGAAAATTCGACTATTGAATGATCTCGAACAGGCTCGCCAGAAAGGCAATCGGCATGCAGAGTCTGAAGGTGGCAGGCGTAGACCTGTATCAATGTCGATGTCTGTATCTCCCTATATGGATCAATCTTCAGCTGCTCTTCGCCCGATTATACGTCCCGCTCTTCCACGCACTAAAAGCAATCAACGATTGGAAGTTGTTCCTACTACTAATCCTAATATTCCATCTATTATTTCTGTATCCACTACAGCAGGCGAAGGCCGATGTAGAGAATTAGAGCAGATGTTAGCAGAGGCTAAACTTCGAATTGTGGAGTTGGAAACAGCGCCCAGTAGGAATGCTACTGGATTGACACAGCCAAGTGTATTGCGTAGGAATAGGACACAGACAGTTCCTAGTGTGCCATCACCACTTGCAGCACGCCCTGGGAAGGCACGAAGTGTGACGTCAAACAGTGGACCATCATCGCCTGTGGATCCGAATCCCCGGCGAAGTTGTGACCAAATAAGTCAGCACCATCGCCCGAACGCGGCCACTGCATCCGGAACGCTTTCTAAGCGAGCGAGTTTCTATGGACGGTTCTGGTCAGCTATCGGGCAGCAAGACACACCACCTGTCAGTCCGGTCCACGATGCTGCATAATGATTAACGATATTAAATAAACACATATTTGTTTCTTATTGGTTCCTGGAGATTGGCACGTCGGATCTTGCTACGTGGCATTTGGATGAACGAGGGAGTTAGAACTCAATGGCCAATCAAAAGGTGCTACATGGACATCGCCACGTCCTTAAATAAACTTGTAATTTATATACCATGAGCATCATCTCTTTCTTCTATTTTTTTTCCTAAACACATTACAATGCTGAAACAGGTCGCCTTGCTGGCCTTTTTTGGTTTGCTTTGTGCCCTCATGGGTGTATCTGCAGCCGACGATGATAAGAAACAATATGGCACAGGTAATTACACAATTAAAAATCAACGCGAAAAGAAAAAGAAAAAGATCGACAATAAACGCGCCAACTTGAATAATTTATTCTAATCATCCTCTTTTTGTTCTAGTTATTGGTATTGATTTGGGTACCACATACTCTTGTGTCGGTGTGTTGAAGAACGGACGTGTCGATATTATTGCCAACGACCAAGGTCATCGTATCACCCCCTCCTATGTCGCCTTTACCGATGATGAACGTCTTATCGGTGATGCCGCCAAGAACCAGTATGCCGCCAACCCTGAACGTACCGTATTCGACGCTAAGCGTCTCATTGGCCGTCGTTATAAGGATAAGGATGTTCAGTCTGACATGAAGCACTTCCCCTTCAAGATCGTTAACAAGAACGGCGCACCCAACATCAAGGTTGACGTCAAGAATGAAGAAAAGGTTTTCACTCCTGAAGAAATCTCTGGTATGATCCTCACTAAGATGAAGGAAACCGCCGAAGCTTACCTCGGAAAGCCCGTCACCCACGCCGTTGTCACTGTCCCTGCCTACTTCAACGATGCTCAGCGTCAGGCAACCAAGGATGCCGGTACCATTGCCGGTCTTAACATTCTCCGTATCATCAACGAACCCACTGCTGCCGCTATTGCCTATGGTCTCGATAAGACCGGTGGTGAGAAGAACGTCCTCGTTTACGATCTCGGAGGTGGAACCTTTGATGTCTCCCTTTTGTCAATTGATGATGGTATCTTTGAGGTCTTGGCTACTGCTGGTGATACCCACTTGGGTGGTGAAGATTTCGATAGCCGTGTTATGGATCACTTCATTAAGCTCTGGAAGAAGAAGAACCCCGGAGAGGATGTTACCACTGATCTCAAGGCTATGGGCAAGCTCAAGCGTGAGACCGAAGTTGCCAAGCGTGCCTTGTCTTCCCAGATGTCCGTCCGTATTGAAATCGAATCTTTCTTCAATGGCAAGGACTTCTCCGAGACCTTGACCCGTGCCAAGTTTGAGGAACTCAACAACGATCTTTTCCGCAAGACCCTCAAGCCTGTTGAGCAGGTCCTCAAGGATGCTGGTTTCACTAAGGATCAGGTTGATGAGATTGTATTGGTTGGTGGTTCTACTCGTATCCCCAAGGTCCAGAAGTTGCTCGAGGATTACTTCAACGGAAAGAAGCCTTCCAAGGGTATCAACCCCGATGAGGCTGTCGCTTACGGTGCTGCTGTCCAGGGTGGTATTTTGTCTGGTGAGGAAGGTTCCGATAAGGTTCTCTTGTTGGATGTCAACCCATTGACTCTTGGTATCGAGACCACTGGTGGTGTTATGACCAAGCTTATCCCCCGTAACACTGTCGTTCCCACCAAGAAGTCTCAGATCTTCTCTACTGCCGCCGACAACCAGCCCACCGTCTTGATCCAGGTCTACGAGGGTGAGCGTGCCATGACCAAGGACAACAACCGCCTCGGCAAGTTCGAGCTCAACGGTATTGCCCCTGCCCCCCGTGGTGTTCCCCAGATTGAGGTCACCTTCGAAATCGACGCCAACGGTATCCTCAAGGTCGCTGCCTCCGACAAGGCATCTGGAAAGTCTGAGTCTATCACTATCACCAACGACAAGGGCCGTCTTTCCCAGGAAGATATTGAGCGCATGGTTAAGGAAGCCGAGGAGTTTGCTGATGAGGACCGTGCCATCCGTGAGCGCACCGAATCTAAGAACCAGCTCGAGAACTACATCTATAACCTCAAGAGCCAGCTCTCTGATGATGGTGCTCTTGGTACCAAGATCTCTGCTGATGATAAGGAAGCCATTGAGGATGCTATTAAGGATAAGCTCGATTGGCTCGATGAGAATGCCTTGGCCGAGAAGGAAGACTTTGATGAGAAGCGCGAGGAGCTTGAGTCTGTCGTGAACCCCATTACCTCCAAGCTTTATTCTGAAGCTGGTGACAAGGATGAGCCCTTAAGAGATCACGATGAGCTTTAAGTTCGCTTTTTTCTTTTAATCATATTCAACCCCCCTTTTTTTAATATTTCACGCATCTTGTAAAGAAGTCTAGGATTTTCTCTTTACAAAAAAAAATATACACGCACCCATACACCCATTCAATAAACTTAAAGTACAATCCAATTTTTTTTCAACTTAATAAAAAAAAGTTCCGAATGAAAAAATAAAACAATGAAACTATAGAATTTATTACCTGGTATTTCACGTTTTCTTGGCTCTGGATGCGTTACATGGTATTCTTATTTTGAAAAATTAAACATATATATATATAAGCTGATATGCTTATAATAAGCTCATTAAAGAAAAAAATGTCATTATTCGAACCTTTGTTTGCACGGATTTCGACAATCAAATAAGTTAAATATCTTTATTATCATTCAGCAGCTGGTCTCTATAGCGTCTTAAAGTTACTTATACAGAGAAATTATTAACAGTTGTTTTATTATACTCGTCTTGTTCATAAATCATTGGATTTGTTGGCCATTACCATTTAATCTTTGCTTCATTTCATTCCTTATTATTTGGCAGACTTCTTTAAATCAACAACGTTGGCTGATAGCCCAGTAAAATCCAAGGCCACAGGACAGATACAGGGTTTCTCATTTACAAATGAGAAAATCTAATAAATTCTTTGAGGTAGTAACAGGTTAATTTTAAAAAGGTCCCTTTTTCAAAAAAATTGATTTGTTTTATTTTATTTCTTAAAGCAAATTGATACTGTGGTTTACCTCACTCTTCTATATGGTTAAAAAATTTAATAAGCGATACCAACAAACTTCGAAAACTTAAAGCGCATTTTTGGGATGATTCTTTTTTCAAAAGTATTTTACATTTAAATCAAAAAGAATAGAGTGAATATCAGAGATAAACCATACGATATCGACTGTATTTAACGAGAAACACTCATAGAACTTATATTTATTGTAAAGAGGTTAAGCCCATCAATTACATTATAATACTGGTTATTTTACTATAAATAATAATAAGAAACGAGATATAAAAGGGAAGAATATGTGAACAAGCTAGTGTAGGAAACAATGAAATGTTTAAATAAGAATGATTGGCAAATTGAGATATACGAATAAATTGAAAGGAAATAATAAGCTGCTATATTCTAATTACTAAGAAAAACAAGACATTTGATAAGTAGTTATTGGAACAAAGAGTTTATTCTGGAAAGAGTTATTTTTATTGACACCAGATTTTCTAAAAAACTGAAAATGAAAATTAGACTTTTGTGCATTTAAAAAAGCTTGTATAAAGATAAAACTTACTTTATGTGAGGGTATTTGCCCATTTAATGTATTGTGCCATAGAAAGGTCAACTGTATTGCACGGGATCTTGACGCGCAATACAGACAAGAGCTGCTAGTATACCACGGGACCTTGACGTGGACATACTAGCCTAGACTGCCATTAGAGGAAGTAACGCCCCCGTCCTATGATACAATACTCGCCATACCTTCCGCCCCAGTAATTACGGCTGTAAATTACGGAACCTAAGCGTATCATACAGAGAAAATCAGATTCAAAGAAATAAAATAATTAGCATTAGACGGTACATTTAAAAAGAGCTTGTACAAAAATAAAACTTACTTCAGATGATGGACTTGAAGATTTATCGTGTCGCATCATAACAAGGTCAACTGTACTTTACGGAATCTTGACGTGAAATACAGACAAGAGCTTCCAATATATCACGGAATCTTGACGTGAGTCTATTAGCCTAGATTGCCTCTTAGAGGTCTTAATGCCTCTTAGCTATGACACAACGCGTTTCTTTTATATAGAATTAGAACATGAACATTTAAATTTGATTAGTTAAACGAATTACAGACTTTCTTTTATATACATACCATCGTGCAATGTAAATGTATATTTGAAGTTATTGCAGGGCTATTACAATCAACACCTCACAATTATATCAGGAAAACATATGTTGGCTGACGCAAACAAGAATGATCCAAGCAGGAATGATGTAAGCAATCACGTGCTGTTTAAACTCTAAGGTGATGGCTGGTCTAAAGATATCGAAACGATTGAAACAAAAAATTAAATGAAATCAGCCAATAAAATTAATTTTTTGTCTGACATTGTTGATCAAGGTACGTTTTGTAACGGCTATGTATTTAAAGCTAAAATTGCTAAATTCTTTAAGCAAAGAAAAAAAAAAGAATAGTTTGCTTATATAACGGCTGTTCTGCAATGAATTTTACTATGGTAATAATGAACTGTGGTGCGAACCAGGTTCACGAAAGGAAACAAAACCTATTAATAACCCGGTTCATTAACACGCTTATACCCAGAACCAGTTACCCGATATATTACAGGCAAGTTTCAGTATGATGGAGTGGATGTGTACTTGTAGCAATTTTCTATCACACTACTACAAATCTACGCCCTTTCTAATACAAGGCAGAATAATGGCTTTAGATAAGTATAAAAAGTACCATATCGACTATATACTTTTATACATACAGCTTGACAATAATATATCACAAAGATGGTCATATCTGCTGTAATGCTTTTATTATTATTATTATTTAGTATATTCAAGCCCCAAAGCAACATTACTAATAAGTAATGTTGCTTTGAATAATCATATGTATACCATTAATTATCATAGATTCTATACATCACACCAAATCAATCAAAACTAAAAGTTTCTCCAACTCTCCGCATCCTAGCTTATCAACCTACCTTCACTTGACGACATAATTACTGAAAGAACATAATTGGCTTAAGCAGACAACTGCTATATAGTTTGAATGTCGTTGAATTTACAGCTGAAATGAAAGAAAAAAATTGCTAAATAAAAAGGATCATTTTGATCAAAATGGGAAATTAAATATAGAAAATCAGCTATATATCTAGATCGGTTAAGAAAAGGGTCTTTAAATTTGTATATAATCTGATGAGGCACATAAAGACCCACTATCTAAAGATTGTTTGATATTGATTGCTCAAATATTGATCAAAACGTCAAAACGTTTCAATCTAAAAGAAACCCCCGTTAATATTAACATTTGGGTTATTTTATCACACGGGCATGTTTCATATCAGTGTTTCTTTAGGGTATACATTTCTAATTTTTTATAACGAGCTCTTTATGTAGCTAGAATAATATTAAGGCTTAGGAAGACCTAGTTCTTGGCCTTATATAAAACAATCTAGTATCTGTATGTTACTCTGGTTATTTATAAATGTATTACAATGATACCCTCACAGTAATTTATTTAGCCGTGTGGTGTAAATAGATTATTTGCCTTTTTTATACTTCCTTAACAAATCTAGTCATTTTTAGAGTAGTTGATATCTCCACGAATTCACACTCGTTTCTTCTCTGAAAAGTATTGGCAGACCCATATTTACGTTTTACACAACTTTACTTAATGGACAAAAAAGAAAATTTTCCAAACTTTTTTTCAGTTGTCCTGTGAGTAAAAGTGGGTATCGAAAATGGACTTTTTTGGTGCAAATAGCCCAATTTACAGTGGATCAAGATTTTATAGTGAAAATGTAGGATATTTTGGTCAATATTTGAGCAATCGATTCCCAAAGCTGCTGATAATGTGGATCGTAATGTGTCTAACCAGGTTGCTTATAGTCATAGAGGCTGCTATGTTTTATGAACTGTGATTTATAGCTGATTTTCAGTGTAGAATTTGCCAATTTGATCAAAATCATCATTTTCGTTGACAGTTAAATTTTTATCCAAATAGTACATTCAAGTATTTAACAGTTATAGCCTTAATACTACGAGATAAATCTATCTGACAAAAGTAAATTGGACAATTAGTCTCAATGACTTCCCTTTTTCTTTCTTTTGCTTAAATATATTGCTTGGAACTGTTTATAATCAATTTGATATTCAAACGGAATACGTTACTATTATAGCTTAACTAGGCAGCATTCATACTTTATATCTCAAGATAACAACCTTAGACAACTAGGACACAGATATTAAGATACGGCTAATGAAATAGCAGCCGCTTCTCAAAGGATAAATATATATAAGAGACTCAAGGGACAATAATTTGTATTTTATATGCCTTTAAATACTGATAAAAAGATAAATCCATAAAAGTCTAATATATTATGTGTGTGGGGGTCAATATAATTATATAACGATATTTGAGATGGATCTTCGATGTTCTCTACAAGTATCAGCCATCAAGGTGGGCTATTTGTACTTTATTCTTTGCACATAGACCATGTTAATGGAATACATTTAATGTAATATTGTTAGCTTATAACATTTTGAGCTATATTATCTTATTGCTAGAAGTTTATAGTACAAACGCTTTAACGTGTTTAAACCGAATGATCGAGAGACTCTTCTATGGATCTCTTTTTTAGAAAAAGAAGAAAAAATATTGCATAGTTCTTGTAAGCAATATATATTCTGAGGTACTAACATTATCATATATGTCCAAAACAGCTTTGTAATATCTCTGAGCAGATTAGATATTCTGTTTTATATTTATTTTTTAAAAGAATAATAGCACCGGATTATTTGTACCTGCATTACATGGCTCGATCTTCTTCAGGATCCAAACCTGACTTGATACAAATGAAGTGTGAAAATGGTGGTAAGATATATCACACCCGTTATATTTCCCTCGCCCCTAAATCTCATTCGTGAATAACGGAGGTTCCAATCTTGCCGACGAGAATTTACTATAAAGTAGCAAGGGTCAGCTTACTCGACTACGAAAGCGTGACTCCAAGTCATCAAAAACTCTATAAATGTTAGCAATAAATAGTCAGTAGATTTTATTGCAGGTTAGTCCCTCTATCTCCCATAACATCACTATGTTATGATTGACTGATACGCTTTACACAGCAGCCCATCCAACAGCAACAAAACTGCCTTGGTTTAATATTAAACTGTAGTACTGCAGTTGGGGGGTTTTATAAGTGGTCTGGCATTTTGTTGACAAAAAATGGTCTCATAAGAGCTGTTAATATTTATATGTGGATTGAATATAACAAGGAAGAGGGAAAGCATCCGATAGTCAATATGATTTTTTACTACTTTGGTACATGTTTTCTCTTTCTATTGGTTCTAATTTATACTAACCTGTAATTGTGTAACTGTTATGCAACGGAAAGAACAGCCAATAAGAAACAGTCATTACATCACAAGAACCAACTTTCTTGCAAGTAAATCAAAAGAAAATAGAGCAAAGTAAAGAAAGACTTGGTTTTGATCGGTTGTAGTAACAACTCTAAAGACAGAGTACAAGCTTCAATAACGGCAATTTTCAGGTTACTCTAAGCTGGTCTGTGCACTTCTTGTTCCAACAGAAGAAAATTTTCATTTTATTTTATTTTATTTTATTTTATTTCGGGAGTTTAATCAACACAATATTAAAATAAAATAAAATAAAGAATAGAATAAAATAGAATAAAATAACATATTCAAGAAGAACGTATTAAACATATAATGAAGCCCTTTTACAATAGTAGAGTACAGACCTCTTGGTGCTTGGACTTGGTGCTGATGTGAATCTATAGAAACTTATCACAGTGAAGAAGCGTTAAATATACATGAACCGGTTGGTTGTTCTTTTTGTGTGTGTGGTAATCCTCAAAGGGCGTGCGGTACCTGTATTAATCATCATGTGAAGATATACAGGCTGCCTGGTAGTTGTTTGGGGTGGAGACAATTCTTATCTACCCATACCTATGTGTGTCAAGTTGATAAAGGCGTATAAACGAATATATTGGTAGCTTAGAGTGTGATGTCAGCGCGACTACCATCAGAAAACAAAAAACATATATGTACCTCAATTATTCCCACCTCCCCTGTTTTTTTTTTCTTTCGCACTTTGTTTATACGTCATTACTCTCAATGAATTCCAAAGTATATAACGCTATCTACGCAACCTTTGCGCTCGCTTACCTGATTGCCCCAGCGCTCCTATTCATCCCTGTGATGCTATGGGAGGCTTCTCCTTTGCCCTCTGCTTTTTGCATGGCCAAACCTGCAAGAAAAAGACGCCCTCCCATGGCGGGAGTGGGTGCGACTCCATTCTTTGGCGCAAGTTCAGAAGGCGAGAGTCGAGTCGAAGCTCACGAAAAGGTGATGCGTCAAACAATCCTTGGCATTATGTCAAACTTTGTCGGCTCTTTGTGGTCTACAGGTTCGCGAACAACGGGAGAACCCTCAGGTAGCTTGTTGAGTGAGCGCCACGGAGGTATCCCAGGGCATATGTCCGTTGATGATTTTTCTTCGGAGGAGGAAGACGTTGTTTGCGTAGGAAAGTTGAACGTGTCCTTTGGAGCAGAGCTTCGGGGATATGTCCCACACCTCCTTCCTCTGCATAAGTTGGAGTGTGGCATTGCTACAATGGTGTCCCCAGTCAATGACGTGGCTGGTACCTGTGGGGAAACCCATGCAGACCTCGACGAGGGTGTGTCGAGTGAGCTTGTAGACGTATGCGATGAAGCTGAGATCAGCGTACGACTCAGATTCATCTGTGACAGATTTTTCTCAGAGGGTTTTGCAAAGCCAAGACTCTCTGCTAGATTCCTTGACGCGATGTTGGAAGAGGAGCTCAACAACTCTGAAAACAAAGCCCACCGCGACTCATTGACTGAAGTCGCTGAACCAGAGTGCGACTTGGTTCCCAAGTCAGCTAAGGAGACTTTTGTCTTTGAACAAGAGTCTGTTCAAACCCCATCGGGTTTGAATAATGCTGACTTAAAGGAGCCAAAGCCAAAGTCTGGTACAGTGGAAGGTCTTAATGAGGCGTTCGCTTTATCTTCTTGGCAGTCAGTTAATGGCTTTTTTGGCGAATGTCCCTCCACAGGACTTCCCACACCAATGGAGATTGACGACGACCTGGCTTGGAGTGAAGTCGTGGAAGTTGAAAATCCCATGGAGATTGATGATGTTGTCGAGGTGGTGGTGCCCGACGCTGTTTGTGGCGAAAAGCTCGTGGCCCACACCTGCAATCCGATGGATGAAGATTTGCAGTACGTCTCCCAGTCTGTAAAGAAGGATTGCGATACGAACAAGGTTCCAACCTGTGTCCCGCAACAGGTTGTAGACGACAAGGTGGAAAACGACATGACAGGATTGGATGCGCCCATCGCTGTTACTGCGCTGAAGCCTCAGAGTGGCGGTACTGAGCAATCAGGTGGACAGAAAAAGGGCGGAGAGTCTCTTCCTGCGTCTGTGTCTGGTCTGCTCGCCGACGGGGCAAAGAAGGTTGAGGAGTGCGCTCCTGTGGTCTTAGGACCAAAGGGCCATTCAAAGACAGTAAAGCCCGCCAGTCAAAGCGGAAAGATGAAGGCCAAGGACACCAAGGCTGCGGCAAAGACCGAGTTGGCCTCTGGCTCTCGTGAGAAGCAGCCTACAGATTCCAAAGCCGAGGCCAAGGTTTCCATGGCTGTGAAGTTGAAAGCGCTGGCTTCCGGCGCTCATATGGAACAGCCAAAAGATTCCAAGGCTGAGTCTACCGCTAGCGCTGGGAAGCCCAAGCGGTCTCTTGCCAAGGGCAAGAAACCGGCGAAGTCATTCGATGCGCCAACAAACAACGGTTTGTCGGCCGCCGAATTCCAGGCAAAGGGTTTCTAAGATGCCAAATATTCGGTGCCAGTGAAGCCTACTCCTCGTGCTACATCCGGTAGCAAGAAGGGAAAGCCTAATTGTGCTTAGCTTTTGGGTTCCATCGGCTGACTTTGGACCTAATTGTGAACGAATGTTGGTTAAGAAATAAAATTTTGCTTTGACTTGGTTCCTAAAGCCTGGTGCTGCATCCAGCAGTAAAAAGGTGGTGGAAACAAGAATATGGCTTCCGGGAAATCCCCAGACAGATAACTCAAGAATGACAATGGCTGTATCCACCCCCTTTGACTCGTAAGCTTTTCTGCGTTGGTACCGCTGACTCAGGGAAGGGTTGGGTAGGCAAAGAGGAACAAGCAAAGTACGCCACAGCGTAATTCAAGTCATGAACCGGTTCAAAGGTCTGCACATTAAGATGCGATCTGTACGCTTCACCAAGCGGGCATCTTGTCGGTCGGTTGGCCCTGGAGCCAAGCCGATGCGGTCGGAACAGAAGGTAAATCCTGAAGCTTCTGGTAAGCTTTATGGTGACACTGGAATTCCTAGACCTTTCACAGTACTTTTCCTTGGGACTGTCTGCGTGGTGATTCACGTTGGGTCTTTTGGTTAAGCTGTAAGGGTAGCCTCTTTTACGTTTGGTTCCTACTGCTTTCAGATTCAAAGGACTGGATTATCGTTTCCCTCTGGGATCGACGCCATGCTCCGCCTGTTAGGTTGGTTCTGAGTCTTGGCTTGGCATAGACAGTATAAAGAGAAGGTAGATTGTGGAGGTCTACATATGAGTGTAACTTGTGGTGGTACTCGACTTGTTTTCAATCCTGTTTGCCTCTGGTATTTGCCGTTTGTATACATTCGAGGGTGGTGCTTGCACTGCTGTAGGGTTGGCTTGAGCCTTTTGTTCGTAGGGTTCTTGTTGACTTCCTCTCAGGTCTGAGGCCGAGATCTGTGAGCGGTGGTTTTTGTACGAGTAGGGCTTCCGGAGTCCTTGATTCTGGGTTGTTTTTGGGCCACGGTGGTCCTGTTGGCTGGTCTGGTCTGGTTGACTAGATTTCTGGTATCGTTCTGGTATCGTTCTGATCTCATTCTGGAAATCGCGGTTGGCTGGGTCTCTGGCATGTTCTGTACCTGGGTTCAAGGCCTTTGTAGCTTGAGTTTTGTGCTTAAGCCAGGGAGAATGAATACTGTAGGGCACGGTGTTCATTATGTAGTCATGTCTGGCCGAATGGGTTTTGCTTCCTTGCCGGACTCTTTCTTGAAGTCCTTGGAAGGCTATCTTCCGTCTCCCCTTTTTTTCTGGTGAGTTTTCGAAGATTCACTGGTAGGCTCGGACAAGTCTTTTTGGACTTTGAGTTTGCTACACCATAGATTGTGGAAAATCTATTGCTGGGGGGTAGACAATCCCAAGAGGTTTCGGGAAAACGAGCCAAAAACACCTAGTTTCTACGCAAGATTGGCGAGGTTTTCCCTCACAGACATGACGGTATATCAGTCATTATGCTTGCTACCAGTCCTTGTGTCTGGACTCAAACGATGCGTACACATGCATGTCCAGACATCCGCAGCTATTTTGAGTTGGCAAAACCAAAGTTCATCTGCACAAAAGGATATGCTTCAATGACTGATCAATTGGGTATCAGTGACTTTATCAGTTGAATCAACATAAACTGACTATACAAAAAAAAGTTACTGAAGAGATAGCGTGGAATTCGCCGATGATTTCAAGCATCACGCAAAACCTGTGGTTAGAGTCCTAGCCACTCTCATTTGAGGAGGACTCTGATTAATATGGTCTGGTAAATGAACCAGACCAAGCAGGGTGAGCTAGAAATTGTCACCAAAAACAAAAGAAGGTTACAGTTAGCAACTGGAAATGAATATACTCAAGAAAACAAGACCCGAGTCGAAGGGCGTTTATGCACACTCTCAGTTGTGAAGGAGAAGCAAGGTTACTTTCTATGAACCTATCCAAACCAAGTCGAGACAAGTGCTTACAAGCCATGCATATATATATATATATATATAATTCCATGGAAAATTGAATCCAGTATCAAAGCAAAGTTGAACATAGACATGAACATGAAAAAAAAATGATATCAAGCATTCAAGCATTCAAGCATTCAAGTATCTAAACCTTCAAGCACAACAAGTTAAAGATCAAGTAAGGTGACCCAGAGTCTCGCCATCTCGCTGGGTTGGCCAAAAAGCACATGAAGAGTCTCGACTAGGATATGGTTACAACAAGAATAAATTCCCCATCATCATTCAAGACTATCGGCTCAGGACTACAAAAAGGTATTCGAGATGACCGGGTTTATATTATGGACCGAGAACACCGGTAGGAACAATTAGAGGCCGCCAGTAGTACACAACAGAGCTCAAGGCAAAATCAATGTGAACCACAAAGCAAGCGATAAGGCAATTTTTCAAGGGTTGTTTTTGTCTCTGGATTTCTTTGTCAGAGATAATATCAACCATTAGTCCGTTTATCCAGAAGATAAGTATTATTTATACACAATATGTTTCGGTGCTAATTATATGATATTTCTTCTTCTTCTCAGGGTCGCCCTGGGACAGGGTTCACAATACTACAACCCTTTAGAGGATACCAGAGAGAGTTTGTGAGCGTTAGACTTTACCAAAAGGTAAAGCTGCTCGGTACGCTAGTTGTACTGTTTCTCCCTTCGAAATATTGTACATTGCATTGTATGCCTGTATATATTTAGGGTTCTTGGTGTGGTAAGCCAAGATCTGGTAGCTCCTCTGCCATTCGGTGGTCAAACCCTTTTGTGGTTGACCCCATCGCTGCAAGTTGGCACATTGTTTCTGCTGGAAGCTTGGTTGTTTACTGTTGGTGGTCAAGGTCCATTCCGCCCGGTCATCGAAGAACATTTTGCAGTCCCGAGCCCGTCTCTTCAGATGATGTTACCTATTCCAATACAAGTTCCTTTACTTACAAAACAAATTCTATAAATTAAGGTATGTTATTTTGGCCATTCAAACCTACCTCATATGTAAATATATTTCTCGTTTTCTCACTCGTTTTTTTCTTTATCTTTTTAAGCCATATTAGGCCTTATCAACTCCAATAATGCAGCAAATTACGAAGCCTGAATCCTGTGCAAGAATGTCAGCAACAAGAACCAAGTCAAGCAAGAAGAATACAAAAAAAACCACAAAAAAAAAATATAAAAAATATACAAAAAAACCATTAAAAAAAAGCAAAGAAAAAAAGAAAAAAATTATATTCACAATTATCTCTCTATCTCATCTCAAGTAGAAACTTATAGACTAGCAGAATCCCTGAAATGGTCAAGCCACAGTTTGCTTATATGTCCAAGTCCGATTCCAAGTCTTGTCTAAGTCCAAGTCCAAATGTCCAAACACTATCAAGTACTGTTCTAGTACTAGTCCTAGCACATAAATATATATAAACAAGTAGAGAAGTACACAAGTAGAGAAGTATACACACACACACACATACACACATACACATACACATAGTCATAGTCATAGTCATAGACATACAAACATACATATACACACTTATATACATACATATATACATACAAAAGTAAAGGCGCATTTCTATCAAAGTCCAAAATCTGGGCTGTACCTCCAAGTCTCAAGGCCAAGTCGATTTCCAAGAAGGGGTCCAATGCAAAATTCCAAAAGCAAGTTCCAAAAGAAAAACCAAAAACCAAAAACCAAATCCGAGGCCTATACTAAGACCTGTAAAAAAACGGGCATATACTAAGTCCTCCACTCCAAAAGGATCAAAAGAAATCCGACCCTGAGGCCTATACTAAGTCCTGTCCAAAAATTACACAGGCATATACTAAGCCCTCCTCTCTCTCTAAAAAAACAACCAAAAAAAAAAAAGATGAACAAACCGAAAGAACTCTGCATTGGAACCTGGACCTGGATTGAAGCAAGGCTGCGAACTGGAACAAGACTCTGGATCAGGACAAGGTATGAAATCCCTTTTTACATATATACATACAAAGCAAATGAAGTCTTTGATCAAAAACAAAAAACAAAAAAAAATGCTCAAAAAAAGAAGCTAAAAAAAAACAAAGAGCGAAAAGAGCAATACCAAAACCCCTTTCTATTATTTTTTTCAATATCAAAACCCATCCTCTTATTACTATTCCATGAAATTGACTGGACAAAAAAAACCAAAAAAAAAAAAAGAATCAAAAAAAATCAAAATCAAAAATCAAAATCAAAATCAAAAAGTCCAAATTATCCCCTTTACTATGTGTGCTGTGTTCGGACAAAAAAATCAAAAAAAAATCAAAAAAAAAAATCAAAAAGTCCAAATTATCCCCTTTATTATGTGTGCTGTGTTTGGACAAAAAAAAAAGCAAAAAAAAAAAAGTCCGAATTATCTTTTTATTCTTTTCAATATCAAAATCATTCCCTTATTACTATTCCGTGAAATTGACTGGACAAAAAAAAGAATCAAAAAAAGAATCAAAATCAAAGTCCAAATTATCCTCTTTATTATTTTTCAATATCAAAATCCTCCCCCTCCTCATATCACTCTTAGCTTATATTGACTGGACAAAAAAGAAGAAAAAAACGAACAAAAATAAAAGATCAAAAGAAAAATCAAATGGACCAAGAAAAAAAAACTGACTGGACTTGACTGGAACCGACTGGACTGGACTGAAGTAGCATGAACTTGACCATCTTATATTATATTATATTATATTTAACTTATATTTCCTTTATAAAAATCTTTGAATAATAAAATTTCCCTCATATGTCTTTGGTATCCTATAAGAAGTTTACTGAATTAGAAAGCTCAAGGAAAGGGAGACTTTGTAAACAATTTAAGCAAGAAAAATATAAACTTTTAGAGCATAACTCACTTTCCTTCATAACACTAATAGCAGAGAATATACAAGGTGGTTTCTCATACATAAATAAGAAAATCAATTTAATTTTTTGAGGTGGTCACAGGTTAAATTAGAAAAAGTCAATCTTTCAAAAACGTGGTTCGTAATTTCCAAACAACATCATAATGATAATAGAAAGGGACATGGAGCGTGTTTTTGATGTGGCATAATGGTGTTCTTCAATATTCTCTTTAGCTGGTCATAATATAGAGCCAACCTATCTATAAAATCTCATGACAGCATGAATTTCATTGTACAGTACTGTTGAGTATAATAGAGAAAGAACAGGTATGCAGTTGATGAGAGTGATGCTTAGCACCGACAGAAGCTGTCATAAAAGTAAATAAATAAATAGTAGTATAAAGGCTGATTTTGGTTGGAATGTCTTTTCGGATTTCTGGATTTCCAGAAATGTCATTCGCCAAATGGAGCTTTACTAAAACTCACCAAAGGTACATACATACATGGCCATCCAAAAATGACAATGGCACTTACAGTCAAAATGCAATTTTACCAAAAGCCTGTTATAAAAAATGAAAATAAAAAAGTAAAAGAGGTGTTAATAAAATAAAAGAAAAGGTAGTAATAAGAATAAGAATAATACTTAAACATTTGTATTTTATTTTTGTGAGTTAGTTTCTATCAGTATTCTCGTCTTTTGCTTTTTATTAATGCTGCCATCTTTTATTTTACTTTTGGTCATAAAGGGATTACCCTATGCCTCTCTCTAAAATCCTTTGTACCTTAAAAGATCACCTATTTCATTTGTATTAATAACCTTTATTTTCCATATCTACTGTAGATTGTTTGATAATAGTCAGTTCTTACAAGGCTGTGATCATCTTATTTGTCAAGCTTTGACTTTTTTTGGGTACCCTCAATAGACTGTTCCCCAGACTCGGTACTCTTGCTCTTATTTCTGATGGTTCTCTCTTCGTCCGAACTCAAGATTTCTATAACATCTTCGTGTTTTCTTTTCAGGGATCCTTGATTTTCGGTATTATTTCTTTTAGTTGCACGAGTTGGAAGTACTGATGGTCTTTCATCGTCGTCAATAACAATAGCAGCTGCCTTTTTAACTTTGGGCCTTTGGGTCTTTGTGCTGCTGTACCCGGGTAGGTATACTTGCCACCTTGGTTGCTTTGCCAAAATTCGATAACAGTGGACGAGATCGAAGTTTGTATTCATCTCGGCTGTGTAAAACTGGCCGGCCATTGACTCCTAAACTATTGTTTAGTTATGGTATAGATAGAAGAAGAAGAAAGACTATAGCCTGGACGTCAAGTACTTACATTGAGTTCTTCGTCGGGGCTGCAGAAGGGAGATCTTTTCACTTGAGTCATTAATCCAACATATTTAAGAACTGCGGTGTCTATAACTTCCCAACGAGTGGACAAGGAAAGAGTATTGCGATCTACAGTATCATCGGTAACAGATTCCTGGTAGTGTTTTGTTATTCTAGACCAAAGGGGTCCGCTTTTCTGAGCACCACGAATTGCGTTTAATGAAATAGAAAGATAAGACCGGCAAAGTTGTTCATCCTCAATTACAGAGAATTCTTTTTTCGATAATGAAGATTCTTTTTTTTTTCATGTAAAAATACCAGCAACATTCGTAACCAAAATTACATTAACGCGACACTTTGTATTAGTTTTGGATCAAGATGACTTCTTTTTTTAAAAAAGACATTCAGACATTACTTTTACTATTATTGGCAGCCTTTTGACGAACATTGGTGGTTGGGGATTTTTTGGTCATTGATAATAGATGAGGAATTAAAAAAGAATAGTAAAATATTAGAACTTTTAAATTCGCATAAAAATTGTTTTTTTTTTAAAAAAAAATATATATCAAAGAAAGAATATCAAACAACTCTTATTTGCTGTTATTTTTTATTTTATTTTTCATTTCCATCTGGAGTGAGAAGAAGATTATGCTTTTGATGGAAGAGATGGTACTAGGAGCAATTTATTGTCTAAATTCAATGCAGAAATAGTGTATTAAGCAATATTATTGGTTGATCTCCAAACTTGAATATCTTTGAAGATTCTGGATGAGCACCCCTTTTTTTAAAAAATAAAATAAAAAGGTACGGGTAGTTATAAATTAATTTGACTGGTTAATTTTATCTTGATCTTTGCCTTGAATTTTTGGGTCTGGCTATCCCAGCTGTAAATTGTACCATATTAAACCTGAATAGATCAATTATATATTAAATATACGTTTAAAAAATAATGTAATAACTATGAGGTTTTCGGTTGTATTTAAAGTTTTCACCGTACATGTACAGTAAGACTATATATGCAGCCTTTAACTTTTGGGTTTGCTTTATTTTTCTTTTGTCTTTGTTTTGCTTAAAAGCTTGGTGATTTAAGTACTCATTGATTCGGATGATTTCAAATATTTGTCTGTTTAATAGTAATATACTATTATTATGATGCACATAGTAAATCTGCTGTATTATGGAACTATTATATGTCTGAGCTTGTAGAAACTTTACTGTTACTTTGTGAAGGCTGAACTTCTTTTCACTTTTAGATTCATAATATATATATATATATATCTTTTAAAAAAAAAGACTATCTGATTAAGTTGGTGTCATATTTTGATAAAGGTTGTATGGAACGTTCAGTTGATGGTTACTCCTATTGCAGAGAATAATCTGAACGGAAAGTTAGATCATCTGGTTATATATTATTGTGTTGTATTGTTAAAGCCTTATTTGATCCAAGTATACATGACGACAAGTAAAGAAAAAATGGGCTTATAAATAATAGACTGGTAATAGAAAGAAAATAGAATTACGGTGATGTGATGTGATAAATTTGTCTATAACATTTGCAAAAGTGGCTTTGAGTTAATTTGTGGAGAAGCATTAAACGAAAGATAGCTATCCTGGCAGCTTTCAATTAAAAATTAAATGAAATGAATAAAATAAGAAAGATATAGCTCTAGTGACAATATTAGAATATATTTGGGTTAAAGAGGTTGAACTTATTGTGTCCTTCAAAAGTAGTATGGCTGTTTTTCTTTTCTTTTTGATGAAATAATAATAATAATTAAAGTCTAGCAAGAACACCTCAAAGTTATAATTTAACTTACTGTCCTACTGAAAAGCAAAATTTTCGGTTACTAGTTTACATATATGTAAAAAGGATAATGCCACAAAATACAAAAATATCAACATTGATATTAAAGTGCCTTTGAAGAATATTATTCTATATACATTGGAGTACATTTAAACTACCTTTAATAGATCTATGTATGTATTTATATAAGTGTTCAATGTATTTTGGACCTATTACTCTGAAGCGCCTTAGATAGTTGTTTGGAAAAGGAGCAGAAACCATTCAAATGTAGGCGTATATGACAAGTACCTTTGTAGGCTTATTTGAAGCAAGTGTTCAAAAAAAAAAAAGGAATGCATGTTGGAAATGATCGATATTGAAGTACAGCCAAAACCAAAATAAATAAATAAATAAATAAATAAATAAGAAATTACACTTATTTTAGAAAAATTATAAATTAGTATAGAAATGAATATTCTACTTATTTAAAGTTTTTGTTCTTTTGAAATATAGACAACCACAAAGCTCTTGGCAAACGACCACAAAAGCTTACAATACAAAGTGTCTTGATTGCAATATATATATATATATATTCAACAAATGGAAAATGCTTTTATTGTATTAGTATTTCTTAAAAGTGCGCCACAGTTGTTGAAAAAAATAAATTAAAGACCAAATAATTTTGACTCTGCGTATAGAAGCAGTCGGAATTTGGTAGTTTTTTTTTTATATATATTTATTTATTAAGAAATATTACCAGGGCTGAGTGATTATGGTTGCACCAAAAACATATAATAAAAAATAAAGGGCATACATCTCTCTCTCTGTGTGTGTGTGTATCCAAGAGCCTTTCAAATTAGTTTGACATTTCCGTACTCAAAACCAAACTCACTATATTTATTTTTGTATTTGTACTTGAAAATACAGCTTATTATTAATCAGCTAGATAGAGGCTTATTTGTCTCTAATGTACATATTGCATTATCACGATAGAAAATAGGGCTGAGAAAATTTCTTTGGTATTATGACTCCAAGACATCTTTACAGTGAAAGAAAGAAAAAAATATATCCAAATCCAACAACCAAGCCCCTTTGACTTTCAGCCTTGACAGCCATATCTATAATTGGAACTCTTGCTTTTTTTTGTTTTGTCTTTTATTTTTTTCAGATATAAATACGGAGCCGACAGAATACAATCCGGGTTCTTGCATCCTTTTTCTTCCGTGATCAAAAACCGATAGTTCTCCTATAGGAAAGAAAGATCGTATGAAGTGTGATATTCTCTTTATTGTGTGTATCCTGGTTGGTCTGGTCTTTGCCCAAGATACTCTTGTTCCAACATCACAAGCAGCTACAGAAGATGTATCCACTCCAACTTCCCCAATTGAATCTAGTGCGGTAGCCACACCTACAGCCACACCTACAGCCACCTCAAGCGCAACAGCATCCACATCCCTTTCTGGGTGTTTTTCTGATAGCCCATTCTCGACCACAGACTACTTTGCCGATAGCAAACTCACAGACCCATTGCGTGAGTATTCATTCGTTTATTCTTTAAATCACTAACCACTACAGAGAAGAAGAAGGATTGTGTCTGACATTAATTTTCTATTATAGAAAGCTCATCATTATTCAAGGTTACCTATGCGAATACATACAAGACTGTTCAGAACATCATCTTGGGAGAATACTATATTTTGTATTGCACCCAGACAAAACCCAACTTAACAGATGTTCAATCAAAGTCATATATCCAAATTCCTGTTACAAACTTTGCTGCAGTTGATACGCGTGTGATTGGATTTTTGGATGTAAGAAGGCACATTTATTATATGCATGAAAAGTTGTGAAACAAACATTTGGAAACTAATTTTTTTCTTTCTCTTGTCTGATTCGGGTTTTTCTTATTGTAATTCTTGTAGCTTCTTGGACACAGCAATAATATCGTTTATATAGGCGACACTGGTAATCTTACCTCCCCATGCGTTACTCCCACGCCAGCTTACTTTGACCAGGCTGGAATCATTGACCGTACACGATATGATCTGGCCATATATCCCACAACATCAGTAAACGATCCAAAGGGTGTTGGTCTTGGAATGAACTATGAGTCCTCTCCTCTGGCAGTGAGTATCTGTCTTTTAACTATGTATATACCAAACTAAATCCATGTGCCTGTCTAGACTGCAGAGTGGATCAAATACATCGCTTTATTTACAAACCAGGAAAAGGCATCTGAAGTAATCTTCAACAAGATCAAAGCAAACTACGAGGTTTATCGTAACAGCATCAATCAAGCTGATATACCATGGCGACGCAATATAACCTTTATGTCCTATGATCCTTCTTCAACCCAATTCAATGTCCCCAACAACATCTATTTCCAGAACCTCACAGCTGATGCAGGCGCAAAGATCACAGTTCCTTTGGTAGCACGCCCGGGATCTCCCTTGACTATGAAGGGCCAGATGCAGAACTCTTCGGTCGTAATTGATCTCAGTCCTTCATCTTCGTTTAAGAACAACTTTGATGATTGGCAATCATGGATGGGTTATTCAGAAAGTAGTGTAAATGCAGCTGCAGACGCTGCGTTTCGGCGTTATGAAACAATCAAGCCCTATGTAAACGATCCAGAAGGTCCTCCATTCGAGCGTAACAGTCAACTTTGGCGTCTTGACTTGGTTGCCAGCAGTGACTCATCAGGTAAATCACTTTTCTTTAATGTTAATACTGAAGTCTACAGATTCAATACTCACAAATATGTATGTATATATGTAGATTGGTGGACAAGAGGATTCGCTCGTCCTGATTTATTGATCCAAGACTTAATCGAAGCGCAGTTCCCTAATTTCTTCAGCAACAGAGATAGGGTATTTTTGCGTCACTTTTCGGATAATGAGTCGATTCAGACCAAGTCAGCCGACCAGTATGGCTGTACTGTTGATAATTTGGCAACAACATCCTTTGTAACTTACTCCAACGATGTATCGGATGTACCTGTACTTTCGATCAGCTCTACTTTCCCCAAGGCTGGCGTCATTGGACTCGGTGTCGCTGGTGGGCTGGTGGCCTTGGCGTGTGTGGCCGGTGGATTTTTGGCATTGAAGCGTAAGATCAAGGACAGACGTCTGAAGCAATTCAACCCACTTGAAGAAGATCACCCGGATAACAATCCTCACTTGGATCGTCAACCGATGATGCTTGGAGCTTCTCACAATGAGCCAAGTTCACCAATATTAGATACCAAGGATGAACATGATCAAGAGGACTACTCTAAGCGTCATATTGTATAACTAGGGGGGGGGGGGGGGAGTACCATTGTTGGCTTTGCAATCAATCAGTGTGACCATGCAAGCTGACCCATAAAATACAAAATAAAAATAAATATTTGATAAAAATTGAATTTCTTACTGCCTTTATCCATCTATTTTTCTTTCTTTCTTTCTTTCGTTTGGCTACTTACAAAGAAATGTACCCTTTTATTCAATTGCCTGCTACCTGTGAACTGTGTGGAAACTGGATTCCTCAGCATTTGGTATATAAAAAAAAGATTAATTTGTATAATTCTATCTAAACAAATGGCATACAGTCTGATTGTCCTCGTAATGGTGTCCATCCCTCTCAATGGACTCTCTACCCACATAGTCACCAGATTAAAGATGGTGGGGACTCTATCCATACCCATAAAATTCCATATATCTATGCTGTATCGCCCAGACCATGTACAGAAACCAATTCATACAAAATCGACTTTCATAACAGCCATAAAGTTTAAGAGGTACTACCTTTGAACTTTGGAAAAGCCGTACAACCTAAAGTTCTCTTAACAGAAAAATGATAATAATCACAAATAACTATCCCCCCCACAACTTTCCACTATATCTTCTTGTACATATCCTTCCAATCATAATAAAATCAATACAATCAATACAATCAATACAATCACATTATGCATTCTATTGTCGAAATGAGTCATGACAAAGGTTATGCCGTGACAGCCAATGTGTCACTTTTTATGCCACCAATCATTATAGGCGGAGTACATACATAAAAAAGGGAAAGGAATGCGGAATAAACCAGGAAGAAAAAATATGTAATTTTACTATTGGTATTGCTCTAAGGATGCATACCAAAACCAACAAGATCTTCTCCAAGACATCCCTTGTCCCGCTCAATACCAATAGTGGACCATTCGGATCCATAATGATGTCCAGGATAAACTACTACTCGATCATCTAGTTTTCCAAGCGTATATCTAAGTGTGTGCTCCATAACTTTACGATTTCCACCTGGAAGATCTGTTCTGCCACACAGCCCACAAAGAAGCGTGTCTCCTGCAATTAGCCGACTTTCTTGAATTAAGACCGATTGTGATCCAGGGGTATGGCCAGGCGTGTGTAGGAATCTAAGGGTCGTCTTTCCCACAGTCAACGTCTCTGTGACTGCTGTACAGGTTGGTGCAATGCGGTTGGGAGGAATGGAAGGATTGTGTTGGAGGATTTCGTCAATGTCGTCTGAATGAACATATGCTTTTATATGAGGCACTCGTTTGAGAAGTGTACTAAGACCAGAGATTTTGATTGGAAATGCAAATAATGCAGGAGGAGATCCACCCACATGGTCGAAATGGGAATGGGTCACAATTGCAGCTACTAGATTATAACCATGTTCATCAATAATCCGTAAAATACCATCAACATCCCAGCACTGTTCTACATTAGAGAGAGAGATATCCAAAGAAATAAAGCAGACAAAATATTAACAAAAATAATAATAAACTATGTTCTCTTATTTCTTCTTTCTGTTTTGACTTTTGATTAACTAGAATTCTATGCAAAAGACTTGCCGCATCCACCACCACACATTGCTTGGTATCATTGTCTACAATGACATGGATAATGTTGCGCATATGATTAGCGAATTCATATATGCGATTCTGAATGGGATTGCGAAAGTTGCGCTCAACGCAAATATCGCGCCCGGATATGATTTGAAGAATGTTGAATCCCATGGATGAGTTGTCTTGATCGATTATAGTTTTTGCTATTCGGGTACTAATGAACTTTGCATTTTCTGGATCCTTTTGTTGTTGTTGTTGTTGTTGTTGTAGTGGTAGTGGTAGTTTATTTTAGAGACAAGTATTATATATTGGTAGTAGTTGATATAATATACCTTTTCAAGGGCTTTTTGATAATAATTCATGGCTTCTTTGTAGTCGCCTAGTTTTGCTGTAGCATCTGCATATCGAAAATAAGCCTGGTTTGTTTGTTTTTTTTTGTTTGTTTTTTTTTTGTTTGTTTTTTTTGTTTTTGTTTGGATGAGTTTGCTTGACGAATTTGATATTCCATTTGTACCTTTGACCACATTGGAGCTAGCTGTATGGCGCGTGTGGCATCATGCCTTGCTATTTTGTACTGATAGCTACGGAGAAAACTAGAGCTGCGGTTTGAATAAAGTAATGCGAGATAGTCTCGACTGCTGTCGGCAGCTCCTTCAATAGCTTTTGTATACTCTGCTGCTGCCTCAGCATAGAGGTGTCTTTCATAAAGATCATTTGCTCGACTGGTTATACGATAACTCTTATGATTAGGAGCAGGTGGGTTCATATTGATGTTAAATTAAAAGAGAGTTAATCCAAATCAAAATTTTATTATTGGGTAAACTTCTAACAAGAAAAAATAATATATAATCTACCTTTAATTATAAGGACTTTTTTTTTTCTTTAAAAAAAAAATTGTCTCAATTTAATTGTATTGACTAGATTTAAGTTGAATTTCTCCTCAAAAGGAATGAAATAGCATGGTCAATATGTAAAAATAGAAAACGCATGGGAGTAAGAATATATATAAAAAAAATTGAATTGTCCATCTCACTCTACCCGTTATTCCCAACCCGCCACGTGCAAGTTGAGTGACAACAAGCCAGCACATAATTTAATCACCCATTATGCTCGTGTGAATTGGTTCAATATGACCTTTTTGTCTTTTTCTTCTTATTTTTTATTTTGAATGATCTTTTTTGTTTTTTTTTTTTTTGTTTTTCTGGCTTTTTTTTTCTTCGAGTAAAAAAAAAAAAGAAATCTTGTCTTTACATGTACAGCCATTGGGATTCTAGAGCACAGACCGTCAGTAAGCTCAAGTGGTACAAACTTTCCGATTTGATCAATTACTGTCATGGTGTGCGCGATTATGTAATTGGGAGTACTGCAAAATTGTCGTTGTCGTATATGCCAAAGCTTCAAGCACAAGAAATATTCTTTGGCCAACGATTGAGGTTTCCCGAAGATGAAATTTACCTGTCTGAAGGTGTCGGTGAATGGAACATTCGTATCGATCGGCTCGCACTCATCCTCAGTACTCTCTTCAGCACCAACAAAATCGAGAGAAAATATCCAGACATAACAACCCAAGGTGAAGCTGAACTTGTGGTTCTGAGCTGTATTGATGATATCCTCAAGGCCATAGAGCTTCATAATGATGTCTTTGACCAGGTTGAATTTGAAAGGCGCTATGAATTAGCTTGGGGAGTGTTTTCCTCAGAATAGAATTTACATTGAATATCGTTAAAGACAAGGATGAAGTATGAGGATGATTGGTGGATTTTATTGAATTCTTATAGAAAATAAACAAAGCAAAAAAAAATTAAAAAATAATAATGATAATAATAATGAGATGGTGTATTTATTTAATGGCCGTGTCCATCATCTTCGGGGTTGCCTCGCTGATCAGGCAGGACTTTGATAAAATCGTCAATTCTCAGAATAGCAATGGCAGCCTCAGTAGCACTCTTGAGAGATTTGATTTTTGACATCGAAGGTTCCAAGACACCTGCCTTAAGGTTGTCTCGGACAGAGCCGTTGATCAATTCAAGACCATAATACTTGAGGACCCGCTTGCGCTCATCAGCAGTGTCGTTCAAGGCAGCGTTGTGGTAAGCACGCAGCTTTGAAACCAATTCAGTTGAATCTATTAAATCAAGGTGTCAGATAAAAATAAATCAGTAGATTCATTCTTTCCCTTTCTCTTTTTTTTTATCCGCTTGTCCCATATCTATCTGACTTACCTTTGGCAGCATTAACAGCTAAAGTCTTGGGAATAACTAAAAGGGCATTAGCATATTCAGCAATAGCCAATTGCTCACGCGAAGCCTAAACAAACCCATTCCTCAGAATATTAGATAACCATTGCATATATCTAGACATACTGTTTTTTTTTTTTACTTACGACACTAGTAGCAAAGTTCTCGAGATAGATACTCAGGGCGGACTCTACTGCACCACCGCCAGGCACGACACTGTTGCTCTCCAAAGTACGCTTGACAACACACAATGAATCGTGCAACGATCTCTCCATCTCATCCAACATGTAGTCATTAGCACCACGGAGAATGATTGAAGCAGAGTTCTGGATCTTGGTGCCCTTTACGAGCAAGCACTCATCATCCGAAATGCGCTCCTGAACAACCTCGTCCGCATGACCCAAGTAAGAAGCCTCAAAGGTCTCTTCGCCTTCCAGGTTAGCCAATGAAGAAATGAAGGTAGCGCCAGTGGCTTTGGCAATACGCTTCAGATCCTCCTTTTTGCAACGACGGACAGCCATTGCACCAGCCTCAACAAACAGCTTGAGGCACATGTCGTCAATACCCTTTGTTGTCATGATAACATTGGCACCAGTAGCCAGGATCTTTTGGATACGTTCGGTAGTGATTCCAATCTCTCTATAAGAAAAAGAAAAAGAAATACCGTTCATATCAGCTTTCACAATCACTATATTCTACATTTTAATGAAGAAAATAAAGAAAGCCTAGAATGATAGCACCAATATAAAAACCCTCAGACCTATATATATATATATATATATAACAGTACCTTTTGCGAATATCTTCAAGCTTATCGGGATCATCGACAACAATGTTGACACCAAGGTGCATGCGTGCCTTTTGAAGGTTCATGTCCAAAACTGCAATCTTTGCATTGATGATACGAGTCTTCATGGCCTGAGAAGCGACTGTGCAATTGATAGCGTAACCGCGGACAAATACAGACTCGCGTCCAGACTTTCCGTGGGCTTTAAGAATGTTGACAGCCTTGACGGGGTACTTGGTTTCACCACGACCGTTGGTAGATTTTACGGCCAAAATAGCTTCTACTGCGAGATTGGCAAAGAAATCCGAATCACTAAATACAAAGACATAAGTTTACACGTTTAGATATGAAAAGAAAAAAAAAGAAATATGAAACAACAAGAGTAATAATAAATAAATGAACCCCCAACAGCACAACACAAGTATATGAGTGTTTTACTATATAATATATATATATACAGCTAATATACTTACGAGCCAATGATTTTGGAACTCATTGAGGTCTTGGCAGCATTTATCAAACACTCTTTTCCAAGTGTGTCTACCTTGACAGCCATCTGATCCGCAATAAATTTGCAGGCTACCTTGGATGCAAGACGGTAGCCAGTAATAATGGTTGTTGGATGGATCTTGTTCTTAACAAGCTCGTTGGCGCGCTTCAAGAGTTCGGCAGCAATAATTACAACAGAAGTTGTACCATCACCAACCTCGCGATCTTGCTGCTGAGCAAGCTCTACCAAAACTTTTCCAGCAGGGTGCTCAATCTCTAATAATTGTAAAATAGTAGCACCATCATTACTAATTGTGACATCCTATAACCAAGAAAAAGAAAGAAAAAAAAACATAAAAATAAGTTGAGTACACCTCATCACGGACTTTGGCTTCTTATTTATATATGTATCTTTTAATTCCTTTTCTTTTTGCAACTTACACCAATCTCATCCACCATCATCTTGTCAAGTCCAACAGGGCCAAGGGAACTCTTGACAATATTAGCAATTGATGCAGCCGCGAGTACTTTTTTTTTAAAAAATGAAAATAAAAGAAAAAGTAAAATTGAGTAATTGAGTTAATGTCTGAATGTATATATGTATATATATATATATATGCGTGTATATGTTACCATTGCTGGCTCGTACGTCTTGGCCTGTGGTGCGTTCACCTCCTAAAAAGAGATTTGAATTGGCTTCTCTTTGGAACATGGTGATGACAGTTGATGAATGATGAATATATATTTAAAAAAAAAAGCGTAACTTTTCAGTTGCGTCTCAGAACAAATTCATTCACGTTACTGTCAGAGAAAAAGTCACGGTGGGGAACACACGTTTCTAAATGAGGAAATGAACCATTGCGTACAGCCCTTTTGACAGGACAATGTCGCAAGGTAAGGCAAATGTAGAGTGACTGGTAGTGTAGCGTAAATGTAAATGTAAGTGCGAGTGCAAGCTCAAGTTTGAGTTTAAGCGTGAGTATATGGACTGAGTAATGAAACATTGAAGGGTGACTTCACAGCAAAATCACTCTGGACTAGATTTCTTTCGCCTTCTTTTCTTTTTTGACGTGTAAATAATATTAAGATGAGCAGTATTATATATACGTAACGAGTCTTAATTGTTTTGAAGCATTTGTAATTGGTAAAGAGGAAGCAATAAGCCTTACTTTATTTAAAGCCTTTTCGAATTCCATATAACACACACACATACACACACAAAAATCAAAATCCAAGATTCCCTGTTCACATGCAGGAAATTCAAGCTTGGATTTTACTATAATTTATTTTCAAAGTCAGAAGCACCTTTTTTTTTAACACTTCTTTAATTTCAATAGCTTAATCTCACCCTTACTTTTATTTTTATATAAATATATATATATATTAGTTCAACTACTTAGTGTATTGTACCTGAAATGACGTCAATACAAGTTACAAGTGACTGTGAGACTGATATAGTCTTGGGAAACCATGTCGTTTTTGTTTGAAACCTTTTAGTTTTGTTAATTTTTTGTTCGTTTTATCCCCCTTTATATATATATATATATATATTCGTTTTTTTTTGAACATTTCAAAAACTTGAGTATGACCGTTGAAGACAACTCAGACCAGAACATTGAGATCTGGAAGATGAAGAGACTCATAAAGAGTCTAGAGGCAGCCCGAGGGTAAACCAATACTTTCAACTAATATATCTATATAAAGGAGTAGTGGTAGTGGTAGTAGTGGTGGTATTGATACCTGAAACTCCAACATATCATCCTTAACCTAAATTTCAACTCGAGCTTCTTTTTCTAGAAACGGTACCTCTATGATTTCCCTTATTATTCGTAAGTTTGGACCTCTGGATACTATATTACGACCAAAGAGTCTCGATTATTAGTATTAGTATTATTATTATTATTTCTTGCTTATGTGCACACAACACAATACATATTTAAAGCACCCAGGGACCAGGTCTCCCGCGCAGTCAAAATGCTGGCTGATGAATATGGCACTGCATCCAATATCAAGTCCCGTGTGAATCGTCTCTCTGTATTGTCGGCAATCACATCTACTCAACAGCGCCTTAAGCTCTACAATAGAGGTAAGAGAGAGAGAGAGAGGAAAAAATACACAGTCAAACCTTGTTGTGTTATGTTATGCTATGCTATAAAACTTACCATCTATTTTTAAAACCAAAAAAAAAAGTACCTGAGAATGGCTTGGTGGTTTATTGTGGCACGATTGTTACAGATGAAGGCAAAGAGAAAAAGGTCAATATTGATTTTGAGCCTCACAAGCCCATCAACACCTCTCTCTATCTTTGCGACAACAAATTCCATACCGAGGCACTGTCCGAGCTTCTGGAGGCAGATGCCACATTTGGTTTTATCGTGATGGATGGCAACGGTTCTCTTTTCGGTACGCTTTCTGGAAACACGCGCACCGTGATCCACAAGCTCCAGGTTGATTTGCCCAAAAAGCATGGACGAGGTGGCCAGTCTGCCCTTCGTTTCTCTCGTCTGCGTGACGAGAAGCGCCACAACTACGTTCGCAAGATTGCCGAACTGGCCGTCAATTTCTTTGTCAGCGCTGACAAGGTGAACGTGGCCGGCCTAGTGTTGGCTGGCTCGGCTGATTTCAAGACCGAATTATCACAGTCAGATCTGTTCGACATCCGTCTGCAGGCCAAGGTGGTCAAGGTGGTCGATGTGTCGTACGGTGGCGAAAACGGGTTTAATCAGGCGATCGAACTGTCGTCCGATGCACTGTCAAATGTGAAATTTGTCCAGGAAAAGAGATTGATCCAGAACTACTTTAACGAGATCTCTCAGGATACCGGAAAGTACTGCTTTGGAGTCGATGACACTCTGAAGGCCTTGGAGCTTGGTGCAGTGGAGAGTCTGATCGTGTGGGAAGATCTTGAAACGAATCGGTATGTCCTGCGCGACATCGAAGGCGTGGAGCATATCATCCATCCGACAAAGCAAGAGGAAAAAGGCCGAGAGTTTCTTCAGGACAAGTGCGCCGAGGCAGCCCCCAACTCGGAAATGGAATTGATTGAAGTCAAGCCATTGTTGGAATGGTTTTCTGAAAAATACAAAGATTTTGGTGCTACACTTGAGTACATCACCAACCGCTCCCAGGAAGGATCTCAATTTGTGAAAGGATTCGGTGGCATTGGTGGAATTCTCAGGTAATATATATGCGTCTAACTTTGTTTTTTGCTTTCAGCAACAGATACATGTAATACATTATTAAAGGCCTGTTGACTAACGATATATTATATTATATTATATTGTATGTATATCTTTTGGTGGTGGTTTGATGGTCACAGATATCGTGTTAACTTTGAAGCGCTCACGTATGAATCCGATGAATTTTACTCTGATGAAGATTTTTAGCATACCCCAACCCCAAAAGTACTCTTATCCCTAAACCCCCCCATAATGGTGCTGTCAAGGCTTGAGGGAAGCCATTAAATGAAATAAAAACAGCTTAATAATCACTTGATAAAATGTTGTTTCAAGACATCATTTTTATCAACCAAGAAAATGAACAGATCCTTTGCTAGTTAATCAGTCTGGTTGACATCTGATGACATAACAAAAAGAGGTAAAGAAAGATCATGACAAGCAAAAAGATAGAATAACCTGCTTGGCACAGCAATACTTTTGTGATTACTTGTTCCTGGCATTTAAAAGAAGAAAAACTCCCCTTTTGGTTGATAATTTTGTGCAGCAAAAAGTAAAGAGAGCATGTAGTACAAAACACAGACACATGTACAAACAATGCCAATATGGTTATGCAATATGAAGAAAGAAAGAAATTCAAGACTGGTTAGATTATACAGACTGCTTAAATCCCTGATAAATCACCAAAAAAAAAGAATTACCAGTGGCTCATCCTATAAAATAATCATCATACAGACGGAGTACATGGGCCGCTTTTGATGAGCCTTTTCTTTATATATAAAGGCAAGACACTCGTAATACCTCTTTATAACAAGCTAACTCAACAAAGAGGAGTGAAGGAGTAGTGGTGGTAGTGGTGGTTACATCTCAACATCCAACTACATGTGATACACTTGTGACGTAAGCATGGCATCTATTCACGATCAATCAAGCCTAGTGCGCAGCAAATTTTCCTATCACATCAGGATCTAATTGAACGTAGCAGCAATTGGGCAAGCCATAACCACCTTGTGGGATGTCAAATTTTTACTGCTTAACATTCATCATTATTCAATACTGTCGAAATCATATCATATTTTTATTATTTTGAAAGACATTTTATATATATATATAAAAAGGCTGTTTTTTATAATGATTTCAAATTAAATAAATACATCAACCTTCCCAAAGAAGTCTTGTCAATGACATACTACAGTATGTTTTATCCCAATATCTTAGTTCCGCTCAAACAAACGTCAAATCGTGCACGAGCTTACTATTTGTTTTAACTTCCTCCTGAAAAAAAAAACAGGTCCTATCTAAACTGATCAGCTTATATATATATATATATATTCTAATAAACAATTAATGGATGAATATCAAGGCACAAATACAAATTATCTTTTCGTAGCATTCGATTGGAAGTGGGGAGAAGCACACCGATATTAAATGAGTTTTACTTACTCATTAACTAAAAAAAGAATTGGAATTGGAATTGTAAACAGGGCAATTAATATAGATTGATGGAGCATTGACCATGGTTATTCTGTACTACGATCTCTGTTTCATACTAGAAGATCATACATTCGAATAAGCACAGATAATTAATTAATTAAATAAATGAATAAATATAAAAAGACCATTATGGTCATCTAGAGATACAAAACCGTATTATGAAAGCCTGGAACTATCATTTGATTATTACCTATATGATCCATTAAAGAAAGAAAGAAAAAAGATGAATGTTCCAAGTTGATCTAAAATTTACACTCGTCTCAAACAAAACTTCTCTCAAGTCAAGACCAATAGGTACAATATATTTTCTTGATTATTTTATACTTGAGATTGACCAATTTATTGGTATAAACATGACTATGGTATATAAGATTGGAAAATTAATTAAATCGCCATATAAAGTAATTAAAAGAAGTTCGACCTGTAACTAAAAAAAAAAAACATACACACAAATTAAATCGAAATTTGTATTATATAAAGATATGATTCACTGTGTATAATCTTTATGAACTAGTAAGAAAAAGATAATGGCCTCTTTGCTTATATAGATACAGTGCTAAATAGATAGGATTAGACCAATTCATATATTCTATTTATGGTTGTTTTCTTCTATTTTGTCTTGATAAATAAATCAATAACCATGGATACGGGATAGACGATATGAGGTAAAGGCAGTATGTTTTATATCTCCGACATGAATATCAGATTTTTTTCTTTTCTTTCTGTCATGAAGTCAGCGCAGTTGCCTATAATAGAAAAATAAAGAGACCATTCAAAGAAAGAAATGATGTAATGAAAATATAGTGTATAAGAAAGATATTTTATTATTATAATTATTATTTTTGGTTTTTTACTTCTTCTACTACTACTACTTCTTCTTATTTCATTCCTAATTATTTTGTAATTTCCTTTATTTTCTTTTCAATATTATCGTAGCAATCCCTTTATATCCTTATGCAAGATCTTAATGACGATAGACGTATTAGTGAAGCTCACAACAGATTTCGCAATGATAACAACAGCAACAGCAACAGCAGCAATAATAATATACCACTCTCAACACCAAATACCTTTGTTACCGCACAGTCATACTCAATGAATAGGTCTTCGGCAGACTCGCTCTTATCCTCTACACACTCTATCAGTACACCCCCGACTCCAACTCTGTCCTCAACCCCGATTCATACAAAGGACATGGCCGCCAACATTACTATACAACCTCCTACTCCTCCAAGTCATCAAAGACCTTCCCGCTCTCCGAGTCCTTCAAGTACTCCAAAACCCCCAAACCCTCCGACTCACGAAATCGAAGAGACCACACCCCGGCCTTCAGTACATCGTACAGGAACGATCGGAGCGTCTGTCTGTCTAGAAGATACAGAGACAGAAGGGCGACCAAGCATATACCTTTTTATTTTTGTAAACCCGCTTTCTGGAGATCGCAAAGGCAGTGATCTGATCAACCTCCCGATTCAGCACTTTCGATTACGTCGGTTACCTCAAGTGCAGGTCGAGATCCACAATATTCTCGATGATGATGATCGATTGGCTGGTCTGGAGCAGATCAAGCTAATCGAAGGTATGGTAAAGTCTGGCCAAATTCCCAGTATTCCGCCTCAAGAAGATGAAGAAGATAATGATGAAGAGAATAGTCCTCTTGAGACAGCCTCAGGAAAAACTTCAGGAGAAACTTCAGGAGAAGCTTCGGGTAGCTTGGGTCGAAAATCGACCAAGAAATCATCATCATCAAAATCTTCCAGAAAAGCATCTATGAAAGCATGTCACAAGACATCTACTCGAGCATCTCGTCGATCCTCACGGAAATCCGACCAGACCTTAAAGCTAACCAAAAGTGAACCCGAGGGATTAGGAAGACTGAGCAGTGCGGTGCGTACCCGTCAGATTCATGTGTGGAGTGCTGGTGGAGATGGAACGGTGATGAGTGTTTTTGAGTTATTGGTTAGCCATTCTGTTGATCTTGATCTTATATTTTTTTCATGTAAGTATTATTATCATTGTTAATTTAATTAATTCTGTCATTTTTATTTAACCTTTTTTTTTAAAAAAAAATGTAGGTATTCCATTTGGAACTGGTAATGATTTCAGTCAAGTACTTGGATGGGGCCGTACTTTACCCAACAAAGACATTCTTGGCTCTAGACTACACAACCTAGAGATGCTTGTGACCGAACGCCTGGAGAACTCTGATGCGGCTCGGTTGGATATCTGGCAAGTTGACATGGTCGCACATAAATCCGGATATGTGAGACAATCGGGCCCAGAACGGGATGACGGGCATGATGTAGCAGAAATAAAGAACTCCCAAGAAGATCACACAACAATGATCCGCAAGATGTCAAACTACATGTCGATTGGCGTACAAGGTTATGTCGGCAGTGGGTTTGAGGACCACCGGGCCGGAAAGCGTCTGATGAACATGTTTGTCTATGCCACCGAAAGTTCAAAGTGGGTCTTCTTTCGTCACTTCCCGCCAGTCACACGTTTCATTGAGTCGATCGTCAAGGATGGCAAGACGGTTCTCAAGTGTCCTCCACCGCCATCAATTGCAGGCGACTTGCCCAAAGACAGTCAAGAAAATAGTAATGTGTCAGGCACAGGCGAGAAAATACCCATTATGACAAAGCATCCGATTGATTTTGTTATTCAGAACATTCCTCACATTTGGTATGTCCACTACATGTATATCTTAATAATAATATTATTATTTTTATTAATATTATTATTTTTCTAGGGGACGTGAAGTTGATTTATGGGGTGAGGCTGAGTCAGGGCTTGAGGTTGTGGAAGACCGGTCAGGACCTACAGACCCAAGCACATGGAATCCACAGCTAGCAAATGACGGCAAGATGGAAATCATGGTGATTGATAATCTGTTCAGCTACTTTAAGAAGCTGGCAAACATACGAAGCCATGTATCTCGAGTTGGGCAATTTGAGACCAAATTTGAGATCCATTTCCGATCTCCTCATGAAGAGAAGGAAGGCAAGAAAGGTACAGAAAGCAACAGATCGTTATGGGCAACGGTCAAGAAGCGTATCATGGACATCAAGAAAAACAAATACGAAAAGAACAACATTGTGTGTATTATGTGCGACGGTGAATTCTACACCATCAAGGACCCCAAGGTTCTCAAATTCAATCGGTTTGCACAGATCTGGACTCTTGGCCGAAGTGATGAGGTATCGCAAGGAAGGCTGGTGGCAGATGAGTTGACGCAAGAGAAAGTCTTTCCTCACCAAAAGCAAGAATCACCTTGAGCACAATAATGCTTTCTAAATTATATTTCAAAATATGTGTAATACCTATATTATTATTATTATTATTATTATTATTATTATTATCATTTTTACATTATACCGCTACAACTTATTTTCTAATACTTGTTGAACTCTATCAATGTATTTGTTCCCTGTGTATATATATATATATATCAACTTGCGGGGAAGTATTGACCAACGGACTTGTTGCTTTAAACCCAAAGGAAAAGAAACCCCTATCTGTATCACCATTCTGAAAATACTATGATTTGGTATTAAGCTTGTTATTGGTGCACGCACTTGAATTGAAAGCGTACTATAGATAAAGTATATATATATAAAATAAATAAATAAAAGATGAATTCTGTTCAAAATAATAATTATAATAGAAACGAACAAATTTCTCGTGGGTAGGACATGAATTCAGTGGTTAATTATAAAGCTATATTGATACTTGTTTTTATTGCCTACAAGTTATATGCTATATATCTGTATTTGTTTGCAAAGTGAATAGTACTCTATGTATTTTTTTTTATTTATTTTTTTGGTTTTTCCTTAAAGCAGTTTGATTAATATATCTCTATCTGCCTGACCTTTTGGGCAAGTGTTAAGGGTGTAGATCAGGCAGTACATATATAGAGTTCTGTTGGGGGTGAATATCAAAACACATATATATATATATATATTTGGCTTTTGAATTCATGTAGTACTTGTTCTTGCTATATGTATATAATCCTTTGAGAACAAATAATCGAGACATTCTTTTTTATTACTATTATTATTATATATTGTCTAGCGTGTATATGTGGGGGGTGTGGGTGGGCTGTAGTTTTGTGCTACCTTGATAATTTATATCTTATTTTTTTTACTCCACTTTTTCCCCACTAAAAATAAGCTCTAAAAAGAAATTTTGTACAAGATTTGTATAGGATTTGTATAGGATTTGTACTACTGACCGTTTTGTAGTTCCGAATAGGCTCTTTATTTCTTTCTTTCTTTCTCTGTGCATATATACCTATATACCTATATACATATTCAATATATATATATATATATATATATATGTATGTATGTATGTATGTATATTTGGGCCATGAACATCTTGTAAGAACCCCTTTATATTACATGCCTTTGTTTATTTCCTGGTACCAAAAAATAAATAAAAAAATATTATTGGGTTTAAAGTGTAACGATCTATAAAGAGCTCCCAATGGATTGGTAAGACAGAAAAATAATAAAATTATTATTATTATTTTAAAAGTGTATTGGTTACAGACATGTATTCTCCAAAGATTTTTATCTATCATTAAATGGTAATTGAGATGTGGGGTTTCAGGTAACCTACCCATACAATTGTCATCAGTTACCCGTCCCATCATCCGTGGCATCGCTGTCATAATCAGCCGGTCTCTCTGATTCAGATTTGGCCATATGATGACTATCATTAAAGCTGTAACTGTAGCTGTGATTATTGGTGTGGCTATAACTATAACTATCATGCACGGTAGACAATTCAGTGTTTGTAAAAGAGCGGGATAAAGGCACATGAGGTACAGAAGGTGCAGAAGGCGCAGGAGGTACATTAAAAGATGTCTGATTATCTCTGAAATCACTTCCATCGTCCGTCGCGTCACTGTCATAATCGGTCTCCTTTGTGTCTCTAGTATAAAATGAAGGCTAAACAAATAAACCCTTCCACCCGGTAAGTACGACAACAGGAAAAAAACACACACACACAGAAACAGTAGAAATAAAGAAAGTGTTCAATGGGAAATATATATATATATATATATATATATATGAATACTTGCATTTTTTGTAGACCCCAGAGGTTGTGTTCCTGGGAACTCCACACATTGGTACATATCGCCCTTCTTTTTTTGCATTCCTGCACTCTCTTTGAATTTTTCATTTGTAACCATATTCTCCCTTGGTGTGTACCCTTCTTTGGGCTGGTATGTTTCAAGAAAGAACATTGTAAATAGATCGTCTCCTTTTGCGGTCATTTCTACTGTCGTCTTTGGTGTTTTCTTTGTGTATTTTCTTTTCTTTTTTGTTTGTATTTCTGACACACTCTGAGGTTCTGTTTCTGTCATGGCCACTTCCACTGCCGCTTCATCGTCTCCCTTGATGACCGTTTGATTTACACCCTTCTTCCTTGGCGTGTATTTTCTTTTGGTTTTTGGGATCATTTCGTGGCTATCATCGTCGCACTTGGCATCCTTGGGATCTTTAGCATAACAGATATCTTGTCCATTGTCTGAATGAATCGTCTGATCTTCTGCCGGTCTTTTCTTTGTTGTTGCTCTTGGTCTAGTAGGCTTGGCTGTTTTCTTTTCTGGCTTTACATTCTCGCCAGATTCAACACTATCTTTTGAGACTTTCTCAGGCAAATCGCCTTTTTTTCTCTTTTTTGCTTCTTTCTTTGTTTCGAATGTCGATGGTAGATGGCGATGAGCACTTAAATTGAGACCGATACCAGCAATAGGAATTTGTTCTTTGGGTTCATATGTGTCTTTTGATAAGCTTATTTGTTCCGAGATAAGCTCTTTTGGTTGTTCTTTTTCTTTTTTTTAAAAAATAAATAAATAAATAAATTATTAAGTATTATTATTCAAATTTGTTTGTTACCGTTCTTTGGTTCATGTTTTTCGATTGGAAACTATCATAAAGTAGATTGATTGTGGTTTAGATATGAAGTGGGGGACAATGATAATGATAATAAAAAATTAAATTAAACTACTTACGGATCTAATTGTAAAATGAATTCCTTGGTTACGGAAGTCTTCTTTTATTAATGCACCTGGCTCGTGTTTGGGTTCGGGACTAGCTTGCTTTGATTCAGGGTTCGGTAAGTTTCTGAAATGAGAAGCCTGAGTTTCTTTGTTTATGATATGTAATACAATGCAATACAATGCAATACAATGCAATGCAATGTACTGCCATGTAATATAATATAATATATATATAAATCTAATGTTTGTTACAGCAGAATATATATGTAAAGAAAAGGGTGAAAGAAGGGAAGGTTTGTGTGATTATATGTATGTATCGCTCTGTGTGTGTGTGAGAGAGAGAGAGAGAGAAAGCTGGGGGGAGGGAGAAGAGGAAGCACAGATTTCACAATAAGAATAGCACATATATCTTTAGATGACCGTAAATGGCTCATCCCAGGTAGGTTATTGTACAAAATATGTTTTGTAAAATAGTAAAAAGATTACAAATTCCCAGTTACAACAGCCAAACAACAAGGCAACAAAAGGAAACAATATCCTATTGTGAGCACTAGGTTTGTTTTGTTTGTTTTTCTCTAGCTACTTGATATGTTTCTACTACTATTACTATTAACTCTATTGCTATAAAGTAATAAGTGAACACACATAGAGTCTGGTATCACACTATGTAACCCTTGGGACAAAAAGAAATCATATAATATATATATAGATACTTACAAAGTTTCGGCAGAAATATATACCAGGCTATCAAAGCAATCAATCGAACTCTGTTGTAAATCTAGGCTGTTCCAAAAGAATAAAGGGTTAATGATTATTATGGAACAAGTCTTGGGCTTTTAGTTTATCATATCTGCATACAATTTATTTGTCCATTCGTCTGCTGTAAGATTGGTTTGCTGATTCAAGTATATCCGACAGAGGTTTTTAAAGTAAGGTGGACAAACCACAAACTGATCGGGTTCTTCAACACTCGAGAGATAAATTGATGTAGAGATTGATAGTCCAAGAAGACCCTGTAGCCTTGAATGAATAATTGAAGAAATGTAGACGTGGTTTAGTGCTTAATTATAAATAAATAAGATGCTTGAATGATTTGGGCTCTATACTTTACCATGCCATGCTCTCACCAATTGTCTCTTTGGGTTTACGATAATCCTTAAAATAAGAGTGTATGGGTTGATCAACCGAGAATGGTTCCAATGACTTATTTAGAGTATTTCTGTAACACTCTAGTATCTTTTCTTGTCTACAAGCCGAACAAAAAAAAACAAAAAGAATTGGAAGATGTGCTGTGTTTATCGATTTACAGTGTGTGCTTACTTTTCCATAGAAAACTCGAAAAAATTAGGAATATCTCCATAAATTGCCTTTTCATCAATCAACATAACTAAAGCTCTAAAAGAATTATAAGGTATGTATAGATGAGATTGTTGAGTATCAAGCGAAATACCAGTTAAATGTATCTATCTATCTATCAATGTACACCATCATCTTACTGTCTAGATGTGGATATTGTACTCTGCCAGCTCTGAAGAACATTGAGAAATGTAAAGTGAAATACAAGACCATCGTTTTCTGACCAGGTTCCAAACTTTTTATCTATTTTTACAAATAAAGCCTACAGATCCCAGATTACTATCATTGCTTATCAGGAATATATATATATATTAAAAGAAAAAAGACATAATCGATTACCTGTCTTGTAAATGGTGAAAATGGTGGGTCTGCAATGGTAGACAGAGGAAGATCTTGGTGGGACACAATCTGTTCTTTTGGCAATACGATATCTGCATAGGCATCTGTGAATGGAACACTGCACTGCTTGCTCCATTCGAGAACTTTTGGATGACTGCGATATGTATTCAGTAGATAGGCTGCAGATCCAAGTAAGAGCTTGGATTGAAATAGGCCTGATCGAATAACGCAATGGATGATGTGGATAGTAGAACGAAGCTGACAAAGGAATTTCAAAAAATCTCTTATTTTGATACTCGAGTGTGCTTCCATAAAATAGATTACAAGTGGGCGGTTGCTATGCTAATTAATTAATTTTTAAATGAAAATCGGTCAATAATACAATATAGTATATAAAAATATTAAAGTGGGGGAAAGAAGACCATATGCATGTGTGTGTATGTGTGCATTTTTTTTTTTTAAAAAAAATTAATAAATAAATAAATTAATAAATAAATAAATAAATAAATACAAATATCAACAAGCCTTTTCTTTCTTATTTTTTTTATCTATCTATCAAAACATATACACATACACGCACAAATCAATCATTACTTACAGTATCGAGATGGCTCGCTAAAGAAAGAACCATAGGTCTAATGCGTGGTAAATCCAAATGTAGATCGGGACAATAAATGTCATGTGTTTGTTTGAAATGAAGATGGTAGTAAAGATTAGCTACTGCAGGAGTAGCATGAAGCCAAACGATCTCATTGTTTGGTAATGACATTATGTTTGGATTCCACTGAAAAAGTAATTAAAATTTAAATTTACAAAAGCCGTTGAATATCTTATATAGAACATGTATGCATATATAATATTTCGTATTTTATTTTATTGTACTGTACTGTACTGTATTGTACTTTATATACACATTTAAATGTATGCGTAAAATGCGTGTGGACTTTCTTTTCTTGTAAAAACAAGACTGCTCCAATTAATCCTCAATTGAACTTCTTTATGCTTTAACTCTAACAAAGAAGAAGTAAAGAAAAAAGATGATCTGAACAGACTAAACAAGTCCAAAAAAAATCCTGTGTATATGGATCTTGAAGACTCATTAAAGATTAGCTACCAAGCATAAGTAAAGAACAAAATAATAATAATAATGGACTCATTACATAAAAGACGGTTACAATAGGATATGAATGGTGATCGTAATGTTGTACAATTGTATATCATTTCACCACCCGGTTACTCTTCTCACCAAACGACCTTTTTTCTTTTCTCTTGTGCTCTATATCTATCTATCTTTCTTTTTCTCTTTCTTTGTTTTATACACATCCTTTCGATTGGTTCCTCGTTTATTTGATTTCTTATATAAATTTTCTTGTACTTCTTTTCGCTCGCATTTCCTCTCATTAGTGTTTGAATTCCCAATGGAAATCTCTCGAATTCCTAATGCTGCCTTGCAAAAGTATATTTTTGGCTCTTATGCCCTCGGAAAGTTGATCTTGAGTGGTAACGATAAGCTGCAATTTAATTCATTTATCAAAAAAAAAAAAAAAGAACGAAAGAAAGACGATTTTCAAAGAGAAATAAAGGAGACGACTAATATATGAGAATTTTGCAATTTTTTTCTTTTCTCTATCTCTTATTGTATTTCTCCCGTACTTTGCTTATCGTTATATACACATTGGTTATTCTACTGTTAAACCAATTGCTTGTTTTTTTTAAATTCCTCTCTCTTTTTTTTGCTTTCTTTTGGTATGTTTTCAATGAGATTATTGTACGATTTTATAGCTTTCGAATCAAGTGGCTATGATTTATGATTATTCTGTTTGTTTGTACAAATATAGTCAATCTTTAATGGGGTGTGTATGTAGTCCAGGCAGCAGCCATACCAGAAAGTAGCATCAGCAATGCGCATTCAATGGTGTCAGGTAAACCAAAAAAAAAGTTGTATAACAGTAATAAGAATTAAATGAATTAGATGATTTATACAAATTGGTCTAATTTATATTAATTTATATTAATTTATATTATTAATATATTACACTATACATTTTTATTAACCTTATTGTTATCATATTATTTGCTATGGTTACTATAATTCTTCTTTGTTCTTTTTAGCTTCTCCAACAGACATGGGAGTACCTACCACTACAGCCCAGCAGCATATTGTATCTGGTTCTACAATGAGTCTTGCAACCAGTGGAATCTCAGCAGATCTTACTGGTCTCGATCTCTCGCCACTCTATGGGTCTGCTACACCAACAATCAATTCTCTTGCCTCATCCCAGCCTACTATACCCGCAACCATATCAGCCTCGGCCTCAATTGAAAATTGTGGACAGTCTGGTAAGTTTATATATATATATATATATATATATATATATATAATTGTGTACTTGACTTTCTTGGATTTCATTAGGCTGTTCTACCAAACCCTCTCAGACGGTTGTGAGTATAGCCACCACGACTGGTTTGACCGGATCGTCAGAGAATTCGACCTCTGGGGGCCTGAGTACGGGCGCAATTGCAGGTATTGCAGTCGGCTCTGGTGTCTTGGTGCTCTTTGCCTTGTTCTGTTTCTGGAGAACAAAGCGCAGAAAGCCAAAGTTCGATCGTGGACGAGGTATCACACCATCCATGTTCTTTGACAATACCCAATCCCGTCAATCGCAGAACCCTCAGAATCTTCAGACAAAGGAAGGATCTTCTGGTGATCGATTGAGTGCCTATTCATTCACATCCCCAAATGCTGCATTTGGTTACTGCCCACAACCACTTTCTGAAAAGACAACAGCAATGTTGGACCAGATGTACAATATTAAACAATACAACAATCCAAATTCAACAGCAGCCACGGCAGCGGCAGCAGCAGCAGCAGCAGCATTGGGAAAGAATGATGTGCCTGGAAAGAGTACAGCTCGTTTGTCAAAATACAATTACCTCACCCAAGTATTTTCGCAGATGCGTGCATCGACTGCAGAAGAGCAAATACAGCAACAACAGCAACAACAGCAACAACAGTCATCTGTCAAGGTGAGACAGGTGCGTGAGAAAGATATGACCGACCAACCTGAAATGAGATCTAGCGGCCCTGATCGAACCCTGCATGAATCTACTGTGCTCGGACCACATCAACCGGAAGATGATCGAGGTTTATCAGTGAACAGATCGATAGTAGAGATGGCCAAATTGAACTCTACTTTCAATAATATCAATACTGATAATAATAACCCTGGTGCTGGAGGTGGAAATGGAAACGGTTCAAAGTTTGGAGATGTTCCAGCAATATCTGTCAGTCCACCACCACCACCACCGACAACAGCAACAACAGGAGGAGGAGGAGGAGGAGGAGGAGGAATTAGATCTACAGAGACATTACAGCAACCTCAAAAGTATCAATATCAATATCAAAACCAAAGTCGAAATCCATTCCAGTCACATCCACAGCAGCAACAGCAGCAAACACCCCCACGAATTGCGGTGTACAATGAACATGATGAACAAAAGGAAATTATCGATCCTTACCGTGGAATTGTGAACGGACGGGACAGTATGATGTCAGAAGTTAGTCAGTACAGTACCTTTTCGACTGATACCAACCCATTCCGTGCCTCTACTGGTAGTGCAGACTCTGTGACTTTGCCTTATATTCCCCAGCAGCCACAGCCTGTTGTTCATTCCCAACGATACGAGTATATTTAAAGCCCCTCTTATACTCTTCTTATATTGATCTACGTACTTATTTATCCTTTACCTTTACCTTTATCTTTAGTATTTAATTAATTTATTTATTTATTTTTCTTAATTATATTACACTTATTCATTACTACCCTTTATTAATTATATATATATATATATATTTATTTATTTATTTTAACTCTTTGTGCTAGCAAATCAATAATTGAATAATTGAAATCAGAATACACAGGCATACGTATATGTTAATCGTAAACCAAGGGCGTCAATTGAAATACTTTATCGCTGGTCAAAATAATAATAAGCAATAAAACAAAATAAAAAAAAAAGGAAAAACCACTAATATCTCTTGTTACTCAAGAAACTCAAAAGTATAGTATTTTACAGTAGAATAAAAGAATTTGTCTCTTTATTTTGATATCTTTTAGTGTATTGTTGCTCCTTCTTTTTTTTTTGACTAAAATTAAAGATTATCTAACAGGGAAAATGATAGCAATGGAGTGTTAATTTTATATATATATATACAGATACACATATATAGACATAGATATAGATATAGATAGGTAGATAGCTATGCAGATAGATAGATAGATAGATAGATAGATAGGTAGATAGATAGATAGATAGGCAAATAGATAGATACTTAAGAGTACAAATTAAAGGGGTGAATAAGAAGGTTGGTCATGATTTTCTTGGTCTTGTAATTGAATAGAATATAGTTCTTTATAAAAGAGACAGAGACCAATTCAAGATCTAATTGAGTTGATTTAATCAAGAAAGAAGCAGGCAGCTTACAAGATTCTTCTTCTTCTTCTTTAACATTTGATATGTAACAATCGGTTAAATATGTATACTTTACACACACAAAAACTTTATACAAGATTTTCTATACAGCTAATAAACACAGATCAATATAATGGCATTTAATTCAACATGTGAAGAACTTACAACCATCGTTATTATTATTATTATATGTATTTTAGAAGAACGTATAATATAAATATTTATATAAAAAATATCTTGTACTTGGTTAGTTGAGATCTATAAAAAAAATATTCCCAAAGAGAAAAAAAAAATTATATATGTGTGTGTGTTACGATGTACAGACTGTTTCTTTTTGTTGCTGCTGCTGTTGTATTTGTTGTAGCTGTAAATTATTATTATTATTATTATTTGGTGCGTATAAAATGTTAATATTGTGCTCAAATCTTGATCAAAACACGAGGAAAATTGGAAAATCTTTCTTCACTTTTTATATATATAAATAAATCGATTGACATGTTATTCAAATTGTTTGAAGGGGGGAAGTTTTGTATTGTGTGAGAGAGTGAGGGAATTTATGACGCATGGCTATACACAGAATTTGGGAGAAAACCATAAAGAATATAAAATAATATAAAATATACATAAGCAAAAAATAAAAATAAAAATAAAATTCAAAGAACAAAAGGGGGATAGAGAAGCGGGGTAGCATAAAGAAATGGAAGAAGAAGAAGACCAAAAAAAAAAGGCATGAATAAAAGACACAGACACAGACACAGGTACAAACACAAGCACAGGCACAGGCACAGGCACAGGCACACATAAAAGAGATTGATAGAAAAAATATATATTATAGATTGAGGACTTTGTACAGGTTATATAAAATGGATTTGTGTGTGTGCAGTATGTAGTGTGTATAGTGTGTAGTGTGTGCAGTGTGTAGTGTGTAGTGTGTGTGTGGTGTATATAAGTGTGTGTTTTTTGAATGCTTTAAAAGGTATGGAAAAAGTCTGTCTGGTATACAAGACCATCATTCCGTACCAGCAGCAGCGGTAGTCTTCGGTTGGGACCAATGCTACCGTCTATCACGAGTTCTTCATCTATTGTGGTAGCCAGACTTGTCTCAAGGATGTGAGTGTCCGGCACTACACAGCGAATAGATTCTCTGGACTGATAATCTGTCTTGGCTTCAATGTCACCAAACCACACCTTAAGATCTCTTGTGATATGTTCGCCAGTAAGAGTAAGAAGATCACCTCCATTGCTACTACTGTTTATATTGCTACCATTACAGGAAGTGGTTGATGACATTGTCAAGTTGTTGATGATTGGGAAATGTGCTAGTCCAGATTGCGTGCGTGCGATATCGGGTGTCCAAAATGTGTAAGATGCGCAGTCCGTGCCAACAATAGTCCAGACAGCTGCATCAGACACATCTTCGGTCCAGCAACTGCCGTCCAGAGACAAGTCTTGCGCGGTTGCACTATTACGCCGAGATGGTTCTACAGGTCGTTTTGGGGCTTCAGGTTTGTGGAGTGTACGGGTGCTTGTGGTACGATGCATGCCGACAGCATCGTTTAGACAGGCAAGATAAGAAACCGGCTGGCAGGAATTAGGAAGGTTCCAAGATGAGGTAGACAGCAAAAACGGTTGACTGATGTTGTTGTTACTATTCGTCTCACAATCGGTATTGTCATTATTACTATCACTGCTCTTGGTAGTATTGACCGAATGGGCTGACGGATCCTGAACGATTTGAAAAGCGATCTTGTGTAATTGAGAGACCGGATCACCGAGTACCTCGTCACCGCACTCACCGCCGCCGCCGATGCCGCCGCCACTGCCACTGCCACTGCCATTCCCATTACCATTAGATCTGTCAATTCGACTGCCACCAAGAGCCATCGAGCCTCGATCGACTTTGCGGATCACCATCACTGGACTAACCAGACCAGTTGAGACACACTGGAGTACGACAGGCTGGTTGTAATGAATTGCAATCGGACCTCCCTTTGCCTTGAGAGCAATGGCAGGAGGAGGAGGACTATATTTATTCTTCATAGACTGATTGAGTTGATCTTTGGTGTTGTGGGGTTCGGTTGACTGATGTTGAGTGTCAACAATCCAGACAACAAAGGGATCCCACTGGCCAGTCCGAGCCACAAAGCAAGTTCCGTTTGTGTCTGCGACTGGAAGACCGTTTGTTGGTTGATTGTTGCGGGACACGCCAAGATATTTGGTTGACACTGTCTGGGAACGGATACGATTGAATAGAGAAATCGTTGTACCATGATGAATACAAACTATATAAATTTTTATTTTTATTAATTTATTGCTATGGTGATGATCATTCCATTGTAAATGTTATTTTATTTTAATGATTACTAATTTTAAATTTTAATTTTTTTTTCTTAAAAAAAAAAAAAAAAACTTACGGTCCATGTTCTTTGCACTCTGTCTTTTCTTGGAGGGCTTTGAAATGACCTTGATTCCTTTGGAGGCAAGTGTGCCCAAAATGAGTCCATTGCCAAGCTGTATTTTAACCAGGACCTCGACACGTTTGCGCTTTTCATCTGCATCGTTGATGTGCAGTTGTTTGGATACGCATTTGCCCGAGATTGTCTGGGTTTCACCCAATACACAGGCCGTGGCTGCCATGGACGCCGCGCTATCAAGGAGTGCGCCCTGCTGATTGTGCCACTCGAGTACGCCTGTCTGGCTGGTCGCTTCTCCTGAAATCTGGATTGTGAGCTTTGCTGGAGTCGCCCTCGAAGCTTGTTGCTCGTGAGACCACCAATCTGCGCCTGTCAGAAGGGTAGTGGGAGGAGGGCATAAGAATCTATTATTCATTCATTTATTCATTTATTCAAATAATTAATTAATTAATTAATTAATTAATTGGATTTTAGATACCAATAAAAATATTCAATAGTAAACGAATAAAAGAAGTGTATGATGATTATGATTATGGTTATGATTACGATCATTTGAATTCTTTGTTTGTTTGTTTGTTTGTTTGTGTGTGTAGGTGTAGGTGTACGTGTACGTGTACGCTTGTTTATCAGCAACTGATAACCAAAAAATCAAACTTTCTTTTTTTCTCTTATACACACACACACAAAAACAAAGAATTCAATGCGAATCAAATCAAATCAAATCAAATCAAATGCACGCGATTGTACAGCAAGAAAATAAAAAAATAAAATAAAGGGAAAACTAATAATCTTTACTATCATTTTTTTTCTTAGTTTACCTTTTTTCGGTTCCGTAGCTTTTTTGGGCAACTTTGCTAGTTAGGATCATCACTGTGCGTTCGTTCGTTGGAACGAGGCCTTGATTACGTGAAACGAGATACTGCTGAAGAAGGGGCTTAAATGAGGTCGGGGACTGGGAGAGCTCAGCAGTGCAGCGAATCGGCTCGAACATGGAATTGGCCTGCAGCGGAGTGGGGGGAGAAGGCGATGGAGAAAGAGAAAAGGGCGAGTTTGGTGGTGATGCTAGGGTTGGTGGGACTACAACAGTCCGTCGCGGGCGTTTGATGTTGTTTTCAGTAAAGCTGATGTCAGTAGTAGTTGTAGTTGTAGTTGTAGTTGAGTTGGTGTCATCGGCCAGGATCGAGGGCGAGATTGTCGAGTCTTGGAGTGGCTGAAGTGAAAGAAAGTCGTCTGGAGATAGACAGGAAGGGTCCATAAACGGCAGCATCATGATTTCCTTGGTTGACATCTGGGGAGGGTCGTCCTGGAGTGACTGAAGGAAGGATTGATGGTTTGAGAGCGAGAGTGAAAGCGAGAGTGCTCTTCTTGGGATACCCCTTTCTAATGCTGGCGAATCAAATGTAGGTTGTGGGTTGATCGGTGGTGGGGCCCATGCAGCACCGAGTAGTTGTTGAAAGTCTGCGTCCCACTTGGACATATCAAACTCTTGCTTAAACATGTCCATGGAGTGGAAGTCTAGTTCTCCTACGGCAACTGAGTGGCGTCTAGAGTGGGAGCCTGAGATGTCCTGCTGGGTGAGAGTGAAGTCATGAAAGGTGGCGAGGGGATCTACTGAGATCGGAGCAGGGGGCACAGGAGAACTGGGAGAGGAATAGACATAATCTGACCACTGTGTGTCCTCAAGCTTTCTCTTGCGACAAAATGAATCAAACATGGCATCGTACATGGTCGCCAGCGAGCAGAATATAGAAAAATTATTATTAATAAAAATAAAATAAAATATTTATATATATATATATATAAAAAGAGCCAAAAGAATATAGTAATATTTATATAGAAAACAAACAAAAAAAAGAAGAAGAAGAAGAACAAGAAGAAGAAGAGTTATAACAACCAAAAGGAAAACCGCCAGAATTTAACCATAACGCCTTGTCGCACGGGACTCCCCATATCTACACAACGTTTGTGTCTCAAAGACGAAGTTGCGGCACCTCAAAGACGATGTATTATATATATATAAAAAAAATAATCTACAAATCCAATTTCTTTTTTTTTTTTCACCCCACACTTTACGAGATAACCAATCAAACGTCTTCAAATCAAGTTTCTTTCCATCTCTGTCATTTGCGGGGTGCCTACATTATTCTTCCAAATAAAAAATCCCACATGACAGACGTCTGTACTTCTTTAACCTAGTCCCCCATTTTCCCACCTGATTTCCCGCCTTTCTTGCCATATCATTTTAGCCGAATGGGCGGGTCACACAAAATAGCTCCACATCCATTTCCTCATTCACTTGTCCTCTTTATTTTACTCTTTTTATTTTAAACCATGTATAAAATAATAGAATAACAACAACAAAAAAAAAAGAAAGAAAGAAAGAATACATTTCCTTCAAGCAAACTAAAATAAAACAAAAATAAAAAATAAAATATTTTTTTTGGTCAGTGTCACTCCAAAAATAATAATAACTAAGAACACAAAGTATCCATGTCATCACTGTACTCCATCCTTAATTCCCCCATCTCCACTTACCTGAGAAAGGTAACTCTCGGCCACATTACGAGCACGCGTATTGACGCTCAATTTCATCTCTGAAATTTCCTTGTCAACCTCTTCCATAAAATGCACAATGAAATCAACCAATTTGTGTTTCAACATTTGTTCAGTGTGGCTATTGGTAATCAGGAACGAAATATCATAACCCTACAAGAACAATATCAGCACCAGAACCAGAACCAGAACCAGAACCAGAACCAGAACCAGAACCAGAACCAGAATAGCAATATCAAGTAATAATAATTATTATAATAATAAGGTTAGAATTTCTGTAAATAGTGTATATATATCATTTAACCTAAAATTTATTACCTCTACTGGCTTTCTACGCAAGACCACAAAGCTCTCAGCTCTCAGCATCATGAAGCGTGAGAACTTGTGACACAGGATATGCTCCAGATCATCAGCCTGTTTAATCTTGATGCTAACTCGTACCGAGTTCACAGATGGCTCAATCAAAACCTTTTCATTTTCATTACGACTGATAGCCAAAGGGTTCAACAGTACTTCCTTCGATTTTCTAAACCCCCAAATAATAATAATATAAATATTAGAATAATATATATATATATATATATTAAGCACTACACACATACACTACATATATATGTATGTATAGGTATATACATATATACATTTTACACATTTGCACACACTACGCATATATACACATATATACACATACACACACACACGCATATACATATATACATTTTACACATTTGCACTCTACTCTCTGCACACTCTACACACACTATACACACTATACACACTATACACATTATACACACTATAGATACTATACACACTATAAATACTATAGATACTATACATATATATATATATATATGTGTGTGTAGCGTATAGTCTAACTAGTTAACTTGTACAAAAACAAGATTCGTAACATTTACCCAGATTCAACCTCGGGTGTATTGTGTCTTTCGGCCACCTGCGACGAAAAGTTCTCCAAGCATAGTGCAGCTGTCAGACTGGACCGTACTGCTGTCAGATAAGGACGAAGAGTATTGGACTATGACATTTCAATATCATCTCTTCTAATGCTTTAACCCCGCCTTCATTCATCATCTCGATTCCAGCTCATTCATCCAAAAAAGAAAAAAAAAGAGCCAGCATTTGCAGTTTCCCAACTTACCATCTTATAATACTATAGTTTAGTTTAGCTTATCTTTTTCTCTTTATAAAATATAAACGTATATGTCTATGCTTACTTGTGTATGTTTTTGCTTAAAGAGGCAATTCTTTCTTTTATGTGTAGTGAGGTATATATATGTATATATATATTATATAAATATAAAAGAATATCACAGTCAGACTTTAGAACTAAAGTCTGGCTAACTTTTTGTTCAAGTTGAACCACGTACTTGCAATGGTTCACGACAACGTCATCCATTATGTACTCCGCCATTATTGCTGCCAAATGGAGTTGATTTTTTTTCTTTTTTTTTTCTTTTTTGCTTTCTTATTCTTGTATATCTGTTTCATATTTTTGATCTGTTCACACTACTATTATTGTACCAATGTACTAATGTACCAATGTACTAATAAAAATCATGATCAAGGATTTTAAAGTAAAACAAAAAAGGCCCAAAGTTCCAAGTCATATTATTGGATAAGAGCTTTAAAAAAAGTTGATCTTTCAAAACGAGGATCAAAAAAAAAACTAATAAATTCCGAATGACTGGCTAGTATTTTATATATATATATATTTGCTATTGCCAATTGGATTGAGAATACCATTATGCTTAGTGGGAGAAGACAGTATTATGAGCACTTCAGTTTGATTTTTTTTTTAATCTTTTATGCACTTAAAAAAAAAGAAAACGACATGGTCAGATAGATATTAATTGTAGTGGATAAACCCATTCTGGCTTTTGGTTTTTTTCTTTTTTTTTCTTTAATGTGTCCAGATTAATTAGGGTATATATATATATATATATATATAATGTTTTATTAGCTAGTAGTAGGAGTAGTACTTTGTGCATATGTTGTGTATGTGTTGTATATGTATATGTGCCTGAGTGAATTATTCAATTTGACCTTGGACTACAATGGTGACAATGCTGATTTGAATAACTCGAAAAATACAATACGATACAATACAATACAAGGAGTTGGATTCTTTTGGTATTTCGACCCAAAATGAATGAAAAAAGAATTAAAGTAAATTGAGAATTCCCATTCTTTACAAAATTTGATTAGGTTCATAACCTGAAAATGGGCTTGTTTTTTTTTCTTTTTTTCTTTATTTATTTATTTATTCAAAATGATCTACAGCACCACCACTGATTAATTTTTTTTTCAATATTAGTATTATTACTTAAAAAGGAAACACATATATAATCACCGCACTATATATAGGTGATTATATAAAACAAGAAGAAGAATTAAAGAAGAAGAAGTGAAAATACCGCCATTAATACATACATGCATACATGCATACATACACACATACACACATGCATAGATATATATATATATATGTATTCATCTTGTAGTAAATACGACCAATAATAACAAAGAATTCTATTCCATATTTTTAAGAGCTGAAAACAATAAGCTTTTTATTTGATATTCACGTTGGTTGATAAAGACACACACAGTAATATAGACCTATAGATTTTTAGTCATGGAAATGTACATTTTACATGAATGCTTATAATGTAATAAAGTAGTATCTTTTTATATATGTATATTCATGTACATACATATATTAATAAAGATCAATTGTAATTAAACAAAACAAAACAAAACAAAATACATACATACATACAGAGATCACCCCTTTGCTGGATTTTCTTTTACTTGAGTCCTTATTTGTATTTTGTATCTTGCCATATTTACCAAAAATGAAGCGTTCTTTTATCGACAAAGAATGTAACTAATGGCATCATACAATGCCTATATTTCGCTTCTTATTTTATTTTATATTTTCTCTCCCTACCCATCTCCCTGCCAAACCCCCTCTCTTTACTTGAACAATTGGGTCTTTACTTTCTTCTTCTTCTTCTTTCTTGTCTACAATGTCTATATGTTGACTTTTATACTTTAAATAAATAAATAAATAAATAAGCACATGTCAGAATGCAATTCATACCTAAAGAATGAAGACATCTACCCCCAAAAAAAAACAAACCAAAACAAACCAAAACAGCAACAACAACAACAAACAATTTAGGATAAGAAATTTTTCTATATCGAGATGGCTCTTAAAGAATGAAGACCATTGACGCGTATTCCACAGCTTTGCATAGCATAAGACTTTAACAAAAATGCATACCGAATTTCATTGCAGCATCTTACAAAGACAAAATTTTCTTTTTTGAAATTTATCCAAAAAAGAATCCCAAAATTGTACCACATTAAATCCAAATTTATTTCATTGACCCAAAGTAAAAATAAATAAAACAAAAAACAAAAACATGGATTGCCTTAGCATACCAAGGATTTAATTGAAACAAACCAATGTAGATTCCACAAAAACCAAACAAAAAAAAATAAAACTTGAAAATCATATAAAAAGACGACTTGTCTTCCCACATCCGCCCAAATCACATTCCACATTTTCTATACTACCCTTTTATACTTACCTTTATACCATCCTAATACTAATACCCTAATTATTATACCCTTCCTCCATAAAAAAAAAGTCATTACATTAATATCATGCGTTTCAGTCTCTCTGTCCTGGCAGGTCTTGTCCTGACCAATGCAGTCTTTGCCAAAGGACGTGACGAGTCTTTATACCCTGCCGCAATTCACAATGCCGGCAAACTTTCATCTGTCGAAAATGATCATCAGAGTCTTGATATCAAACTCCAGGAGCCTCACATGGATAAGCGTAGCGTACATGATTTCTTCCAAGACCTACTCGAAATCGAAGCCCAGCAAGCTCCCCCACAAGCCGACAACGGCGCCATTGCTGCCAGTCTTGCTAACCTAGACTCACCCGACGCACCTCCTCCTCCTTCATCACCACCACCACCACAAGCAGTCGATCCTGCCCAGTCAGAAAATTCGGAAAGTTCAAACGCAGACGCCAATCAGTCTAATGCGGAATTCAAACCTCTTGACGCAGCACCACCACCTCCACCCTCAGACGCAACTGATTCCCAAGACCCAAGCCCATCCTCAGCCGACTCTGATTCCAGTCCTCAAGCCAGCGAGGGTGCCAACAAACATGGTCTGGTCGGTAACTTCCTCGGTGGCCTCAAGGGTATGCTTGGAGAAATTAGAAGCAAGCATAACAAGGTTTTACCTGCTCCAATTGAAGAAGTCAAGGATGGAGCAGAAAAGGTCGTGGGTGATATTCCAATCATCGGTGACGCCGCCAGTGCCGCCAAGGGAACTGCCGATGATGTATTCGATAAAGTAACAGGCGGTGCTGAAAACGCTGTCGATGGTGCTCAGAACGTTGCAGACGACGTCAAAGACAAGGCTGAAGATGTGGTTGGCGATATTCCCGTTGTTGGTGACATTGCTGGCAAAGTCAAGGATATCGTAGAAGATGCCATTCCAGGCGACTCAGGCGTCAGCTCTCTGATGGCCAATGTACTGCCTGGCACCCCAAATCTCGGAAGCGTATCATTCACCTTTGGTCCTAATGGCGCCATCAAGCCCGTAGGATCAATTACTTACAACCAGCCCAAGAGCTCTTCGTCCAGCGGTGTTGCTCTTCCAGGTGCATCCAATATCGCATACACCCTTGGACCCGGTGGAGTTGCCATTCCAGGAACAACCTACACCTTCAACGGTGGTTCGAACGGAGCAACCATCCCAGGAGGGTCTTACAGCTTCAACAGTGGTTCAAATGGAGCAACCATTCCGGGAGGATCCTACAGCTTCAACAGTGGTTCAAATGGTGCAACCATTCCAGGAGGGTCTTATAGCTTCAACGGCGGTTCAAATGGTGCAACCATCCCAGGAGGATCTTACAGCTTCAACACTGGCGGTTCAAGCGGATCTTCCGGATCAGGTGGCTCAGGTGGCTCAGGTGGATCAAGTGGATCATACACCTACGGACCTGGTGGAACTCTTATTCCAGGAGGTTCTTACAGCTTCAACAGTGGAACTACCGGTTCTGGTGGATCTGGCGGAACTCTTATTCCCGGAGGTTCTTACAGCTTTAACACCGGTGGCTCCAGCGGATCTAGTGGATCTGGTGGATCCGGCGGAACTCTTATTCCCGGAGGTTCTTACAGCTTCAATGGCGGCTCTGGAGGATCTGGTGGTTTAAATATTCCCGGAGGTTCCTACAGCTTCAACAATGGCGGATCTAGCGGTTCAGGCGGATCTGGAGGATCTGGTGGATCTAGTGGAACTCTTATCCCCGGAGGTTCCTACAGCTTTGGTTCCAACGGCTCTGGAGGATCTGGAGGATCTAGTGGTCTAAATATTCCCGGAGGTTCCTACAGCTTCAACAATGGTGGCTCAAGCGGATCGTCCGGATCAGGTGGTTCCGGTGGATCAGGCGGATCTTTCAACTTTGGCTCTGGAGGATCTGGAGGCTCAGGTGGATCTATGAACTTCGGCTCCGGAGGTTCCGGAGGCTCAAGCGGTTCAAGCGGTTCTGGAGGATCTTCTGGAGGATCTTCTGGAACAAGTACAACTGTTAAAACTGGTTCAAGCGGATCTGGAAGCTCAGGCGGATCAGGCGGCTCGAGCGGTTCCGGAGGATCTTCTGGAGGATCGTCTGAGACAAGTGCAACTATTAAAATTGGCTCAAGCGGATCTGGAAGCTCAAGCGGTTCAGGCGGTTCAGGCGGATCAGGCGGATCAGGCGGATCAGGCGGATCTTCTGGAGGATCGTCTGAGACAAGTGCAACTATTAAAATTGGCTCAAGCGGATCCGGAAGCTCAGGCGGCTCTGGAGGATCCGGTGGCTCTGGAGGATCTTCAGGAACAGGCGCAACTATTCAAATTGATTCAGGTAGCAAAGGTGGATCAAATGGATCAGGTGGATCAGGTGGTTCGAGCGGATCAAGCTCTTCCAGTGGATCAAAATCTTCAGGGGGCTCTAATAATTCAGGTGGCTCGAGCGGTTCCAGTTCATCAAGCTCTTCCAGCTCATCAGGCAGCTCTGGTAACTCTGGCGGATCCAACTTTTCCAGCTCAAAAAGCTCTTCC